GCCTCGCATATCTTGTTGGCCTGATCGCAGTCTGATTTATATGGAGCTTGTGGTCCACTAAAGCCCCCAGATCTTTCTTCCAGAAAGCTGCTATCTAGCTGGGCCTCCCTCTTCTTTACTTGTGGAAACTGACTTTTTGAATCCAAGCGTAAGCCTTTATATTTATCCCTACTGGATTCATCTTACTAGATTCAGTCCAGTCAGTGTTTTAGGCTGGCCAGATCTTTTTGGATTCAGGGTGCTGACTCGGGCTCCTTCTAGCCTGTCAGCTGCACATGTATCAACATGTGGTCCATGCCTTCCTCTGAGCCACTGATAGAAATGTGCAACAGCACAGGACCCAGATGGCTGGGGCATGGCTCCTCTTTGTGTCTGGACTTCAGCCGACCACCCTGTGCTGGGGGCAGGAGAGGCAGAGGTGGCCCCGGGCATGCATGCCGAATGACCCAGTGAGAGATGCTTTCTCCTTCAGCCTCATGGAACGCAGCCTGCTCCCAGGTTTTCCGGTACGGGTCTGAGATCCCCAGCTGTGGCCAAGCCCAGCACATCCTGCAGTCTGAGCTGGAGAACCTGCTGCACAGAACCTTCCTCAAGGTCACGGGAAGGGCCCGAGGCCGCCCCAGCACAGACATCCCCTGGGACGAAGTCCTCTCTCTGTGCATCAACCACCGCCTGCGGGACTGGCCGCCCATGACCCTGCCCGTCGTGTCTGGTACGTCCACCATGTGTGTGTTGACAACCAGCCCCCGCGGGGTGGGCTCCTCTCCAGTGGGGGAGGGCTAAAAATGACCAGACACGGGCAACGCGAAGGCGTGCAGTGGGTCCGGAAGGGAGCCCGAGGGACAGAGAGGGAAGGGTAGGACCTCTCGAGCTCCACCTCCTTGCGGAGGGTCGGGCCCTCATCAGCTGCTGCCCTCCCTTCCCACAGCTGCCACCTGCTGCCTTCGGGACACCGCAGCTGAGTATTACACGGGCCTCCCCAGCCCGCACTCATGATGCTTTCCTCCCTCTCACTGCCAAGGGCACTGCCATCTCCCCAGGCTCCCAGCCTCAGGCCACCCATCACGCATTCTTCCCAGCCCCCTTCTCTTCCTCCACAAAGCCCTCCCCGCCTCACGCCTGGATGACTGCAGTAGCTGTGGCTGGGTCTGTCCCGTCTCTCCCCCCACCCCACTCCCCTCCCTCAATTGCTGGCTCCCCAACACCGCCAAGAACACACATAAGACCCTTTTTACAACTGGCCCCTTCCTGCTGTCTTTTCTTTCCTACTAGTCTGTGATTCCCCTTGATAGATCCTTGTGGCTCCTTGATCGGATAAGCCTCTGATCCAGACAGAAGGCCTGCCTAATGGGACAGTGGCACTAGCGCTGGCCTTACTCATTACTCTGGGCACTGGTTGGATTTACCAGAACTGGTGAATCCCGATAAAGCTAGTGATGGAGCAGCAGGGAACAGAGTGAGCTGCAGTCCCCCTCCCGGTCCCCAGCTCCTCCAAACAGACCTAGGAAACGCACCAGATGGAATCCCGATGGGGAATTTGGGAACACGTCCAGTGGGTCATCATTCCAGCCCGTGAGCACTCTGCAGTACCTGGGGACTGTGCCCAAGGCAAGAGGAGGTCCCAGGACCAAGGCGGGCCAACTGGCAGCTTGTGTCCACTCCCCAGTTCTGGGTCACTGTGCCTAGAGGTGGCCATCCAGAGTCACCGGCCCTCACCTCTGAACCCAGCAGGAAGGAAGGTGAGAAGCCAGCAGCGGTGGTGTGAGCGGGGCCCCAGAAGCACAGCAGGGTCTCATCACCAGCTCTCCGCCCAATCTGAAGGCCGCAGGGGAGCAGCACGAGCAGGGATCCCAGACCAAAGAGGCCCCAGATGGTGGCAGGGCCCAGCAGCAGTCCACTGTCACTCTGCTTGGACCAGGGGAGCAGTGACCAGACTCTGCCCTGGATCAGATGACTTGGGGAGCTGTTGAATCCCAGCCCGAGCTGACAATTGGCCGAGCCATCGTTGAGAGCTTGGAGTGACAGCACTAAATTCTCCAAGAAAGCAGCAACTGGACCAGCCCAGAACTGCCCTCCGGAAGTGGCCAGAGCCCAGCCCCAGCATCATGTCAGAAGTCAGGAAGCAGGCTGGAAGAATGAGCAAACCAAAAAAAGAAGCCCGCCATAAAAAACAAAGATGACAATATGGAAACTCAAGACTCCAAAATATCTACAAGCAAAACCTAAAGACGGCACCGTGGCATAAATCCAACCAGAATTCCTGGAAGAGATGGTGCAGGAGCTAAAAAAATGTTTTTATAAATTAAGTAGGAATGCTGGAGGAAAAACCTGGAAAAGAAGCAGGAGATAATGGGAAAGGGAACTGACAGTTAGGACAAGGAGCACAGAGCCTGCCCAAACACCAAATTTCTTTAAAATTAGGATGTATCAAATAGAAGTGAATGACTCCAGACACAACAAGAAATAATAATGAAGGGGTCTAAAGAAAGAAGAAGATGTAAGGTATCATGCCAAAAACAGCTGACCTGGAAAAGAGATAAAGGAGAAAAAATGTAGGCATCATTGGACTACCTGAGAGCCATGATAAATTTCAAGAACCTGGACATCATATTTGAAGAAATGTTAAAAGTGCCCCCATCTCTTAGAACAGAGGACGAAGAGGAAATAGAATCAATCCATCAGGCATCTCCTGAAAGAAACCCCCAAGTGAAAACTCCAGGGATATCACGGCCAGAATTCAGAACTTGCAGGTCAAAGAAGAAACGCTGCACACAGCCAGAAAGAAATTCAACTGCTGGGGAGTCACTGTCCGGATCACACACAGGATTTAGCAGCCACCCAGTCAACAGTCAACAAACCTTAATTAGTTACCGTGTGGCCAGCACAGTGCTCAGCCCTGAGGTTACAAATGCGAAAAAAGGACAGTCCCTTCCCTTGGGGAGTTTACCATCTATTGGGGGAAGGCAAAAGGAAGCTGAAAGGGGTGGGGGGAGGGGAAAGAGAAGGTGCCCCACTGGGAGACTTGGTGGAAAGGTCAGTCAGGGAAGTCCCAAAGTCATGTAGCCAGGTGTGAAACGGGAAGGTGCCCTGGTAGTTGATGGCCCCACACGCCCATCAGGGGGCAGAGGGTCGTGCAGGCGGATGGTTGTTGGGGAGTCATTCTTCCATCTTGGCCCCACTCTTTGTGACCCGGTTTGGGGTTTTCTTGGCAGGGATGCTGGAGCAGGTGGCTATTTCATTCTCCAGCTCATTTTACAGATGAGGAATTGGGGCAAACTGAGTGAAGTGATTTGCCCAGGGTCACACAGCTTAGTAATCTAAGCTAATTCCAATAATAAGAGGTACAGAAACTCTGATGGTCAAACACAGGAGTTAAGAAAAACATAAAACAGTCAATAAATACCTATTACGTGCCAGGTGTTAAGCACTGGGGATACAAGCTTGAAAAAGAAAGCGTCCCTGCTCTCAAGGAGCTTATAATCTCATGGGAGAAGATCGCACAGAAAAAGGAAGCTGCAAAGCTGGCAGTGGGGGATGGGGGAGACAGCAGAGAAGTCCAAGAAATCCAGAACAAACCTCTCCTTAAGTGGAGAGCCTAGGGCTCCAACCTCAAATCAGAGAGGCAGCCGAGGGCAATGAGTGTACCAAAGCTGACTGGCTCTTACAAGATGAGGGGACTCCCCAGTGATGAGCTTACTGCTCCACCGCCCCATCCAGCCACCCAGAGTGCAGCAGAAGAAAGGTAAATGGGGACCCAAAAAATGATCAAGGATGAAGCCAGGGTTCTACCACGGTGGCACGGTCCCTGGGTTCCCTCTGAGCCCTGTCATCATCACCATTCATAGAGGGAGTTTGGTTAGAGCCTGGGAATAGTCCTGTTCTGTCTTGATGATGTTAAGAGAAGAACAGAAAACCAGGGGGAAGGTGAATAGTGGAAGGGAGATTTGGGGGAAAAGCCTTCCCCAAATCAGGGCACGCCAGGATGGGGTGGGCGCTGACACTCGGACCTCACTCTCATCTGAACAGATCAAAGGAAGGAAACACGTATGCGTGCCCATGTGTGCACACGCACACCCCCCATGGAACTGTATAAAGAAATACATTTCACTCAGCAGGGCAATAGGGGAGAAGCAGAGAAGGGGAATTGGAGGGTAGATGAAGGGAGGAATAGTGCTAAACAAAACAAACTCCAAGGATGCAGGAAAATATTGACAGCTCTTTGGGTAACTGGAATCTGAGGGGTGGTCGCCAGTTGGGGAACTGACAAGCAAGTGATGGAGCTCTTGTCCTGTAAGAAACGATGGAGGGGACGGTTTCAGAGAACCCCGGGAAGCCTCGGACAAGGGAAGTGAGCAGATCTAGGGCAACAGTTTGTACAAAGAAAGCAAGATTGTAAAGTTAGACAATTTTGCAAGACTTAGGAATTTTGATCAGCATGATTAATCAAGATCCCAGAGGAATAATGATGAAACATGCATGTTCCTCCCCTCCTGATGAAGGTGAAAGACTTAGAGTGGAAAATTATATATATACATATTCATACACATATGTATATGTGTGCATATTATTTTTTCTTTTGGACACAGCCAATGTAGAACTTGGTTTTGCTTGACTATATATATATATATATTTTTTTTTGGTGAGGCAATTGGAGTTAAGTGACTTGCCCAGGGTCACGTAGCTAGTAAGGGTCAAGGGTCTGAGGCCGGATTTGAACTCAGATCCTCCTGGGTCCAAGGCTGGAGCTCTATCCACTGTACTACCTAGCTGTCCCTTGTTTTTCTTTTATTCTCAATTTGGGTGAAGGGGGAGTTGAAGTGGGAGGGAGAAAGGGTAGATTTTTACTGATCACTGTTGACCTAAGTGAGGTGAATGGCTTTGCTCTAGCTCTCGGAAGCCGCCAAGCACCCTGTGATTTACTGACCGCCTAAGATGCAGTAAGTGCCGGTGCTGAGCCTCCCCCTGGCTTTGTCTGTTGTATTTCTGCAGGAGCCACGAGCAGTGATGGTCAGATCAATGTCTATTTTTATAAGGATCATTTAAATGCATTTGTTTGCCCGGTGTCATGGAAACAAGCCAGACTTCAAACTCAAAGGCAGACTCGTGAATGGTGAGGTTGCTTATGTTTCTTTGAAGTTTGTATGACAAAGCAGAATTGCCTTAACACAGATAAAGTCAGAGACCTATTGATGGCAGTGCGTCATCCCTTGTAAAGAGGACAGTATTACCCATGGAGACTGTTTGTAGAACTCTCCTTGGGGTCGCAGTGTTTGGTGAAGGCGCTCTCATTTCCCCTCTATTTTTCTTTCTCTAGCCAATAGCTGGAGAAAGTATTGATCAACTGTCTCCCAAGGAACCTAACTTTCTTTACATTCCTGTATTTCTCAGAATTAAGGAATTTGAGTTGGGAAGGATTTGTCCAGCTGGGCTGTCCAGCATCTGCTCCAGACCTCTAACGAGGGGGAGCCCAGCACCTCTGGAGGCACCTACGTCTGTCCTTGTTGGGATGCTTTTCCTGCATTTTCAGAATTAATCACTCCAAATATGGCTTAGCTTTTTGTCACTAATAGAAATTGAAAAAAGTCTTTATGAAAAGTGCTTTCACTCTCATGGCTCCTGGCTAAAAGTGGTTTGGTTTTGGTTTCCAGGTCAGCCCAAGAATGTCCTCCATCTCGGAAGAAGAATATTTTGTAGGTGCCTCTTCCTTTGCCCAGCAGAGAGAAAAAGTCGGTTAGTAGGGCTGACAACTGGAACGACGCTCCCTGCGTGCACAAAAGCCTCCGGGAGCATCTGCTAGCCAGCACCCAGATGGAGAAGGAAGAAAGCAAAAAGTGAGTCCTTGGCCAAGGAGTCCGGCCTGGACTGGACCCTGGAAGTCCCTGAAGCAGGCCTGGGGGGTGACTAGGACTGCAGCAGAGGCATCCCAGGAGACACTGATCTAGCTGCTGCTGCATACCAGGCACGGTGCTGGGGCTCTGGATGCAAAGCCAGAAACATAGTTTGCTTTCCCCACAAGAATGCCACTTGTGTGTAGGCCTGGGAATCGGGGAGGGGGCGCTTGAGCTGACTTTGAAGGAAGGTAGACGTCAGTTGGAAGGGCACTCCAGGCCTGGTAGACGGCCTGGCAGGAGAGGTAGGGGGGTGGGCAGTGAGGCGGGGAGCAGAAGCAGAGCAGTTGGGGAGCCGCTGTCACCCGGCAGCGGGAAGAACAGGGCGTGGGGGCAGCTGCGGAGGCAGAAGGAAGCTGTGGCCTCAGCCCCTGAGGAAGGTCGGGGGTTGGGCTCAGTCTTGTCTCCTGCCCACTGTTATTCTGCGAAGTCCCCCCACAGAGCTCATGGCTGATACCAGAAACAGGGCCGAACAATTCATCATGATACAGTGGCCAAAGTCTGTTCTGGCCCAGCCTGGAGCTGGTGCTCGCCCCAAGGGTGTGCAGCCTTCCAAATTCCCTGCTCCCACAGGGGAGGGGAAACACAGTGACCTGTGGGAGCCTCCGAGATTCCCCTTCAGCCCGTGCTTGCTTGCAGGTTTGAGGACCAGCTGTGCCGCTGGCTGAGCAAAGAGCACCATCGTCTGGCTATTTCCCTTCCCCCCCGCTCAGTCCGGCATCTCAGTCGATCGTGTCAGTGATGCGGTTCCCTGCGCTGGCCAGGATGCAGGTAGGGACGTGGCCTCTCCCACCCCAGAGCGCTCTGAGTGGGCAGGGTCTGCAGGGCTCGTGGCCCTCTGGCACCAAGACCGCCTCACAGGACGCCAGTATGTCCTGTTCACAGAATGACCTGCAGGGAGGGCAGAGCCCCCAGCTGGGACCTCCTAGGTCCTGGTCATTTGTTCTGGACATGTTCCCGTTCTTTCACAGAGGCACGCGGCTCTGTCCCAGACCTTGAGGGGAGGGGCCGATGAGATATTGCTTAGCACAGCGCCTGGCATACACTAAGTGCCAGTGTTACTGATGTCTAATCTTCACAGAACTAGTGTGATTCCTTCTGGCAAACAGACTTGGCTTTCCCAACACTGGGACTGCCCATTAGCGCCCACCCTGAAGGCTCCCTGTGAAGACTGAAAGGCAGTTGGTCTCCTTTGTAAATAAACTCAAAGGAAGCATTTGACCGTAGGCAGCACAGTACATGTTTTACTGAGTATTGGCAAAGATGGGGAGCAAAGGACAGGATTACCCCGTCCTCCTTCGGTGGCCCAGGGAAAGGGACACTCGCCTTTAGGGGCTGCTTCCCCTCAGCCGCCAGCCTGGCATGCTGCCAGGCCCTTCCCTGGGTCTCTCTGCTCCTTGCCTGGCACTTTCTTGCCCATTCATTCCTCTTCCTCCCAACAGGCGACAAGAATGGAAGACGTGCCCCCTGAGGAGAAGGCTGAGCCCTCTCTGCTGAAAAGATTGAAACATTTAGAAAAGCTAATCAAAGCCACCAAGGACGAAGACGAGGTTTACAAGTTCCACTTGTCAACTCTGAGAGACTTGGGAGACCTCTGATTTCATGAAAAAAAAAGAGACAGAGTTGGATGGAGTTCAAGAAACGTGTGCAAACCTTTAATGCCATGTTACCCCTTCCCCAAACGTTTCATAGAATTGAGGGACCTGCAGGTAGACTCAACGTCTGAACCGTTGGGATGCGGGGTCCAGTTATGAAATAAAGGCACGCCCACAAGTTAGAAGCTTCCTGTGCCAGGACAGGCTTCGTCTTATCCCTGCACTGGCGCTTTCTGTCCCCTGGCTTAGTCACTTGGGCAGATGAAGGGAATTTAACCGTTTACAGATGCCCCAGGGTCCCACAAGACCCTGGAACTGACTTTCCTGAAAGAAATCCCTGATTGTCATCTTGGTGTGGCCGGAAGGCCGGCCCTCACTGGCGGGGCTCCCTGAGCTGAGGCCTCTCCTCACAGGGCACAGCTTTGGGGGCCCCCACTCTCCCTCGCTTCCCTCCACTTCTCTGACCTCCTTCCAGGTCACCGTCTCTCTCCCTTCCCTTCGGGTCACTCTGCATCCTGGAGGACGCTCTCTGGCCATCGTGGCCTGAGCTCCAGGCTAGACTGGTTTCTTCTGGGTGGGGGCAGCTGCTACTGATCCACAAAGGGCATTATCCAAAGAGGTTCTTGGTCAGTGGCTGGAGGCTGGTCCCAGTGACCTCGTTCAGCGCTTCAAGAGTGACCTTTTCTTTGTGGTACATCTGAAGGAGAGGAGGCAGGGAGGAGGGTTAAGCACAGTCTGCTGGGTAGCACATTTCATTAACCATGGCATAGACGATGCTCTTGTGTAGATGGGTAAAGCAGGCTCGAGATGGAGCATCTCTGACAGATCCTGCATGAGGTGTGGCCTGGCTTGGCCCCCCTGCCATGGCCTGGCTCAGCCCCCCCCCGCCCTCCTCCCATGACCCAGCCTGGCCCCCTTGCCCTCCTGCCACGACCCAGCCCGGTCTCCCTGCCCTCCTGCCACGGCCCAGCCCAGTCTCCCTGCCCCCCTGCCCTCCTGCCATGACCCAGCCCAGTCTCCCTGCCCTCCTGCCACGACCCAGCCTGGCCCCCCTGCCCTCCTGCCATGACCCAGCCTGGCCCCCCTGCCCTCCTGCCATGACCCAGCCCGGTCTCCCTGCCCTCCTGCCAAGGCCCATGCAGGACAAAGTGCCGATGATTTCCAGGGCCACTTTTGAGGCTGCTGAAGCACAACTGGTACCACTCTGATTTCCATTTTCTCTTTCACTCAAGAGAAGGTTTTCCTTCTCAGAAAGAAACGTTAGTTTTTGTGGCTCCTCCTTAACAACTTTTAGCGATTTTATCCCCAAATTGAGTCCCCTCCATGGGAGACGATGTGCAGACTCCCACGCGACTGCCAGGCTGGCACCAGAGGACCCTGGAAATCCCGGGCCTGCTCGGGGACCGGAATGAGCCCAGCCTCGCCTCCCTGGGCAGAGGCCGGAACGTCAGACCCGTGGTCTGGCTCCTGACCCTCTTCTCCAGACTCTCCCTCAGTAAGCATCCACCACGCCCTTCACCAGACCCTCGCCCCTCCAGAAAAAGGCAAACCCTCTGGTCTGAGGGAACGCGCTGTTTCTTTGACGGGGCTGTCCTTGAGGCAGGGTCTGCGTGGGAGTTGAGGAGTTGTGGGAAGCGGGGCCCCTGTCACCTGCCTCTTGCCATTCTGCTGCTGTGCTGTGCTTGTACCCGAGCAAATGGCAAAGCCCGTGAGCCGTCGTCACCTGCCAAGTAAACACAGACACCATGCGTCACATGGAAAAAGCCCGTGGCATCATGTTAATACAAAGGAAGCAAGCTGGAAAGAGCCTGCCCTGCTCTTTATTTTGGGTGGAACACAGTGAGTCACCCAGGACAAGCAGGCCTAGATGGACAGTGCCCTGGACCACAGATCTCTTGACGCTGTTTAGTCACGTCCGACTCTCCACAACCCCATTTGGGGTTTTCCTGGCAGAGACTGCAGCAGTGTGCCATTTCTTTCTCCAGTTCATTTTACAGATGGGGAAACTGAGGCAAAAAAGGTGAAGTGACGTGCCCAGGGTCACACAGCTAGGAAGTGTCTGAGACCAGATCTGACCTCAGGCCAGGAACTCTACCCACGGCACCACCTCGCTGCCCATGACATTCCATTCTATGACTGCCAAGGGCCCCACCCATTGGCATCACCTTCAGCTCCTCTCTCACACTCACCACCCTTATCCAGCTTCTTCTCAAGGCTCATTACTACCTTCCCGACATCTTGCTTAGACTTGCCCTCATCACCTGTCACCTGGACTCTGACCACAGCCTCCTCACTGGTCCCCCTGCCTCATATTCTTCCGTCTGGCTGCCAAGGGGCCTTCCCACAGCACTGCTATGACCACTTAACAACTCCACTGGCTCCTACTGACGCCAAGGTCGAGTACAGGGAGCCCACTGCTCTCTGAGAGTCCCCCACTACCCCACAGGAGAATACTGTGGAATCCAGGCCAAATCCCTTTTGAAGACCCGACTCCTCCTAGGGAAGGTCGGCAGAACTACTGAAAAACGACATAGAGGCATGTTGGAAGGGTCAGGCATTCCTTGGAGATCCCCCAGCAGGGACTGGACCAAAAGCCTCCCAAAGCCTAGCCCTGGGTCCTCTCCATTGGGTTTGGGCAGAAACAGCTGTCAAGGGAGAATTCACTGCACTGCTCTCTGCGGAAGTGCTGACAACTGTCATGAGCACACAGAGTTGAGGTCTAGGCAAAGCCATGGGTCTGGCTATGAGGCCCTGCTGAGCATGGGGGACAAGGGGGGTACAGGAGAGCCAAGGAAGGCTGGAGGGGAGCAGGGAGGGCTGGAAGCACAGGAGGGCTAGGAGAGGTGAGCAGGGAGGGCTGGAGAGGGGGTGCAGAGAGGGCTGGAGGAGGCACAGGAGGGTTGAGAAAGGGGATCAGGGAGGGCTGGAGGGGGGACAAGAGGGGAACACAGAGGGGAGGATGAGGAGGGCACAGGAGGGCTGGCTGAGCAGGCTTCTCTGGGCCATTAGCTCCTTGTGTTCTTGGCATCTTAGACAACAGAAACTGCTCTGCTTCACCCCCGGGCATCCCTCTCGTTCTGGAGAGGTCCCAGAGGTCACGGAGAGGGCACAAAGGGCTAATCCCCTCGGGGCTGACTACAGGGCCCTGAAGTTTGTCCTCCCTCCTGGCTACAAGGACCCAAGGCCCACAGGGCATCAGTGACACCTGGCATAATTATGTTGGCTTCTGCCATTTTCTAACCCTGACACAGTGTCAGAGTCCCTGGAGTCCCCAGTGTCCAGGTGCAGGACGACATCCAACTGGTCTTCTGTCAGTGCCTCAGAGGGGCTGGTCCCCTAAGGGGAGCAGGGTGCAGCCTGAGGAGGAGGCTCCCGATGATGACCCAGTATGAAGACCTGTCAGCCCTTTCCCTATACGCTTCTTGAGGGCCTACTCCACAAAGCCCTGGGGTTGCAGCTGCCTCCAGTGCCCCCTGGCCTCCTCCAGGACGCGAGACCCTGTGGCCTTCCCTCCCTCCCCCCTCAGGGGGTTGGCCACAAAGAAAAGTGGACCCGAGTCCTGCAGGCTTCCACCTACTGTCAGAACATCACAGTAGTTTTCACCGTTCTCTTGGCACTGCCGGAAGATGTACTCCACTCCTAGGAAGACGTCTCCCAAGTTGAAGTCATCCCGGCACTCCGGCTGAGGCACCGCCCCTGCCCTCAGGTTCTGCCAAGGGGAAGACACAGGAGCATCACCTCCTCTTCACCTCCTCAGCAATGAGGGTTAGAGGGTTTCTTTCCTTGGAACACTCTCCTGGGAGGTCAGGAGTGCAGTTGGAAGGCTGCGGTCACAGAGGCTGAGAAGCCCAGGCCAACATGACTGCAGTAGCTATGGGGCCAAACCCCCCTTGCCTCCTATGGGTGATGGGAGCGTGAGGATCTGGGGGCTCCCCTCCCTCTCACAAAGTCTCAGTTGCTGAAAAGGACTGGATGTCCACTCTTAGGGTTCTTTCAATTCTTAATTCCTGCTCCCATGACTGGGGCATCTACCTCACAGGATAGTTCTGAGAAGGACTCCTCATAAAGCTGAGTGCTACCGAAGGCCGCACCACACCCTTCTCTGTATTCTGTTGGAGGGGGAGCCCTGACTTTCACCAATAGCCCCCAGAACAAGCTGAAAGGCCTTCATTTGGGGGGGGGTCTCCAAAGGCTGTGGTTCAGTCAAATGGGAAGAAAAGCTTTGCCCAGATGCTGGCAGAGAGGGAAGCATGACGGCTATGTCCCCCGTCCCCATGAGAGCTCCGCTGCAGGGGGCCCCACCCCCCAACTCTCTGCCGTGTCCTTTCGGTTTAACCTGCACACGTTGGGAGAACAAAAAGCGAATCTGACGGCAGTGGATGGTCAGGGTCACAAGGCTCTGACCGAGCCAGGGGAGGTGCCCCCGTGGGGGGTGCTTTGGTTAAGGAAGAAACTGGTGGGGCGAGACGGCGGAGTCCAGGCAGGGACACGCCTCTGCGCTCCCAAACTGCCCTCTGAATGGAGCCTCAGAACCCACAGAAGGATGGGAAACAGTTTTCCAGCCCAGGACAACTTAGAAGGCCGGCAGGAAAGGTCTGTCCCTCTGGGCGACGCAGTCATTCTGAGCAACACTAGGAGCCACGACAACGCCAAAGGAGTCGTGATGGAAACACCCTGCGCTCCAGAGAAAGGCCCGCGGCGCCTGATGCAGATCCAAGCAGGCTTCTTGCTTCCCTTCTTTCCTGTGGGTTGCTTTGGCCTGTGTTTCCTTTCCCAAGATGACTAATAGCAGGAAACACGGCTCGTATGACTGCACTTGCACAGCCTACTTAAGACTGCTTCCTTCTCGATGGGGGGGGGGAAGGAGGGAGGGAGAAAATTCGGAACTCAAAATTTTAAAAAATGGCTGTTAAAATTTTTTGTTATGTAATTGGAAAAAAAACATTTTAAAAAGAACAAAACTGAAGTAAATTAGAGGCAAACAGGCTCCCCCTTGAAGCCCAGAACACAAAATTACCAAGCATTCCTCAGCATGGCATCCGCCACTGCAGAGAACAGCAGGGTTTGGGAGTCACATCTACCCGCCCCCCCCCCCAGCTCTAGTGCGAAGGAAGCCTTTACTTCTATGCAGGCCCCACTCCCTCCACCCCGGCTCTTGGCCCTGCTCTCTGCAACCAATCGATCCCTTCAGACACTCCAAGACAGCTCATGCGGCCCGCGCGGAAGCCTTTTCTTCTCTAGGCCGGGCAGGCCCAGTCTGCACCTCGTGGGACCCGAGCATCTTGGCCTCCCACCTCTACTCGCTCTCAGAAGACAGTGAGCCTGCAGGTGTGGCCTGGCCAGGGAAGAGAGCAGCCCCTCTGCCCTCCTGGAAGCGGGCCCTCTCTTTACAGGGCACAGACCCCACTGCTTCACTGCCATTATTAATCTTTTTTTGAGTGAAAGTTAAAAAAAAAAAACCTCCAGGAGAAACTGCTTGTCTTTGAAGAGCCTGACCTTCCATAATGCCAGGCCAGCCCAGAGCAGCCAAGAAGCTACCTTACCTCATGGAAAGGAAAGGAAAGCACGTCAGTGGGAGTGGGGTTTTGCCTGTACGTTCTATTAAGGCGCTGAATGCCTTTGTCATCCACACATATCACGCCCAGGTCGAACTGCCGGATGCCAAGGATGTGCCGGAGGACCTCGATTCTGGCCCGAAGTGGGACCCTCCGAATGGGGACGACGCTCTGGAGGTTTCTGAGGATGAGGCTCATCTCGAGACTGGGAGGACCCTATGTGGGTTGTAAAGGAGACGCTGTGGATTACATGTGAACGCAAACATTAGACTAGAAAGTGATACTACAGTCTCCTAACAACACCGCTGAGCGGCATGTTAGCTGGGAGAGCTCAATGATGTTTTTTAAAAAAATTAATTAATTTCTTTTGATTTATCAACAATCACTTCCATGTGCTTTTGAGTTTTAAATTTTTCTTCCCCCCTCTCCCTTGCCCTCCCCAAGACAGTGTGCAATCTGATAGAGGCTCTACATATACATTCCTATTAAACATTTTCACATTAGTCATGTTGTAAGGAAGAATTAGAACCAACAGGAGGAACCATAAGAAAGAGGAAACAAAACACAACAGAAAGAAAAAAAGAGCAAATACTGTTCTTCCCTCTGCATTCAGACTCCAAAGTTCTATCCCTGGATGTGGATTGCCTTTTCCATCATGAGGCTTTGGGAGACGTCTTAGATCCTTGCACTGCTGAGAAGGGCTGAGTCTATCAAAGTTAATCATTGCACAACGTGGCTGTTACTGTGTACAGTGTTCTCCTGGTTCTTCTCACTTCATTCAGTTGCTATAAAGTTTACAAGACATTTCACATGTAGTACTAGTGTTAGGTAGAGTTTGTGGAGGCCAGCAGTCTGTGCCCTCCAGCAGCATGTCCAGGGGGAGACAGTGTAGAAATGATCGGGTCTGTGTGCACAGGAAATGGAAGGCTGTCTCTGAGAGGAAGGCCCTAAGCAGGCGCAGGTTCTGGGAGAGGCTTCCTGCAGAAGGCAGCCTGTGATCTGAGCCTTGGGGAAATGCCCAGTAGACACCTGGTCACTGTCCTGTTTTCTTCTGTGTGGTTTTCACATTTTACTTTGTTTTCCTCTCGCTGTCCCCTACCATCCTCCTGGCTTAGAAGCCTGTCCTTGTTAAGTACAGCCAAGCAAAAGCAAATGCATAACTTGGCGGTGTCTGCGTGGGTCTGGTTTCAAATTCTTCCTTGTTGACCTTGAGCAAATTAATTCATCTCCCTGGGCCTCAGCTGCCTCATCTGTAAGGGGGGGAGGGAGCCTGACTTCTTCCAGTCCTTGGGACCTCCACAGCGCCACGATGTGAGGCATGTTTTCACGTGGTTATTAGTAGCTGCATTTCTTCATTAAAAAAGTCTCTTTATGGCCTACAATGGCTGATCTTGGGGGAATAGCACACATTCTGTTGCATTTGGATCAGTTCCGTTAGTGACCATCCCTGGACAAGAATCCCCTCTAGGCCATCTCTGACAAGTGGCTCTCCAGTCAGGCTTGTCTTGAAGACCCCGGTGAGAAGGAGTCCATTGGTGCCCAGGGCAGCCCTGACAGGCCTCTGCTAGGAAGTCTGTCTTTACATCAGGAAGACATGATTTGTCTCTTTACCACTTCTACCCATCACTCCCAGTTCTGTCCTCTGGGGCCAAAAAGAAGCTGAAGCCTAACCCTTCTTTAGCTCTCAAAATGCTCATGGAGTCTCCCTCAGCCTGAACTTTCCCAGCTTCTTCAACCAATCCTCAAATGGCATGAAGTCAAGGCCTTCTCTCGTTTGTAAGACACAAATCATTTAGCTAAATGGAGACAGAATCTACCTTAAGTGTTACGAAGGGAAAGAAGAACTAGCAAGAGCCGAAGGAGGAGCAGACAGAGTGACGGAGGACTGAAAGCAGGCTGTGGCTGACTCTGAGGAGTGCCAGGAGGACGAGGCGGTCAGCAGTGGCACATGCCCCAGAGGCACGGAGAAGGAGTCTCTGGAACGTCACTGCTGATGGTGCTTTCAGTGGCATTCTGGGAAGAGAAGCCAGATTCTAAGGGGGAGAGGAAACAATAGCTCTTCTAACAGCCAACAATTTCTGTTAATGGGAAGAGCAAGGCCATTCTGCCCCATGTGGACCTTTTCATTTCTTGATGACTTAGGCAAAGGTGCCAATGACATGACTGTCACATTTGCAGATGGCACGAAGTTGGGAGGGGATCCTGGATGACAGGATCCGAAGAAGGTGACGGGCTAGATGCTGGGGCAAACCAAGTAAGATGAAATTTAATAAGGATAAACAGAAAGTTTCAGATGTTTGAACATCTATTTCTCAAGTCCAGGATGCATGAGGAAGTATGGCTAGACATTTTAGGACCACAGCATTTAGAACTGGAAGAGCCTTAAGAGGTCACTTAGTCCAGCCTGCTCACTTGGGGATTGGGGAGGGGACGACCGAGGCTCAGGGAAACATAACCAAGGGCATGCAGCTTGGACCGGAACCCTGGGCCTGATTCTATGTCCAAAAGTACGTCCACTGTTCCACCCTGCTTCCCAATACCATCCGAGTGAACAAGATACTCTCTCTGTGTGGGGCTGGGCACCTAGTGCTTGGCTTCAAAAAGTTTGTGCTCTACTGAAAGGGAAATGGGGTTTTGTGGACTGGAGCGGACTTGGAGTCAGGAGGCACACAGGGAGACCCCAGCTCTGCTCCTCACTCCCACTTCCCTCAACCTGGACAAATCACTTCAATGGGGCACGATACTATCTATCACAGCGTGTGTGTGCTGGGCACACCAAGGCAAAAACAATAACAACCAATCCTCCCTGCTACATGAGGGGAGCTGGTGGCCTCGATTCCCTGGTCCAAGCAGGACCCCAAGGTCCACACGCTCAGTCTCTTCTGGTCTCTGTGGCACTGGGCAGAGCTCACGCCTCTTGTCTTCTAGGCTGAAGTTTCCCTCGGGCTTCTTCAAGCTGATGGCCACAGCAATGAGGATGAGGATGGCCAAGAGGAGGGTGAGGAAGACTGAGGATGAGGTCAGTCAAGAGGATGAGGATGGTGAGGATGAGGATGAAGCTGGCCAAGAGGAAGATGAGGATGAGGGCACGGCCACGATGAAGGAGGAATGTGAAGTGAGAATGAGGATGAAGATGGTGAGGATGAGTTCGGCCAGGAGGAAGAGGCCTGCCCGCCCTTGCCGAGGTCACACCCACCGGGGCCGGGAGAGACCCTGGCTCTCGCTGTGCCCCCCCCCCGGGGCCAGCCCCCTCCCCTCTCTGGGCCCGTCATGTCAGAGGGTAGGACAGACGTCCGTCCCTTCGAGAAGCCCCTTCCCCAGCTGGGCCTCAGTTTACTCGCCTGTTGGGGTGGGGCATCAGACCCGCGCTCCAACTCCTCCCCTGCGTCCTCACCTGCCACCTGCCGGCTCTGCTCTTTCCCGGAGCTCCAGGCTCAGGCACGCACGCGCACGTACTCACGGAACGCACGAACGCGGCCCGCAGACGTAGTGCGCACGCGCGCACAGCTCGCACACGCTGCGCACGCGCAAACCCGAGTTCCGGTCGCGGGACCGGGATAGGACAAAACTTCCTGGCGCGACCGGAAGCGGCTTCAGGTGCGTCTTTGTTTACGGCCCGCCGGGCTGGCGGCTCCTTGTCCTCTTGTTCGCTGGGCTCGGACCCGGGGCCGGCCGAACGTCCGCCAGGCCCTCTCTTCGTGCTGCCAGTGGGTGAGTGCCAGTAGGAGCAAGGGCCGGGTCGAGACTTAGACGTCACCTCATCTTCCCCTTTCGTTCCCTCACATCTTCCAGACAGGGAAGCAGACGCAGCCCGGACCCAGCCCCTTCACCGCCCCGGCCTCAGTTTCGCTGTCTGTAAAACGAGGCGGTCACGCCCGCAGGCCTCTTCAGCCCCGGGCCGGGGATCTCCTCCCCGCTGGCTTTAACAGGTGAGGAAACTGAGGCCCGGAGCGGTGGGGGTGGGGTCCACCCCAGGTCTCCTCCCGGTCCTCACCTTAGCCCGGAGCCTGGGACACAGCAGGTGTTTAAGCAGTGCTCGTTCTGCTTGGGGACAAACTTGCCCATTTAGCGGCTTCGGAAACTGAGGTCGGGGGCCATGCAGAGGAATCAGGGCTTCCGGGGTCCTGGAGAAGGGGGGCAGTGACCGGGGTGCTGGGGGACCCCATAAGTGACCGGAGGAACAGTAACAGCCGGTCTGCTTGTGGCAGCCGGAGTTTGGCGATGTCATGAGGTCCCCATTTTACAGATGGAGAAACCGAGGCGGGCGAACGTGAAGGGACTGGCCCAGGGTCACACAGTTAGGACTTCCGAGGCTGGGTCGAGCCAGAGCACCCGGCCTGGGGCGGGCTTGAGGCAGCACAGAGGGGATGGGCTCCAGGCTTGGGGCTCCGGGGGAGGAGCAGGGAGGCTCAGCCCTGGGGGGTGGGGAGCTCTCAGCTGGAGCAGAGCCCCGCCCCCCAGCTGCCTTGCAGAGGAGGGGGGCCATTTCTGGGGGCAGGGCTCCTGGCAGCGGAGAGCCTGAGAGTGGTCCCCGCCCTCCAGGAGGGGCTGGGGGGTGTCATGTGTGCACTAGGTGGGGAGCAGGCACCCACCCTCAGCCCTGGTTCTGACAGAGCAGCCTCCTCGGGATCCCCAAGAGAGTGGGTGTCACATGAATCTTCCTTAGGCCCTCCAGGCTGGGGGTTGGATGGGGGGAGGGGTCTCCCTCTGTTAAGCAGGTGTCCGGGATGGGCATAGAAGAGCTGGGTTCTAGTCCATAGCCCTGACACTCATAGCTGGGTGACAGCTTCAGGCAACTCAGAGATGTCAGTTGTTCTATGGGTGGGTTTGCTCATCAGCTCAGGTGGAGGGACTGTCTATACTGACCAAATCCCAGGTCTTAGATGCCTTGGTGTAAAATGCTGGTTCTCCCCCTTCCTCTTCTCTCTCCCTCCTCCCCTCCCCCTTTTCCCTCCTTCTCTCTCTCCCCTTTGTTCTTCCCCCTCTCTCCCCCTTCCTCCTCTCCCTCCCTCTTTCCCTCCCCTTTCTCCCCCCACCCCTTTCCACTCTAGGCCAAACCTCTCATTTACAGGGAAAGCTTTTGAAGACCAAGAAGGAGACTGCACATTTCAGGGAGGAGCAGGAGCTGGGGCTGCAGTCTCAGTCCTGGCTCCATCCAGCTCCATCTTTCATTCTCTCACACCTTGAGGCCTCATTGTGATTAAATGCAGAGGCTGTTAAGAGTCTTTTCCTCTTGGGGGACTGTGTGGCTAAATTACTAGGCCTGCTGCTCCCCTTCTTGTTTTTTAAACAGTAAGGGTGCCGCTGGCTTTGAGTTAATTCCTGCCTAGAATTATAAGTTCATATTATTTCTTATTTGTCAGTATTGAACAGCAGAGCACCAAGTGGCATGGGGAATAGAGCGCTGACTGACTGAGGAGGCAGCTAGACCTGAATGTAAGCCCTGCCTCAGACTGTGTGACCTTGGGCAAGTCGCTTACTTCAGGGGATGTCCCAGTTTCCCCATTGTAAAATGGGGGTAATGCGCTCCCTTCCAGGATCAGATGAGATAACGCCTCTCCAGCCCTTTGTGAGCCTCTGGGAGCTATCACAATGTCATCTCACTCTGTCTTTCAGCTTCCGGGGATGGCCAGGATGAAGACAAGCTTAAATCAGCAGCTGGTTTTGTAGCTCTCTTAATCTCTTTTGCTTTTCAATAATTGGTTTGGAAGATGAACCCCAACAATCCTTTTGGGGGGCAGCAATCAAATCTGTTCTCCACCCCTCCCAGTGGCTCACTGGGAACATTTCCGGTTCAGCCACCATTTCGATTTGGTCAGCCCTCGCTTTTTGGGCAGAACAATGTGGGCTCAGGACAGAACACGGGGTTTGCACAGTCCTCTGGCTTTTCCCAGACCTCTGGGGCGACTCAGGCTTCTTCAGGACCTACGGTAGGATTCCCATCTGCCTCCAGTATCAGGCTGTCCTCTGCCCAGGCCCCGGTCCAGGCTCCTGCCCTCCCGGCAGCAGCTGCACCTCCTAGCAAGCCGGGATTTAGCTTCAAGCCGTCTAGCAATCTTGGAGCTTTCTCTGGCACCACCAGCTTCGGGCTTAGTAGCGGAGAAGCATCTGGTGGTAATTTGGGGCGATCTGAGTTCAGCTTTAAGACTCCCGAAAATGCAACATTCAGACCAATCTTTGGGGCTGAGGCAGAGCCGGAGAAGACACAGAGCCAGGTCGCTCCAGGTTCTTTCACGTTCTCCCGCCCAGTTAGTAGTGCACCTGAGGCACCAGCCTCCTTTGCGTTTTCCCAGGGGTTGAGCAGCTCAGGCACCAGCCCAAGCTTTACCTTCTCCAGATCGGCTGGCAACCCCCCCCACTCAACCTTTGCCTCTGCTCCATCAAGTCAGAATGTGGAGGAGGAAAAGCGGGGGCCCAAGCCAGTGTTTGGCAGCTCTGGGAGCAGCTTCACGAGCTTTGCGTCACTGGGGTCTGTGGGGGAGCCCTTTTCCACGAGCAAAGCAGCGGGCAAACCAGGGCGGGATGATGCTGGCGGCCAAGGCTTGTTGCTAGCTGGGCATGTGAAAGGGCTGAAAAGGAAAGAAGACCACGACCGGTCCCCCCAGGAGACGAGACTACGATGCCCCCGATGATGTGGAGCTCCTGTCACGGGGAGATCATCCTCCAGAGAAGCGCCCTCCCCGCCTGGCTCGCCAGCGTGGCGGCGGCTTGTTTGGCCGGACGCTGCAGGACGTGCTGAGAAGCAACAAAGAAAGTGGCCGCCTGGGAAGCAAGGAAGTGAAAAAGGAAGCGAGCGCTTTGGAATCCAGCGAGATGGAGCATGCTGCTCCAGCGGGAGCGGGCCAGTCAGCGCTGTCTGCCCCCCGGCTGAAGGAGGAGGAAATGGACAGCAAAGACAGCCAGGCAGGTACGTGCTAGCCACAGCAGATCCCGAGGGCGTCCGCTCCCCGGCCCTGTGGGTCTTCCGTGTGGGCCTGTCCTGCGTGGGCCCCTTCTCCATCCCCGCTGACCCCCCCCCTTCTGGTGACTTCCCTCGCAGGGTCTGCCAGCAGGGCCCCCCCTTCCCGCTGGGGGAAGAAGGAGAGTGTGGACAGCTCCAGCAGCTTGTCACAGAGCGAGCTCACCGCCATTCAGTGCAAGAACATCCCTAACTACCTCAATGACAGGGTGGTCCTGGAGAAACACTTTGGCCGATTTGGGAAGGTGCAGCGCGTCTACCCCCCGGCGCAACCGGAAGCTGGCCATTGTGCACTTCTCTGACCACGTGAGTGCTCTGCTGGAGGTGGTAGGGTTCCCTCTGTGGGGCTCATTGGGGCTCTTCTCTGCCTTCTCATCCTGGGTGTTTCCCCCACAGAGGAGCTGGGCTCATTTCCCACTTTTGCCCATCTGGGGCATGTGCGTGCGGCACTCTGGCTGTACTTGGGGTTCTCTTGCTCTTGTCTGGTGACCGGCCCTCTGCCTTTGCCTGGTTTTCATACCCCTTCTCGTGGGCACTGAGAACATTTACTGAGCACCTGCCACATGCCTGGCCCTGCCCTCAAGGAGCTTATAATCTAATGAGGGAGCCAGCGAGCAAACAAATACTCTTTGAAGATGACCAGGAAATGATTAGTTAATTAACAGGGAAAAGGCATTGTCATTTGAGAAGAGTTGCTTGTCAGTGGAGTGGAGGAGGGCTAGCGTTCCAGGCCTGGGCCACACCAGAGGTGGCCGCAGGCAGGAAGCCCATGTTGCTGGCTCCACCTCCTGGGATCCTGCCCACCTGGGCTCCCTGTGTACTCTCCCATTCCTATTTGGGTCATGAGTGTGGTCTTGTGAGAGCTATGACCAAACTGTAGCTCAGGCAGAACTTTGCATGAACAGAACAGTTTGGGGGCTTAGCAGAAGGAGCCAGGTTTGTAGCAGTGGGCCGAGGCCTCTGATTCTCTACCGCATACCCAAAGTCTTGGACAGGAAACCCATTTCCTGTGTGTTTCTGCTCCTGCTCCCTTTTGTCCCCCTTAATGCTAAGTGTCAGCATGTGTGGTGGCTCGGTTTGGGCTGCAGCTGGTGCCAGACAGCGACCGTGGATGCTTCTACCCTGGTGCTTCCGCACTGGGTGCTTCTCGCAAACTGTTCCCTGAGCTCTCCGTTTGTTTTCACCAAGCACAATCTCAGGGGGAGAAACAGACAGGAAAGGAAACCAGCACCTTCTTCCCACTTCTCAGTGGCCGCCCCTAAAATTTGGCATCCCTCAGCAATCATCAGATGTTGTCATGATGGCAGCCCTTGTCAGCAAGCTCTCCTGCAGACACCTGGGAACTCCCAAGGGCTGAGTGTCAGTGGCTTTGTGCTCGTCGAGGGCCAAGGGGATTTCATTGATGTAGGCAGTCTGTCCACCAAGGTGGATTGCACCCATCTGTAACACGACAGGTGGTTTTCAGGAATTGCCAGGTAGGGGGCAGCTAGTGGCTCAGTGGATAAAGCACTGGCTTTGGAGTCAGGAGGACCTGAGTTCAAATCTGGCTTCAGACACATAGCACTCACTAGCTGTGTAACTCTGGGCAAGTCACCTAACCCCAGTTGCCCTTACACACACACACACACACACACACACACACACACACCACACACACACACACACACACACACACACACACACAGAATTGCCATGGCCAAAACGTTCCTCTGGCCGTCTGTAGCGAGCTGATCTTTGGAACCTTCTTGGCTTGCTTGCTCTCCCCACCCCCCAAGTTCTGTGTTCTCCTGATGTCATCTGGGTGGGTCCCTTACATCATGAGAAGGAAGCGTCCTAACGGAATTGTTCTGACTCCTTGTGTGGCCCCTGCTAGCATCCCTTTCTTTCCTTTCCTTCTCTCTTTATTTATTCCATTAAATATTTCCCAGTTAAAACAGTTTTTTAGCATTCACTTTTTAAAGGTTTGAGTTCCAAATTCTTTCCCTCCCTTCCACCCCCTCCTCCCTCCTTGAGAAGGCAAGCAATTTGCTTTAGATTATACATACGTAGTCATGCAAAACATATTTCCATATTTGTCATGTTACAAAAGAAAATGCAGACCCCCCCAAGAAAAAAGAAAAGAAAAAGAAATTTAAAAAGAGTACCCTTTGATCTACATTCAGACCCCATAGCTTTTTCTCTGAAAGTAGATAGCATGTTCTATCACAAGGCCTTTGGAGATGTCTTAGATCCCTGCATTGCTGAGAAGGGCTAAGTCTATCAAAGTTAGTCATCACACAACATGGCTGTTGCTGTGTACGACATTCTCCTAGTTCTACTCACTTCACTCAGCATTGGACCATACAAATCTTTCCAGGTTTTTCAGAAGTCCGCCTGCTCCTCATTTCTTATAGCATAATAGTATTCCATTCCATTCATATACCACAACTTGTTCAGCCGTTCTCTAGCTGATGGGCATCCCTTCAATTTTCAAGTCTTGGCCATCACACAAAGAGCTGCTATCACTATGTGTGTACAAGTGGGTCCTCTCCCCTTTCCTTCTCAAGGCCAGCAGCTCATTCTTGGCAGCACGACTAGCTTTGGGTAGGGTTGTTTTGTCCCTGAGTGTTTCCTCTGGGCTTGTTATCATCCCTCCCTTTGGGGCTTCTGCTTCCTCCTCATTGGTTCTGGAATTGTTTTCAGGCGTCTGCAGCCCTGGCTCGGAAGAAAGGGAAAGGCTTGCATAAAGATGTGCTCATCTTTTGGCACAAGAAAAAAACAAGTGAGTGATTCTGAGCTTTTCTGCCGGATAGAATGCCTGTGGTGGGTGGTTGCTCTGTGGCACCTGCCGTTTGTGGCTGCTAACAGGTTGGGGTGACCCGGAGGTGGCTCCTTCAGTGCCCAGCGGTGCCCTCCTCTGGCGTCTTCGGTAACCTGCAGGTTCTGTCCTCATCACCCAGGCGTGGCTTTGTTCTAGATGGTAGTGTCTGATTGCTGGGGAGCCCCCTGGCCTTAGAAACTCCTGACTTAACGTTTCTTCTCTTCAGGTCCCAGCAAGAAGGACTTTTCACCAAAGGAGAAACAATCGAGTGAGGGGGAGGCCAATCAGAGCTGCGAAGACCCTCCTTTCCAGCGCTCCCCGCTACGCAAACCCCCCCCTGAGAGCTGCAGCCAGCAGTAGCGGCAGTCTTCTGAGTAAGAGGTAGGCCTGGTGGCCGTCGCCAATGAGCAAAGCCAGGGAGCACTCATGGATGTGCTCGTTGGCACGTGTGGTGTTTCCTCCCCTTAATGTGAGGGCTCATTTTTGGCTTGTCTCTAGTGCCCTTGCACAGTACCCGGTAGGTGCTTAATATATGCTCATTGACTTGCCTGCTGGGATCCCATGTAGACAGTCAGGAATCAATGATTACTCATCTGTAGTCTTGAGCTACACGTTATAAAACACTAGCTTTTTTTGTCCATTTATGATTCAGAACATCTGAGTCAAGGATCTGTTTTGAATTGACCTTATGAATGGCACATGTGTTTTATGACCCATGAAATAAAAGTGAATGGATGTTTTTTTCACATTGGATTTTAGTGCTAAGAACAAAGATGAGGGTTTTGGTAATGCCTTACCTTGGTGGTCCCTGAGGCAGGGACTGGCTGTGGTGGAAAGAGCTTGGGCGTGAGGGCCAGACACGTGGGCCTCAGCTTTCCTGTGTTCTAAGAGGGGGCTATTGGCTGGTTAAGTTCTGGAAGCTTTTAGGGTTCAGGAAGTCTCTTTTAAGAGTGGGAGGCTCTAATATTTCCAGGGCTTTGTTCATGGGGTTTTCATGACTCTCAAATGTGATAATAAGAATAGGGCACATTTCTGTGGCACTCTCCCGCCATTCCACCATTGCAGTAAAAAGACAAATCACACCCTTGCAGCAGAGTTAAGCAAACACATTCCCCCTTGGCCATGTCTACAGCATGCATGTCTCTCTCTGTCCCCAGCTTGGTCAGGAAGAAGGGTGGGCGCGTTGGCTTTGGGCCTTTGGTTGGGATAGTTCTTAAGGCTTTCTGAGTGGCTTTTCTGGGGTCACCATTTTGTAAATCCTTCTCCTTGCTCTGCTCACTCCAGTGTCATCATCTCATTCAGGTTGGAGGGAGTTTATATGCTTGAACTTCCCAATGGTGGAGAAATTGTAGCCCTAAACCCCGCCTCCAGTTAGGACATCCCCAAAGGTTGTAGTCATGTTCCAAGCCTGAGTAAAAACGAATCAAAGAAAAGCAGTGAGGGGCTGAGTGGTTCTTCCTGTTACCTGGCTGTGGGGGCCTCAGCTCTTGGCTGTGCTGGGCTGCAGACAGACTTGAGCTTCCCTGGGATGGAGCCTTCCAGAAGCCAGGGCCACTTCAAGGCCCCATGGAGGCCTTCCAGTAGGACTTTGAGGGTGGTGATGAAAGGGCATCATCTCGAGAAACTAAGCAAAATGCAGAGGGAGAGAAGAAGGGCTGAGGAGGGGCCAGCCCTTGTGCCCCAGGCATTCACACGAGGTTGGGGCGAAAGGAAGGCCCCTGGGTGGTTCACTGTGGGCAGGAGCTACGCAGGGAGGCGGTGCAATATCACAAAGCCATTGGTGTTTGGAAGGCATGATTCCTCGTGGGGAGCAGGCCAGGGAAGTCCGAGTCAGTGTGGGGATGCTGCTGAGCATGGTGTTCTTTTTCATAGCTCGCCAGTGAAGAAATCGAGCCTTTCCAAGTCTCTTCAGTTTGAAGGGGAGCCCTTTGATTCTGGGCCCGAGGTCCCGAGCTCAGACAACCTGAGCCTGTCGGCGACCACCCTCAGCACCTTGATGGGGACGGTGGCCGAGACGTCGGAGGACAAGTACCGGCTCCTTGACCAGAGGGATAAGATCATGAGGCAAGGTGAGCTTTGGGCTGGCGTCCATCCCCCTCCCCCGCCCCACGTTGTCTGCTGGCCGGCCCGTGCTCGGCTGTGTTGGGGCCTACCGGAGTGGCGCTTCCTGGCGCGTCTTTCAGCTGCAGCAAGTCAGGCCTGACGACTCTTTGATTGCTTCGCGGTTTTCCTGGGGGCTACCCCTGTCGATATAAGTGAGGGAAGCTAAGCTCCTTGAGGGTGAGGGAGGCCTGGTTCACTTTTGTCCTGGCATGTCTGGCTGCCAGCTGCTGGGCACCTGAAGTGGTTGACGGCCCGGTCAGTGGGCATTGGCTCACTCACTTTGACTGAAGCGTCCTAAATGGATCTGGAGCACCGTGCCTATACCGAAAGAGAAGCAGTGGAGAACCGATTGGGGTTTTATACTAGCATAGCCCCTCCCTGGACAGATAGAGGCCATGAAAAGGACTTTCAGGTCTCGCCCAAGAGTCACTTTCTGTGTATTAAGGAGACGTAGCTAAAACCTTAGCTGGTGGTACGGGCACACCAAGCCCTGGGCCTGGACCCAGGAAGACCTGGGTTCCAATTAAGCTTCAGACATTTCCTGGCTGTGTGACCTTGGCCTAGTCTACTTATTTAGCCTCTGCTTCTGTTTCCTCACCTGTGAAATGGGGGTAGTATCAGCCCCTCCTTGGGAGGATCCAGTGAGAAAAGATTTGTGAAGTGCTCAGCTTCCTGGGGATCCCGAATGAGTGCTTGCTCACCCGCTCTTCCTCCCCCCTTCTTTTCCCTTCCCCTCTTGATAGCAAAGACTTTTGTGGAGACGGTTTGCTGGGAGCTGTCCTTGGCGGTCCCACTGTTAGAGGGTTTTCTGGCTGATGACGTCCAGGCACCGAGGGCGAGGCCTCCCAAGGTTCTCTTGCGCTGGGATCCCTCCTTCCCTCCTCTCCCCATCGATTTGGGTTGGGGGTCCGTTTCTTCATCTCGCCTGAGGCCCCCTTCCTCCAGGCTTCCAGTATCTCCTTGGTCACAGCCACCCCTTGGGGTCTGTGCCGAGCCTGGGCTCTTCGAGGACAGGGGCAGTTTTGTTGTCCTCCGTCCTTCCAGGCAAATGCTGATTGATTCCTTCTCTTCGATGTCTAGCTCGTGTCAAAAGAACCGATCTGGATAAAGCGAAAGCCTTTGTGGGGACGTGTCCAGACATGTGTCCCGAGAAAGAGCGCTACATGAGAGAAACCAGGAACCAGCTGAGTTCTTTCGAAGTTCTCCCTGGAACGGATCAGGTAGGGTCACGTGGCTCCCTGCCTTGATTTAGCCTGGCAGCTTTTTCTTCACGTTGGCTCTGTATGTGCTCAAGTGCTTTGCTTTGATTGGAACTGTGACCTCATTGGTGTGGTAATTGCTGCAAAGCCCGCATATCCCATGGGACTGTCCTTCACGTCTGCCCTGGGTGCAGGGGGCCCTGTGTAGCCCTCAGGCTGTCCACCAGTAGCTCTCTTCATCGACACGAGATACCAGCTCATGCATCCACTTTACCATTGGGAATCTGCTGTGGGCTATGGACACTCATTGTCATCTTCATACTACGCTTTGGGAAATTCTGATTCTAGAAAGATTGGAATTCTGTTAGTGGCAGCTCTATGTAGCATCCCCAGAAGGCTGTGTGGGCTTTTAAAGGTGTTTTTTTGGGGGAGGGAGGGTGGGAAGCTTGCTGTCATTGAAAGACCCGCCCAGTTTCCTGGTGTAATCCAGCCCACTTGCTTCCTCCTCCTCAATTCTGGGCCCATTTCGGGGTCTGTCTGCTCACTGCCCCCAGAGCCCCTCCTGTCAGCCCCAGCATGCTCCTGGTGACAGTGTAAACAAATGGCCCAACTTGCAGGTGGCCTGGCAGCAATGGAAACATGCTTAGTGGCCTGTGGCCAGCATGACTTGCCCATGGGCAGTGCCTTTGGCTATCATCAGAGGCCCCCTAGTGACCTGAAGGCTGGACAGACACGTAGCTGGAGGGCACCCTGGCTCCCCACAAAATGCTCCCAAATCTAGGCAGAGGCTGCTGCTGCACGATGTAGGTCATGGAAAGACATACCCAGGGGTCAGTGGTTAAAAAGGCAGGACTTGGGTGGGATTGGCCTTATTGAAGGGTACCCTGCCAGTAAAATCCCCTAGATGTCCCCATATCTAAGTCAGCCTGGGTTCAACAAAGGCAGGTGGAGAACAGTGGACAGCTGACTAGGCTGACTGGCGTATGAAGACAGTTCTTTGGCCTTTGTGCAGAGGTGAAGCGTGGGGAGCTTTGGGGAGATGAAAATGCAGAGGCAGGGTCGTGCGCTCTACCTTGTTGGGAGCTCCCAGACTGGCGAAGTCTCCTGTCCACTCCTAACCCTTGTGAGGGGGAGTGATGGGTTTTACTCGTTAGTGAAATCTTGAGTACACAGGCCTTCTAAGACAAGCAGAATTAAAACAAATGTGAACCAACAGAAGGCTTTTTCACCCTTTTCTTAGGTGGACCACGCGGCAGCGATAAAAGAATACAGCCGATCCTCGGCTGACCAGGAAGAGCCCCTGCCTCATGAGCTGCGTCCCTCGGGGGTGCTCAGCATGACCATGGACTACCTTGTCACCCAGATTATGGACCAGAGGGAAGGGAGCTCGCGTGACTGGTACGACTTTGTGTGGAACAGGACCCGTGGAATACGAAAGGTAGGACCTGGGCCTCCTTTGGAGAATTGCAGGCTGGAAGCTGAAACCTGGGAGGGTGGTAGCTCCCATTTCTCTGGCGTATCCCAGCTATGGGGGGCCTGCTCAATAGTGTTAGCCCTAGGTGGCAGGCGGTGGGAGGCTTGTCCCCATTTCTTAGATGAGAAAAGTGAGTGTCTGGTGAAGTTACTTCAGGTCAGATGTGCAGGAAGCACAGTCCTGCAGGACCTTGGAAAGTGCTACAGGAGGGCCATTTGTCCTGGCTGTTCCAAGGGTGATATGCCACGCTCAAAGTGATAACGAAGTCCCAGGAGTCATTCTAAAGCACCCACACGTGCAGTGTGTGTGGGTGTGTGTCTGAGTATGTGTGTGTGTGTACATGTGTACGTCTGTCTGCCAGACCTTCATTCGCATGAGTGTAAGAAGCAGGCGGTTTGTAACAGCCAGGATGACCCTGGCCCTCGACGACGCTCTCACTGCCTGGTTTTGTCCGGCTCTGTTCTCGTTGGGCAGGACGTCACTCAGCAGCACCTCTGTGACCCCCTGACAGTGTCACTGATTGAAAAGTGCACCCGCTTCCACATCCACTGTGCTCACTCGCTGTGTGAAGAGCCCATGTCCTCCTTTGATGCCAAGATCAACAATGAGAACACAACCAAGTGTCTGCAGAGCCTCAAGGAGATGTACCAGGACCTGGCCAACAAGGGCGTTTTTTGTGCAAGCGAAGCAGAATTCCGAGGCTACAATGTCCTGCTCAATCTCAACAAGGGAGACATCCTGAGGTGAGTCCTCCGCTGGGGGGTGTGGGTAGTGGAGGGGCAGTGAGAGTGGGGGCTGGGCAGGGTTGGCAACTGTCCTCCAGGAGCATCCCGGCCACTGGCATCCCATAGCGAGCTCTTCTAGTTCAGCCCATGGAAACTGAGGCCAAGAGAGGGAAAGTGGCCCGCCCAGGATTTCTGGAGCCAGCCTGGCCATCGATCTGCATCCCTCGGGGCGACAGCAGCAGCTGCAGGGCCGGGCCAGGCAACTCAGCCCAGAGTGTGGGGGGGTCACCTTGGGGCAATGTGGGGAGCTCAGGAGCGTGCCGATGGCTGACCTTCACTGCAAAGATGTCAGCACCAGGAAAACAAAAATGTGCCTGGAACCTCAGGACTGGGGGAAGTCCAGGTTCTGGTGATGTGTGTACACGTGAACAAATCCGTGTGCAGATGAGCATGGCTGAAGCTCTGTGGTGTTTGGATTGCAAAAGACGATCTGTGCTTTTCCTAGAGTAGCTCTTCTAGAACATCTAGGTCTGCGATGAAGCATACATCTTCAAGGGAAACCTCTGGGGAAAATGGAGCTGTGGGGTAGAGTTTGAATGGCCTGACAGGGTCCCTTCTTGTCCACCTTCTTGAATCATTCAAAAAGGGTTTTTTTTTGGGAAATTGCGTTTATCTTCCCACAAAATACCTGTGAGCTAAAATTTCTTTCCCCAGTTTGTATGTTTGAGCTTTGTCTGTGCGCACAAATTTCTTGTTTTGTACTGTATTTGTATTGTGTTGTGTCGTATTGGATACAAAGTTATTTTTGTTCTATCGGCGAGCGTGTGGTAAGTACCTACTATGTGACAGGCCCAGGGCAAGGTGCTGGAGATAGAAAGACGAAAATGAAATAAACCCTGCTGTGGAGCTTATACTCTATAGGGGAGATGGCAGCCTAGGGAGAGGCAGCACAGGCTGGCCCAGCCTCAGTCCCCACCTCCCCTCCAAGCCTGAGGGAGCCTGCCCAGGATCCAAGGGTTTGGGGAGGGCCAGCCCTCTAGCTCTGTGCCATCAGCATCCTCCTGGAGGCAGCCCCTGGGGAGGTGTGGCCACAGCCCCGTCACCAGCGCCCTGGGCCCGCCATCCGAGACAGCTAGCATGTTATCAGTAGACGCGGCGTTAAAGAGGAGGCCTCGTCCTCTGCTGTGCTGCTGTCCCCTCTGGCCCTTCCCTCCATGTTGTCTCCTCCCTGGAGAGCGGGGGCTCTTTCCTCTTCATACACCCAGCTCTCAGTGCTGCGCTCGGCAGATAGCACGGGTCCACTCATCCGTGCTCGTGTGTAACCATATGTAACATGTACACGCCTGACTCTGTCCTGTTTTGAAGTTACTCATAAATAAATAACTAGCAGGATGCCTCCCTCCATTGACGCCCGCAGCCGGGTGGGTCCCCGGCAGTAGCGAGGCCTGAGCGCGCCTCTCTGGCGTGTGCTTGCTGTGAGCTCTGAGGGTTCAGACAGACCATTTGGCTGGTGTAGACTCATCAGCACACGTCCCGTTTTGTGTATGCTTATCCTGGTGATCCTCGCTCTCCTTCCGCTGGTGTGCTCTGCATTTCTTCACGAATCGCTTTCTGGTTGCGTCCCCAGAGAGGTGCAGCAGTTCCGGCCCGACGTCCGGAACTCACCAGAGGTGAAGTTTGCAGTGCAGGCCTTCGCGGCCCTGAACAGCAACAACTTTGTCAGGTTCTTCAAGCTGGTTCGGTCCACCTCCTACCTGAATGCCTGCCTCCTGCACTGCTACTTCAGCCAGGTGGGTGAGCTGTGGAGGAAGGGCAGGAGGAGGCACGCTGCTGAGTTTGCTTTGGTCTGCAGTGAGAAAAATTCTGGAGATCAGAGTGCTCTCTGTGGGCCCAGGAATGTGGGGGGGGCATCTGCTCTTCTTCCCACGCACTGCCAGGAGGCCTTGAATGAGCCGTTTCCTTTGGGCCTCAGTTTCTCCATGTGTAAGATGAAGGGTTGGGTTAGACTGAGTTGTCCAACTCACTGCAGCTGAGCCAGATTAAAAGGTAATTGGGAGAGTTTTAACCAAACAGATAAAAGCACAGCACAGCACTGACAATGCCAGCTTGTGGTTTTTAGGCAGCCAGGTGGTACGGTGGGTAGAGCACTGAGCCACAAACCAGCCTCTGGCACTTCCTCTCTGTTGTGGCCTTGGGCTTTGCCTCTTCTTGCCTCAGTTTCCTTATCTGTAAAATGGGGCTCATCGTAGCAATCATCTTCCAGGACTGTCGTGAGGATCCTGGGAGATGATAAGTGTGAGGTGCTTAGCCCAAGGCTGAATAGGTGCTCTGGAAGTGTTAGCTGGCTCTATTGGCGGTTAGGATTTTAAGGCAGTATTCAGATTTCTGTTGTTCTGGGCTAGTCATCTGTCATGGCTTTTCTGAAGCTCTGATCCTGTGATTCGTGGTGATGCCATCAGTGACAGCCTCGTGGAGACCCACGAAGACAAAAGAAGCATCTCAGGCCCAGGAGAGGAGAGTCCCAGCAAGCTGGTCCCTTGCCCAGCACAGCAGACGCACTCACGGGACACTCGGTGCTTTTAGTCTGTTGGGCTCTGCAGGAGTTGGGAGTGGCAGCAGATCACCAATCACTAGAATTTTCTGTGCAGAGTGGGCAGCATTTTCTTTTTAAAATTTCATCTCCAGCCTTTCTTGGGCTTAGAATCTGGAAGTCAGATTTTTAACTCTACAGACATCTCTTGGACATGTTCCCAAGCTACCGATGCACTGGCACCTACCCTACAGGAGTTAGTGCCTGGGAAATGTCTGTTGTGTTGGAGAGTACTTGGTTTTTTGGGTCTGTTTTGGGGGTCTGAGAAGGGTGATGTCAGCTGGATTTTTCTACTTTCTCAAATCAAAAAGCTCCCTCACTCGGTCACTGTTTGGGAATTAACAGATTGTTGAGGAAGAGGGAGAGTGTATGTTTCATGACCTTCAGCACAAAATGCCGTGTGTCCAGGGGGCAGATTTCTCCCTTTTGTGAGGCTTGTTCATGTGAGTAAAAATAGCCCAGAAGGATTTGTTCCCAAGCCAAATAGCTGGTGTGGTTTGCAGGAAATTGTCTTTTTCATTTGATGAAGCACAGGAGCAGTTGGTGATCAGGAGAAGAAACTCCCTTCCTTTGATACAGCACAGCCCACTAAGTGGGTGACCGTTGCTTCAGAACGGTCCCGGCGCGTCTGTGGGTGTTGGATGTTTGCCCTGATGGGTGCCGTTTTTCTTCTAGATCCGCAAAGATGCATTGCGGGCTCTCAATGTGGCTTATACGGTGAGCACTCAGAGGTCCACCAGCTTTCCCTTGGATAACCTGGTGCCCATGTTACTGTTCAGAGACGCTGAGGAAGCGACCGACTTCTTGAGTTACTACGGCCTGAGTGTGTCTGATGGGTGAGAACTCCCAGGAGCTCTTGGCTCTGTCTTGAGCGTCTCCTTCCTTTGGTTAGTGGTACCTTTGCCAGGAGCCCGCCTCTGTCGCTAGGGCCCCCCTGCCTTGATCGGTGACCCTCCCTCCTGCCCTTTCTGATGCCTCGTAGTGACTCAGAGATGGCCTGGATCTTTCAGCTGTCTTGCTGCTGGGCTTGGGGGTTGGGGCACTCCAGGTACAGACCCACTGAAGGAGCAGTGCACCAAGGGTGGAGAGGCTTGTTACCAGCTTGACTCCATGAGATGCATTTGTTGGCCTAGCCCACTTTTAAAGACAGTCTGCTAAGTCATAGATGGGTTGTGATCTGTGTGGATAGACCCTGGGTCCAGGTAGGAGAGCCCACGCAGACTAGAAGGTGGCCCAGGATGAATCGTCCTGTGTAAGCACCATGCTTATAGTTCATCTTTGCCTTTTCAAATTGTGGATCAATTACTCTAGTAGAAATTAGACATTCTTTGGACCACATTTTTTGTTGAAGGCCCAGGAGCGGAGGGCCCCATGTGGTCAACCGAAGGGTGCCTCTTCCCCTCCTATGAGAGGATTGGCCTGCACTCAGGAGGTTCCAGGTTCACAAGTTCAGAGGGAATGCAGTGATGGGCCCCTTTGGGTGATGGAGCTCGGCCTTTGCCCCTTTGTGTTGGGAAGGTGGCCGTTTTTTTAGGTGGTTTTGATTTTCGGTTTGTTTGTTTTGGGGACAGCTGTGTTGAGCTTAATCGGTCTGCGTTCTTGGAACCCGAGGGCTTGTCCAAGGCAAAGAAGTGCACTTTTATCACAGAGAAGCTCACTGTCTCAGTGGGAGAAGTGGTGAATGGGGGGTTGCTACCCCCCATCCCTTGTCACATCCCAATGTGCAGCTTCAATGCACAGAACAAATATGTGGGGGAGAGCGCGGCCCCTGAGCCTGCTCCGAGTGGACAGAAGCCCAGCGTGGATGGTGGAGGTGAGTCAAAGAGGCCATTGTGGGGTCACAGGGTCACTGCTGCAGAGGACAGGAAGCTCAGGGACCTGCCCAGCGTCACATAGGGAATAAGGTGCGGAGCTGTGAGAATCGAACCCAGGTCTTGACTTCAGAGCCCATGCCCTTTCCCCTGTGCCGTGTTGTCTCTGGGAGTGCCGTCCCTTTGAGATTCCCTGGAGAAGCTTTTGAAAGCTGCATCCTGGCTTTGTGCTTGGATAGCCTTCATGGTGGATGTTGGAAGTGGTCCCAGTTCTTTGGGTTCTGCTGGGGTCCAGCCGGCCATGATTCTAGCTCTGGGTCCTCTGCCTTCCCCTCCCCCGGGCCTTCATGCTTCCTTGTGCTCAGTGTGAATGGCAGTATTCCATGGTGCTGTGTCCTTGTCGTTTCACTCCTTCAGGAGGCGGGAAGGTGGAAGAAGCCAACCCTGGGACGGAGGTGCTGGCATTCCGTGGCCCGTCGCAGCCCCTGCTCGTTCCCCCGGCTCAGCCGCTGCAGACCCAGACTGCCGGGCCACCGCCAGCCCTCGTAGCCCCTGCACCTGCCCCGTCGGCTGCCCCGTCATCTCTGTTCCAGCCCGTCGGGCAGCCTGAGCCACCTCCTCCCAAGCCGCGGCCTACTTACACTGACATGGTACGGAAGAAGGGCCGTATTGCCTTTACTCCGTGGCAGGTGGTAGGAGGGGTGTCCCAGCCAGAGGCCTTGCCTTTAGGACACTTGGTCAGTCAGTGAGCAAGCCTGGGTCAGGTTCTTGTTCTAGTTTATCCTGTCCGTGTCTGGTTTGTGCCCGGTGTCTGCGCGTTGTCTCCCGGATAGAGCGTGAGCCCCCCGAGAGCAGGCATCACTAGGGCCTTTCTTTGTGTCTTAGCACAGTTACCATTTAACAGAGGCCTGCTGAGTGGGAATACCGCACAGGGCAGAAAACCCAGCCCCTGCCCTCCAGGAGCCTCCATTCTAATGGGGAGACAACATGTCAGTAATTAGGTACCTACAAGATACAGGGCATCGGCGGGAGGGGCCTTAGCTGGGAAGGCTTTCCCAGTGGGGGGATGTCAGGAGGATGCCGGAGGGCTTCCTGTAGCCATGGGCATCCAGGAGGTGGCAGTGAGGGGGCTGGGCATTCTGGGTCTTGGGGACAGCCTGGACAGAAGTTCAGAGAACGGGGATGCTGAGGGGAGCAGAGGGAGGGAAGGGGCCTTGAAATGCCACTTGGAGGACTCTGTTTTCGAGAAGGCAGAGAGCCAAAAGGAGATTCTGATGCTCACCGAGCCATGAGTCCTAGAAGGGGACGGCCTCTAACACGGAGCTGCCCAGAGGCCTGCCACAAACTCGTGTGCTGAACATGCAACCGAAGCCAAAGAGATGGGGCCATTTATCTTCTTTTTCATCCTAGGACCTTGTGGGAGTCGTCGAAGACCTCATCCAGGACGTCCTCAGAAGCTACTGCAAAGAAATTGGCCAGGCCGGAGCTGCCTACGTGGCTGCAGCCTTGGGGTACGCTTGCTGGCTCCCAGAGGTTTCTGTCCTTGAGCCAGGAGGCTCTGAGTCTCTCTCTCTCCCTCATCTCTTATAAGCTGCCTCCCATGGCCTTCCAGCCTTCCTCAAAACAGCACTCTGGCAGCCCCTGTTCTTGCCTCTCAGAGGGTAGGAGCTGCAGCCCCAGTGGGACTGACTTAGGGAGAGCCGGCGGCCTGGGGAGGCCTGTCCCGGCGCCTGTGTCCCAGGCTCTGGGCAGGGTTGGGTGGTGCTTGGAGAGGGCCAGATGGCATGATGCATTTGTCTTTGTCTAGGGCTTCCAAGATGGCCACGGAGGAACTCTTGGCCGCAACAACAGCGGACATGTTGAGGCAGGTCGCTGCTGAAGAAGCGAACAAAGAAAGAGAAAGAATTAAGGAAGTAGAGAGAAGAGCCCAAGAGCAAAGGTAACGTCGTCTCCTGCTGACGGGATTGAGGTGTTGGGTCCGTGGCTGGCAGGGGCCCTGTCCCGGACGCTGGCGGGGTTTTCAGTGATCCCCCTCTGGGCTTTCCTCTCCCTCTGGTAGACGGAGACGTGAGAGAGAACGCCTGCTGGCCCAGCTAAGCCAGGTGTTGGCGGCCGAGCTGTTGAACCTCGTGGTGGCCGAGTGTGTGCGGGAAATCTCCTCGCGGGAGCTGAAGTGAGTGAGAGCTGGAGTGGGGCTGCTGCTGTGGGAGGGAGGGGTTTCCCGCTTCTCCGTAGTCCTGCCGTCTTCACAAAAGCCAGGCTCTTCTGCTGGTCTTGGAGTTTGGGCCCCTGGGCTCAGTGCCCACTTTGCCTCTTCCCAAGTGGGGGACTCGGCCTCTGTCCAGGGAGGGAGTGGTCCCTGGAGCTCTGCCTCTGGGGTACTCTCCTAGAGTGCAGGGGCATCTCTGCGCGATCTGCAACTGAGCCACGGGAGAGCTGGGGCCTGGCTGGGATCTGGGGGCCCACGGGAACAGCCCCGAGGGAATACAATGGAGGAAAAATGTGCTTACTGCAGTGAGGGCGCTGCTGCAATGTCTCATGGTCTTTGGGAATAATTACGCCACGGGTCACCCCACGGGGTGGCTGTGCTCCAGGCTGTCCTCTCTGACAGGAGTTGGGAGTTGGCGGGGTCAGACTCATGCTTTCCTTGGAGTAGAGAACTCCCAGGGGAGGAGATTTGACCACAGGTGCCCACTGGCCTGGCAGCAGCCCGAGGTGGGGGTGCCAGAGGTATGATGGCCCCGCGGCGGACTTTTCTCTACCCGCCACCCTGCCTTTCCTTTGCCAGGTACAGTTGCTTAATTTAGGAGCAGCCACCCACGTAGTGACATCTTTGCTTCCCTTTGCTGAGGAAGGGGCTCGTCCCTGACACTGAGGCTTTCCTTTGGCCTCACAGAGGCCCCCCCGGGGAAGTCGGCGATGCAGATAGGTCGCTCCTTACTTTACAAGTGAGGAAACGGAGGCCCGGGGTGGACTCGTGCGTGTTTCCCCAGCTAGGAAGCACCTTTCTTGAGCTCACTTGGACAGGGTGAATGAGTTTTGGAGTTGATTTAGATAGGAAATCAATGGCTAACAAATGGTTATTTAGGGCAGCCAGGTGGCCCAGTGGATAGAGCGCTGGCCCTGGAGTCAGGAGGACCCGAGTTCAAATCCACCTCGGACACATAACACTCACTAGCTGTGTGACCCTGGGCAAGTCACTTCACCCCATTGCCTAGCCAAACAGCAGCAAGAACAAGTGGTCATGTAGACCGTTTGCAGTTTGTCACAGTGCCGTTTAAAAGCAAACTCTGGAACGAGGGCTTTCCGTCTGAACTGGAGGAAGAGCGTGTCGTTTTTTTGTCTGTGAGATGATGGGGAGCTGCTGAGCTGTGCACGTTTTCTCTTTATCTGTGACTTAGTGAGGGGCAGAGATGAGCACAGCCTGCTGGGAAGCTGAGAGAACGTGGCTCTTGCAAAGTCCTCACCCTCTTCTCAGCACAGACCCTCCCGGGACTCTGGTGTGGTCCCCCCCCAACTAAATGTCGAAGGCTGAGAATCTGGGAGCGGAGAGGGGCCTCGCATTGCACAGAGGGAGAAGCCGATGCCATGACCTGGCCGGGTCGGGTGATGGGCCGCTGGGCTTACGTTTCATCTCATCTCGTCCGGGTTCGAGGGCTGAGCTTGTTTTTGTCGTTTCTCCTTGTCACCCACATGGGTGGAGGAAAAGCTCAGGCTCTGCATGTGTCCGTGGGAAGGAAGAGTAGGCAGTGCAGAGGAGACGAGGTTAAAGCAGACAGATGTGGTTCGTGTGCTGCTTTTGGGGGCAGCGCACCCTGGGTTCAACACTTCCTAGCTGAGGGGCCAGAGGCAAGGCTTGCAGCACTTCAGAACTGGTGGGGGTCCCCCTGGCCTACCCCCCACCATGGAGGAATGCTTGATGGGAAGCACTTCCCCATCCTGATGGAGATGGGGGGCTTGGGGACTACAGTGACAGAGCTGAGGGGCGCGAGGATGGATGCTCCTGGCCCAGGTGAAGGCCTCACCCTCCATGGGAGGACATGTGCTAGACCGGAGGTCAGGATGGCCAAGGGCCCTGCGGGTGACCCCTAGGCAGGTCCCACCTTGAGTGTCCTGGCTTCCCCATGAGTGAGCTGTGGGGATCTGGGGTCAGCTGGAGCTGTCCCATCTGAGTGGTGTCTTTCCGCTTGTGCACGCTGAGGGGGTTATTGAAGAAGAAGCCACTGTGCTCTTGAGGTTACTGGTGGAGCCATGCCCGGGGTGCTGGGCCTGCAGTCAGGAAGTCTTGAGTTCAGATCTGACCTTAGATGATCATGAGCTAAGTGACCTTGGGCAAATCACTTACTCTCTGTGCTGCGGCTAGCACCTACTTCACAGGGCTGTTGGCAGGATCCCATGAGATCCTATTTGTCAAAATCGTAGCCCAGCACCTGGCACACAGCAGGTGCTCTGTAAATGCTTATTCCCTCCCACCTCTCTTGTCCAAAGATAACATTTTCTTTGGGATCCTTGGGGATTGAGAGCCCCACAACTAAATGGTGTGACCACTGTTCTTTTTGCTGGGGTTGCCACATCTCTGTATTTCTCGTGGCTTCCAGTGGAAGTGCCTTTTGGGTTTGTTTTCTTGTTCTGAGATCAGCATATGGGACTCTTCATAAGAGTAGATGCCCTGCCGAGGAGGGTTGGTCCAGTGTCTACTCAGAGGGCTTGAGGCGTCTCTGCCTTTGTCTTTCTCTAGGAGTGCGGTGGAGACAGAGAGGAGGGCTCGCGTGGCCCGTTGTTCTGAAGATGTCTGGGATCGTCTCATGGACTTGTTCTTAGAGGAGGAGATTTTCCAGAGTGCCCGAGAGACCCTGCAGGAACTTCAGTGCTTCTGTAAATACCTGCAGCGGTGAGTGAGCACGTCAACCTCAGAGAGCGTCTCCTCAGTGTTTCAGAGGGCCTCGCTCTTCATTTCTGTCCGCTTCTGTCCTCCAGTCCATCAGGAGGTGGGTGACACGCCTCATCAGTGGTCCTTGAGAATCACCAGTGGTCACTTTACTCTGCATCACTTCACATGAGTCTTTCCAGAATTCCCATTCTCATATATTTGGAGTAATTGCCTTTGTGTCTTAGATGTCAGATCTTTAGCAGAGAAACTTGCTTTAAAGATTTTTTCCAATTTAAATGTTTCCCTTCTGATTTTAGTGGCATTGAATTTGTTTGCAAAAGCTTTTCTATTTTCTGCAATCAGAATTGTCTCTTTTATGTCCTGTGATCTTGGTCAAGACCTCTGCCCCTCTGATTGTGGACGATGTAACCTTTCAAGTCTAGGTCTGGTACCTGCCCTCATTTGGAGCCAGGATATAGTGGGAGATGTTGGCTGGAGTTTTCCTAGCAGTTTTTGACTGATACTGAGTCCTTATCTCAGTAGCTGGAGTCTTTGGGCTTATTGAAAACATTATGCAATGACATTGGTTTGCTTCTTGTGTTTCTAATTTGCCCCAGTAATTAGTTTTTCTAGTTTTAATTAGTACCAAATGACAATTACTTCTTTGTAGTGTAGTTTTAGATTTGGTATTGCTAGACTCCTTTCTTTCCCACTGTTTTCATTACTTATTTTGAAAGTTTTGACTATTTTCCCCCTCCAGATGAGTTTTGTTGTTATTTTTCTCTAGATCTGTCAAATAACTCTTTGGTGATTCAGCATGACACTGAATGTATAAATTAATTTAGGTAGTATTGTTATTTTTATTATATGAGCACAGCCCAACCGTGAGCAATTAATGGCACTCTGATAATGGAGAGCTGTCTTTATTTCTGAATGAATGTTTTGTGGTTTATTCATGTGGTCGCTCAGTGTTTCTTAGTAGGTAGATTCCCAGGTATTTTATTCTGTCTGCAATTATTTTGAAAGGAATTTCTTTATCTACCGTTTCCTCTTGGATTTGGTTAGTAGTGTCCAGAAAGGCTGATGATGATTTGTGTGGGCCTATTTTATATCCACTTATATTACCGGACTTAACTGTTTCCATTAGCTTTTAATCTTTGTGGCTCTTCAGGTAAACCATTGTCTCTTTCAAAAGGGATAATTCACTTTCCCCACGTTTATTCCCTCAGTTTCTTTTTCTGATTTTATTGCTACAGCATTGCTGGCATTTCTAGAATTGCACCAAGTGGTGGTGGTGACAGTGGACATCCTTGCCTATCCTTAATCTTACTGGAAAGGCCTTTAGCATTTCTCCTTTTTAGGTCAGGCCAGATCTTGGTTTCAGGTTGACGTTATTCACCATTTTAATAATCGGACACCATCATTTATTCTGATGTTTTTTAATGTTTTATCATAGCACATTTTGTACTTTGTCAAAAGTGTCTACATCTGTTGACATGACCACGTGACATAAGAGTGGGTTTTGGGTCAGTAAAGAGTGTTTTTCTAGCGATAGTTACTGTGTTATGGGGATGCTGATTGCTGCCTCAGTGTCACTTTGCCAGCTCCTTCCGGGTATCTCGTTGAGCGTTCGCACTGGAGGCGGCTGAGCCAGAGTGAGTAGGCTGGGAGGGTCTGTGCTCACCGATGTGGAAACTGGCCTTCTTTCAGCGGATCTGTGAGTGCAAGGAAGCGTCGGCAGTGGGGTGGCCAGCCAGCTGTTTTCCTTTGGATGTCCGTTCTGCCTTTGTTCCCCAACATGAGGCCTCCGTGCCCTCGGTGCTCCCACTTTCTCAGCCACCGTCAGGTGGTCACAGTGCGCTTTGATAGCTTTTTTTTTCCAGACTCGCAGCCTCCTCACCAGACGTGGGTGTTTTTGTTTTTAAGGTGGAGAGAAGCTGTCATAGCCCGGAAAAAACTCAAGAGACAGATGAGAGCATTCCCTGCGGCCCCCTGTTGTGTGGATCTCAGCAACAGACTGCAGGCCTTGTCCCCCAGTGCCGAGTGTCCGATTGCTAAAGAGAACCTGGCCAAGGGAGTCCTGAATCTGGGGCACGCAGGGAAGCTGGGGGTCTCCTGCACCAGGTAAGAGGTGGGGGCTTTCAGCTTCTCACCTGCAGGGTCTCTGCCGGCATGCAGACCCCAGTTTGGTGCCCTACGAAGCTTTGAGCAGCCAGGCTTTGGACTCACGGCAGTTCTCTCCTTGTCCTCCTGCCTACTTTTCAAGCAAGATCAGTTTATGCGTTTAGCGCGTCAGTTTGGGTAACTTGTTTCCCATGTGTCTGGGAGGCAGAGCTGGATAGCGATTCACAGTGAAAACCCTCACAGATTTTAGAATGCCAGGAATCAAGAAGAAGAGGGCCCAGGCTTCCTGTTGTAGCGCCATTCGGCGCTGCTGGGGCAGTGCGGATGGCGCGTGGGCCTCCTTGCCCGCGGGTCTGCCCAGAGCCTCTAGGGCGGCACAGCTGCCTGCCCCCCCCTTCTCTTTTCTGGTCGTGCAGCTGTCATGCAGGCTTTCCCTGGCTCCTTTGCCGTCTTTCTCGTGCTCAGTACGCTCAGGACTCGCGTTCTGTGGCCTTTTGTCTCAGGTGTACGCACCGCTCAAGGCCTTTCCTGACCCTCTTCCAAGCGGTTTTATTTTGTGTTACTTTGTAGACACTTATTTGTGTGTCCCCCTCCGCCCCCACATGCACACTTGATAGTATTTTGTTTTTTCCAATTACATGTAAACATAGTTTTCAACGTTCACTTTTATGAGATCCTGAGTTCCAAATTTTTTCTTCCCCTCCTTCTCCCCAAGATGGCGTGCGATCTCATGTAGGCTGTGCGTGTACAATCATCCTAAACACATTTCCACCTGAGTCATGTTGTGAAAGAAGAATCAGAACAAAAGGGAAAACCACGAGAAAGAAAAAACAAAAACAAAAAGAGAATAGCATGCTTTGATCTGCATTCAGGCTCCATCAGTTCTTTTCCTGCATGTGGAGAGCATTCTCCATCCTGAGTCCCTTGGAGTTGTCTAGATCGTTATATTGCTGAGCAGAGCTGAGTCATTTGTAGTTGATCATTGTTACAATGTTGCTGTTACTGTGTACAATGTTCTCCCGGTTCTGCCCATTTCACTCAGCATCAGTCCATACAAGTCTTTCCAGGTTTTTTCTGAAGTCTACTTGCTCATCATTTCTTCTTTTTTTTTTTTAATTTTTAATTAATTTATTTTGAATTATCAACAATCACTTCCATAAGCTTTTGAGTTTTAAATTTTTCCCCCCTCCCTTCCCACCTCCCTCCACAGGATGGTGCACAATCTGATATAGGCTATACATATATATTCCTATTAGTGATGTAGGTAAGAATTAGAATCAATAGGAGGAACCACCAGAAAGAGGAAACAAAACACAACAGAAGAAAAAAAAATAGCAAACAGTGTGCTTTGATCTGCATTCAAACTCCATAGTTCTTTCTTCTTTGTGGGCAGCATTTTCCGTCTTGAGGCCTTTGGAGAGGTCTTAGATCCTTGTATTGCTGAGAAGAGTTAAGCCTGGCAATGTTAGTCATCATACAACCTGTCTGTTACTCTGTGTAACGTTCTCCTGGGTCTGCTCACCTCACTGAGCATCAGACCACACAAGTCTTTCCAGGTCTTTCCGAAGTCCACCTGCTCCTCATTTCTTACAGCACAATTGTATTCCACTACATTCATCTACCACAGCTTGCTCAGCCATTCCCCGATGGACGGGCATCCCCTCGATTTCCAGTTCTTGGCCACCGCAGAAAGAGCTGCTGTCAATATTTTTGTACATGTGGGTTCTTCTCCCATTTGTATGACCTCTTTGGGGTACAGCCCTAGAAGTGCTGTTGCTGGGTCACAGGGTCTGGACAGTTTGATAGTCCTTTGGACATGAGAACATAAGCTTCTTGAGGGCAGGGTCTGTTTTGCCTTTGTTTCTTTCTCTGGTACTGAGCACTATGTGCCTGGCACGTAGTAGTCTCTTGATAAATATGTATTTATTGGCTGATTTAGGTGACCTGCAGTTTTTATTCCGTGCGCATTGTAGAATTCCATAATTCGTAGCGAGACTGAATCACTGAAAGATTACTGGTTTCCGTGTGACGGACTTTAGGTTTAGGGCGGAGTTTAGGGTTGTGGAGGACACTGCCCAGCTCTCTAAGACAACCCAGGCCTTTTTCTTTCTCCTTCTAACGTCTTGCCTCCACTTGTTGTCTGTCCCCAGTAGTGCCCGTCCAAGATGCAGACAAATGGTCCTGCCCGACCAGGCACCACTCCTAACAGGCATTCTTCATCCATTTGGTCTTTACCGTGTGGACTGTTAGACTAAATACTGTCAAGCGGTGTTTGGGCCCCTGATGCCTGGCTGTGGGGAGTCAGTAGGAGTTCTGGGTCCTCCCTTTCACATCATACAGTGTGCCGGGCAGTCTTCATGACAGTGGCACATATCCCTGACAAGTGAATGTTTTTTGTGTCTCGTTTGTGATCAGAGATCAAAACTTCATTGAACAGCTACACCTCTTGTTACTTGTATCAGTGATTTGTGTCTGCGCTAAACGCTTGTGGGCAGAAGGTGCCTTGTCTGAGGAGAGCCTTGAGGACTATTTTTTTCTACTGGATTAAAGGCCTTTTTAAATCTTCCAATAGTAATTTGGGGGGGTCGTGCAGTCTCTGCCTCAGGGCTAGCTGCGTGACTCTGAGGTCACGGGGGGGCTGCTGTGCAGCCTCTCCTCCTCCGTCCATCCAGGACGCCACCTCGATGCCTGCAGACGTCCTTATCGAGGCCCCACTGCTGGGTCCCTCTCAGGTATGCTAGGACTTAGTCCGTCTGTGACCTCCCCCCATTTGGATGTAGCCGTGAAGGCAAAAAAGCTCTACAGGGGCGCCTTCACTGTCTGAGGGCTCTTCCATTTCTGTCTGTTTGTGGCAGCCAGGTCCACCCTTCAGTGCCCTTGGGATCATCTCTGCCCCACCTCCCTGGGAGCGAGCCTCTCTCTCTGCCAGGGGCGGGCCTGGGCAGTGCCTCTGAGGCGTTAGAATCTGGGCCCTGCCTTGGATGGTGAGGATGTTGCTGGGGTGGGAGAGGGAAGGAGCCTGGAGGCTTGGAGCTCAGCCCAATGGGGTGGCCTGGACCGCAGGCTCTTCCGCACAGTGAGAGGTTGAACTCGATCGTCTCCAAAATCTGTATTAGCCCTGAACTGATGATTGCAGTCCGAACAGAAGCAGAGCGATGCACACACTTGCACACATGTGTATGTATATCTAATGTGTCGTGTGTGTGAATGCATATGTAAACGTCGAATCATTTATCTCTCTAATCTTTTATTCATCTTTTAAAAAACTTTTCTTAAGTGGTCTTTGCATAAATAGAAAGGAAAAAGGGGGAAACTCAGGGTCATGGTGCTAGCCTCCAGATCTCAAGTAGGCATCACATGAAGGCTCTTCCTTCCCCTCCCCCAGTACCAGGCTGATCAGACTCAGGAAATTGGGGTTGTGGGTTTCACTTGAAATATGGGCAGTACAGAAGTACTCAGACTGGAATGTGTTTAGGTGAATTGGATCGTCAAGTGGGCTAGAGGAGGGGAAAGAGGCAGAGCAGTCACAGGAAACGATTTTGGAAGGTTAATTTTTTCCTTTGTTTCTGGTGATTTGGTTTCTTTGTTCCCATACCCAAATAATTTGAAAGTAAACATTTATTTACTGGTGAGAGCACTGTACTCATTTCCCGTCTCCCTGACAAAATTGGATGTTCTGTAAATAAAGCTTTCTGCCTCGGTCATGAGAAGCAGCACCCTGAGAACTTGGGAGGCTCCAGAGAGGAGAGGGCCGGGCAGACCAGGCCATGTTCACGAGGGGCCTGTGAAGTGAGCTGACAGGTCACTGGTGGTTGGTGTTTGGGAGAAGCCAGCAAGGATGAATGTGCATGGCTAGCCTTGGTACAAACCTGTGGCCTTTCTCCTGCTCTTTGGGCTTTTCCTCCTCCTCCTCCCTTTCTTGGAGAGGGCAGGAGAGCATGGCTTGTGCTGGATGGGAAAGCTCCTCCTCCCCTGCTGCTGCTGCCAGGCGGGGGCCAATGTGGGGCCGGGGGCGAGAGGTCTTCCTGACATGAGGCTTCCCAGGCCAGGGTCATGTCTCCTGCCCGTCTGGCAAATCCCCTCCAAGGCCACTGAGGCTGTGGCTTCTCTTTCTTTCTTAGGTTACGATGGATGAGAAACAAGACAATCCACCAGATGAAGGTTCAGTATTTCTACCAGCAGCTACTGAGGTTTGTTAATGGGGTTAAAGGTTCATTGTGCCGCAGAAGAGGGCTGTTTGATTGACTCTTGATCTGGCGTCTCTTTCCCAGTGAAGCCGTGTGGACTCCTCTGGACCTGCCAGCCCTTATTGCTGAGCATTACCCTGGGCAGAGGGAGCAGGTGTTCTGGAAGCTGGTGTTGGTGCTGCCCGACAGTGAAGAGCCTGCCTCTGGCGTTCCAGCAGGTGAGCCTGCCTTCGAGGCCTGAGACTTTGCCAAGCCTGCTCAGGACCCCCAGCATTCCCAGAATTCACACACCTGGCCCATGAGCTGATGTGTTGTCAGCTCGGCACACGCCCTCTGGCGTGGGCTCCGCTTGGCCTTGGGTCTTTCCATGGGTGGGCATTTGTTCTGAAGACCTCAGCCATCCATGAAGGTTTTCTGTAGGTTTGGCTGACTTTGACCCCGAGGGGTTTGGATCTTGGGAAGTGTGTGCCAGAGTCTGCCTCCCTTTGGGCAGTCAGTCAGTCCATGGAGGTGTGGCTGGGCCTCCTCTCCCCCCCCCCACCTTCACCTTTGGGGTTTGTTTCCTTCATTTTCTGATGGTAGGATTCTAGCAAACTGGCTGAAAGTCAAGTTCATGGGCTATGAAGACTTACAAAATGGCACCTGTTGTGCTTCCGAGGGGATCCAGACGCTCACCCTGCTGAATGCCTGTGCCACTAAAGGCAGTCGGACGGTCTGGGTCCATGTGTGCATTAAGGTGTGTGTGTGAGGGCCAAGCAGTGGCTGGGCCTCTGCCCTTCCTTCGCCGCCGACGGTCAGCAGGTGGAAGGGGCTGTGACACGTCCTCCCTTGTGTGTTTACTCCTTCCCTTGTCTGGCCTGTGCTTATCGAGGCCTCCCTCGGAGGGCTCTCAGCAGCGAGGCCACTGCCCACCGAGCATGAGGCACGGAGTGGGGCCCAGGTAGAGGAGCGTGGATGGAGGCATGCTGGACATCTGGCCATTGTGGCTCCCGTGGGGGTCGCTCGTGATGTTGTCAGAGGTCAGGGTGGGCATGGGGGGGGTGTCTTCCAGTGTGGAAGCTCTCTCCTAGTCTACAGCACTCGTTAGCACCTCAGGCACCAGGGGGTGGCATTGTGTCAGAGGCAGGACCAGAATCCAGGTCCTCCTGTCCCAAGGCCTGCTCTCTGTGCATACGGCACGGTCTGCTGGGCAGTGTGGAGCCTCCAGGTAAAGTGACCCACCCAGAGTCCCAGCTTGAGTCCCACCTTGACAGGGCGTGAGGGAGGGAGCAGGCAGGAGGAGACAGGGCATGAGGGAGGGAGCAGGCAGGAGGAGTCAGGCCTGATTCCTGTGGTGAAGCCCACCTGGCCACCCTCGGCGTCCACACAGGCCGCACCTGCGGCTCTGTGGCCAGGACAGCCAGCCTGGGACCGAGCTCACGGAACTCTGGGTTTGACTTGGCAGTTCATGAAGCGAGAGCCTACGGTGACCAAGGGAGGGACGGTGTGAGTTGTGGTGGCCAGAAGGGCCAGCCCCATGCCTTTGTGGGGCCGTGGACAGAGTGCAAGGTTGGGGACTTCTGAGCCGGCCTCAGATGCTTAGCGCACCTGTGGGACCCCGGGAAGATCACTTCACCTCCCTCTCTTGCCTGGAGTCGGGCACACTTGGAGATGGGCCACTCCGATGCAGTGTGAATGCTTGTGATGACCATTTTCGTTGAAAGGCGTGATTAGGGGAGTCAGACCTGAGCCCCTCTCAATCAGATGTCATCCTCTTTGAGTCTGGGCTCGCGCCTCTCGTGCTTCCTGGCGGCTGCTGCCTCCCCCTGACCCACTCCTGCTGTGTCCTCGTAGGTGGCCCATGGCCTGCTGAGTGATTCAGCTCTTGACACCGCCGAGACGCAGAAGGAGCTTCTGGGCACCAGTGGCCTGCTCTTCCTGCTGCCCGCCCCAGGGAAGAGCGCCGCGCTGGCCGAGGAGGACGCCTACTGGCTCGCGGCCCTGCTGCAGCTCAAACAGCTGCTGCAGGCAAAGCCCTTCCACCCCCTGGTGCCACTGGTGGTTCTGGTGCCCGGCCAGGAGGGGGCTGCCGTGAGTGAAGTGGAGGAAGGTGAGGCCCCCGGGTGGGGAGCCAGCCCCGCCTGGCTTTGGGATGGTCCCTAGTTCACATGAGTCTTCCCAGGCCTCCCTGGACTGTCTGTGGCCATTCTCCTTGGGGTGCCTTCAGCCTTTCCCCGGTCACTGATCATCTCCTTGCTCCCAGTTAAGTCCTGCTGTGAAGGGTCAGGGCTGTGGGAAGCCTTTCCCGAGTGCCTCTTGTGTACCAGGCTGGGGGTACGAAGCGAGGCAAAGGACAGCTCCTGCCCTCAGCATGCAAACAGCTACGCACAGACAGGATCAGTGGGAGAGAATAGGCAGAGGGCCAGCCGGTGTTCAGGAGGCTTGGGAGGGGGTGCTGAAGAGGGACTTGAGGGTGTGGGGGGGGGTAAAGGAGCAAGACTGGAAAGGTGGGGGGACCTGGCTCTGAAGGCCTTAAATGCTAGACACATTTTGGAGGTGATAGGGAGCCAATCGGCACCAGCTGGAGTGTGTGGAGAGGGGCTTGGACATCCTCAGACAAATGCCAGGCAGTCTAAAGGCCAGGCACACCCTGGGGCTTCACACAAGTGGTCTGTCTGCCACTGGTCTGCTCTCTCTCTTCCCCTTCACCTCTAGAATCCTTGGATTCCTTCGCAGCATGCATGGGATTTAGACTAGAAAGAGACCTCTGTGGCCATCTAGTGCAACCCTTCTCCAAAAGGAATCGGCTGTGACATGGCAGCCTAGAGAGCTGCCTAGGGAGGGGGAGCGTCCTGCTTCTCAAAGTGCCCCTTCCAAAAGTTCTTCATGTCCGACCTCCTGGGCCCCTCATAACAGCCCCGTGAAGTGGGTCCCATCTGATCTGACTCCGCTATTGCCTGGCTGGGCTCCCTTCAGCCAGAGGCGTCAGATGTTGGGGCCCAGGGCAGCCCTGACCACATCCAAAAGCCACTGGGAAACGTTTGCAAAATCAGTGAAAGTATCACAGAACATAGATAATGTTAAGAGGGATTTTCTAAGTCAGTGGGCAGCCTGCAGGGATCCCTGTGAAGGTTTCTGCCTCTCTGAGCCTCGTGGGCATTGGGTGAGGTGCTGTCGGGTCTGACGCTGCCCTCACTCGTCCCAACAGTGGTCTCCTTGAGCCAGGGGTGCGAGGAGCAAGGCCAGTGTAAGCAGGGGTGGATCCGCTCACGCTGATGCGCGGCAGCCCTTGAGCGATTTGTCTGCTTCTCTCCAAGGTCTGATGCTCCAGGACTTGGTTTCGTCACAGCTCATTTCAGATTACATCGTTGTGGAGATCCCAGCCACCGTCAGTGACCTACAGGGCACCAGCAGGGTAAGACGGCGCCTTGGATCGCTGGCAGGTGGTAAACCACATTTGGGGGTGAATGGCTTTGAAGCTGCTTTATCTTGCTGAATTCCAGCACCGTGTTGTTATCTGCAGGAATCCCTGTACATGAGTTGTTCTTCCAGAATAGCCCATAGCCATCAGAGAGCCCCAGCGGAAGCTCCCCACCTGAGGGTGCTTGGGCTCGGCCCCAGACTTCTCCTGAAGCAGACTTGGAGACCAGGAGAAGGGTCTTGGGGTGCCTACCAGGGACACTGGCCCCACTTAGGGGAGAGGTTCTGGTGGTCCCCCATCAAGGTGGCCCAAAGCAAGAGTCTCACCAGCTTTGGCTGGACGCTGTCACTCTCCCAGCAGAGGAGCAGTGGGCGTAGGCGTGCGGGGGATGAGGGCTGGGGGTCCTGGGGTGGCGTGGTGGATGAAGGCCAAGAGCACTCCCCTTGGCAAATGCAGATAGACGCTTGCTCCCAATTTGTCCCAGCCAAGTCCCCTCACCCGCTGCCCATGTTGCCCCCAGGTGTCCCAGGCTGTGAAGTGGCTGGTGTCTCACTGCCCCAGCTCCCTGGAGCTCTGCTGCCAGACTCTGCCGCAGTACATTGAGGACGGCATCAGCCGTGAGTTCAGCGACCGCTTCTTCTATGACCGCAAGGAGCGGCGTGTGGCCGGCCTGCCCTCTCAGGAGCCCAGCGCCATCATCGAGCTCTTCAACAGTGTCTTGTACTTCCTGGCCGAGGCGGCCTCCTCTGAGCAGCTCTGCCACCTGTCCTGGCCCATCACCGAGTTTGCAGAGCCGGGGGGCAATAAGGTGCTTCCTCACCTCCAGTGGAATGAGCCCAGCCACCTGGCCTGGCTGAAGAAGGTCATGCTGTCCTTCCAGCTGCCCCACATGGACCTTCCCCCCCAGGGAGGTAGGTGGCCAGACAGAAGGGATGGAGGGTGCCGGCAGACTTCCGTGGTGGAGCTCCTTCCGCCTTCCGCAGCTTGTGGCCGGGAGCCCTTGGGAGTTGATGTGACTGGCCACGTGGCCAGTAGGGTTCAGCAGAGAGACTTGAACCTTGGTCATCCTGGCTCCAGCGTCCCCCACCGGGATGTGCGGGCTCCATCAGACCCGCGGAGCTCTGAGTAGCCAGGGGCTGCTGTGGCCATGCAGGGTGTTTTCCCTCTCCCTCATCTGATGGGGCTTCTGCGGAAGCATCTCTCAGTGGTGTGACCTTGGCCTGGTCACTGGGACTCAGTTTCCTTCTCTATGCAGCGAGTCCATTGGACTCTGTCTTTCAGATTTGTCACGGCCCCGGCCCTGATGTTCTCCAGCAGAGGAGCACCATTAGTGCAGCAAGGCCCTGGGCGGCCTGGGCCCCAGGGCCAGGCAGGACCAGGGGCCCCAGAGCTCGGTGCCACGTTGGCCGCTGGAGGCCTCTCCCTTGGTGGTCCTTAGGAATCCCACCCCCTGGAGCTGGGATGCTGATGAGGCCCCCCACTGAGGACAGTTGTAGCTGTCCCCCCACCTCTGTCCCCGGGCCCAGGATGGGCATGGTGTCCCCTTGAGGTCTCTCTGTGCTGGAGGGGGGCCCCAGTGTCTGAGCCAGGGACAGCCTGGCCCACACACCATGGATTCCTTGTGCCTGCCTGCGTGCGCGTGTGTGTGTGTGTGTGTGTGTGTGTTCATTCGTTTGTGACCTCAGCTGTCTTGTCTTTTCAGCTCCCTGGCGGCTTGTGTGCACCATGATCTTCCAGTATGTGTCCCAGATTCCAAGCTGTGGCCAGACTCAGCCCATCCTTCAGTCACAGGTGGAGAACCTTCTGAGTCGAACATACACCAAGTGGAAGAACAAGGCCGTGTGGACCTTGGGAGAGATGGGCCCCTCAGTGGACGAGATTCCATGGGATGACCTCATAGCTCTGTGTGTCAACCACAGGCTGCGGGATTGGAAGCCACCCAGACTGCCCGTCATGTCAGGTAGTGCGGAAAACAACTGCTGGGCTGGGGGGGAGGGAGGGAGGAGTCACCAGGTAGATGGTTCCCCTACATCCATCACAGGGGCCCTGGGCGCCTAAACCCACTTCTTCCATTGGCTCCCCAAGACACACCGGCTGGAGGAGATCTAGGCTGGGCCCCTGGGGTGGAGGGTCAGGCCTCTCAGAGCCATTGGCCATGGCCAGGACACTCTTGGGCTGGGCACCCTGCTGGGTGAACGGCTGCCAAGGGGCCACGATCTCCAGAGGCAGCATTCCCTTATTCATTCCTTCATTCATTCCTTCATTTATCCCTTTGTCTCCTCAGAGGCTCTGAGTGAAGATGGCCAGATCTGCGTCTACTTTTTCAAAAGCCATTTAAAAGGCTATGATGTCCCTGGGTCCTGGGAACACGCCAGGCTGCAGACCCAGAGAGAGGCCCAGCGACATGGACGAGGACGGTGTGTTTGTTTTCCTGCCCGGGCCCTAATGCACACACATGTGTGCACACACAGGCACAGATGCAAACACATGCCCAAATGCCCGTGCATACACACAAATACATACACGCAAATGTACACACAAATTCCTGTGTATGCCAATACAGGCATATGTGCAAACACATGCAATGCCCCTGTGCATGCATATATACACAAACACACACACATAGACACAGGTATACACACAATGCATGTATGTTCACACAGCACATATGCAAACACACGCCTGTGTTATGCACACACATGCACTGTATCCACAGTACATGCACACATGGCAATATGCAAACAGACACGTACACATACGTACACACTCTCTCTCTCTCGCTCGTTTTCTCTCTCTCTCCCTCTCCCTCTCCCTCCCTCTCCTCTCTCTCTCTCTCTCTCTCTCTCTCTCTGTCTCTCTCTCTCTCTCTCTCTCTCTCTCTCTCTCTCTCTCTCTCTCTCTCTCTCTCTCTATCTGTATTGAACCAAGAGTCCAAAGACCATGCCAGACGTGGTGTGCAGTATTCTGTGTGCTTCCTCGGCTTTCCAGGACTGTCCTCCATTAGTGGCACTCTTGTGGGTACTGCACTGCCCCCCCACACGTGCGTCTCCTGGCGCTTTCCCAAACCCCCTTGGAGAGCCATCGTTTCTTCCCACCCAGGGAGGGCCCACAGCATCTGTGTGCCCTGCTGTCTTCTCTCTCTGCCAGCGGAGGGCAGGGGGCGCCCAATTTGTGTCCAGGCCTTTGGCCCACCAGACCTTTCCTGCTGCCTCAGTCTTTCCAAGCTCAGCCCGTCTCAGGTGCACCTGGCAAGGCAGGTCTTTCCCTGCCAAGCGGCTCCTTTTTCTGCCAAGGGCCCACCTCCGCCTCCCTCTCCCTGAATGTGCCCATTTAGGCTGCTGCGCAAGAGTGCATCTGAGCAGGCTGCTGTCCCCTCTCTGCCTGGCTCCATGGGTGCCCCTTGGCCCCACCCCGATCCCTCCAGGGGAGGGGCCTGGAGAGCCCCTTCCATCCTGCCTCTCCAGGCTCAGTCAACATGGTCCCCTTTCGCTCAGTCCTTGTTCTGGTCCAGCTGGTCTTTGGCGTTTCTGACGATGGATGTTTCAGATTCTGTTTCTGGGCCCTGGTCCTGGCTGCTGCCCTTTCGGGCCTGAAACACCCCCTCCCCCACCATTACCACTGCCCCATAGATATCTAGTTTCCTTCCAAGTTTCTCAATGAGGAAGGGTCTGAGGCTGGATTTGAACTCAGATCTTCTGACTCCAGGCCCAGCTCTCTATGCCCAGTGGTGCCCCCTAATGGCCGCAGTAATCCCCCTAAGAAAAGCCTTCTGACAGAACATGATTTCTTCATGTTTCTGGAGAAAGCGTGTCCACTCCCTGGGAGCCATGCCCCGGGAGAGCACGTGGGTCATGTTGGGGTGTTGGGGTGGTGGCAGCCGTGGATGGACACCCTGCAGATGAACCTGTTCCCATCTCTAACTGTTCTCTTTTTCTTCTGACAGTTTGGGCACGAGGCCTTTGCCATCACCTACCAAGGGCTTCTTCTCTTCATGGTTCCACGTTCCCTATGGCAGGACCAGGGGCCCAGAGAGCGGCTGCGCTGGCCACGTGCCAGACGCTGAGGAGCTCGCCCGCACGGCCTCAGCCTCAGAGCTGCTGCCGGGGCGCCTGTCTGCCAGCCTTCAGCTGGAGAAGGAGGAGAGCAGGAGGTGAGGTGATGTCGGGACAGGGGCCCCTCCTGCCTCTTCTTCCTCCCAGTCTCCCTGCTCTTCCTCCCATGGATACTCTGCGGCTTCGGGGCCGGGGCTCCCCTGTCCCTGTCCTGGGCCGCTGTGTGGAAGCCCCCAGTCCGGCAGGCTCCCAAGGGGAGGCTGCAGCAGACAGCCACTGTGCCTGTGGTGTGCCCCTGGCCCTGGCTGCAGGCCTCATCCCTCTGGGCACATGGCACCCCAGGGCAGACTCTCAGTCCCTCAGCTCCTCCCAGCGGCAGTGACAGGGTTGGCAGAAGGCTGGCCCTCTGCCTTCTCTCCTGCCGAGCCCAGGCAGTGGGTGGGACTGCAGCAGGAGGGGGTCATGGGGAGCTGCAGGCTAGGGGGAGTTTCCTTAAGGAGTTTGGGGGTTTTCTTCTGTGTCTCATCTTCTCAGCACCATTTCTATAGTTGGTTTTGGAGTGGGGGGAAGGAAAGGGGAGAAAGAAGGAAGGGGAAGAAGAGCTGGGGAGAAAGTGAGAGACAGAAAGGGAGAGAGAGGGAAAAAGAAAGGAGGGAGAGATGAGGAAAGAGAGAGAAAAGGAAAGAAGGGGGGGAGAGAGAGGGAGAGAAAGGGGGGGAGAGAGAAAGTGAGAAAGAATGTGGGGTGTGTGTGCGTGCGTGCGTGTTTGCACTGAACCTGGGACCATGCTACCACATTTTCAGTCCCTGTTCTGTTCCTTTTTAAGCACATTGCCTTTACCAAGGACTTTTTATTTGGATAAGGACGTGCATGTGAGAAAGGCCCCAGCTGATAGGGGGCGGCCAGGATGGTGCTGGGGCTGGCCGCTGGGAAGCCATTTTGAGAAGAGAACCTTGCTGTGACTCGCCTCCTAAACTGATGCCCCCGTGGGAAGAAGGGCATGAGCCCTGAGAAGATTTCTGAAAAGTCACGTCCTTTGTCCCCTTAGGTTCGAGGACCAGCTGCGTCAGTGGCTGGCTGGAGACCCTGAGCAGGGGCCAGATTCAAGCCCCCTCCCCCTGTACCTTCCTCAAGCTCTCGTATCAACGCCCCAGACGCTCCGAGGGTCGGCGACCACGAGCCCCCAGGTAAGGTGGAATTCTGCTCAGAGAGAGAGCTTGGCCTGCAGGTCAGAGCTGAAGGGCACCTGGAGGGCCTCCCGAGGCGGCCGCTCGGGTCAGCGGCCATCGGGGCTGGGGGGAATGTTCTCTGAAGCTGGGTCTCTGCTGAGGCAAGGAGTGCAGCCTCTGGCTTGCGTGACCGGCACTAAAGTGTGTGCGCATGTGTTGTCTGTATGTGCACATGTATGCGTGCCACGTGCGTGTGTGTGTCCTCAAGGCCCTGGGAGGGGATGCAGGCACCTTCCTGTGCAGGGTCTCAGGCTGCAAGCCATAGAAGAGAACAGACACAAACCAAACATTGGTAGGGTGGGATCGGTCCTTTCTGTCCTCAGCCGTGCCTGCCCCCTGGCGTGCCGACCTCGGCCTGGCGAGTGTGGGCTCTCTCTGTGGGGGGGGCCTTCGTCCTGCTCCCGTCTTGTTAGCCGTGGGAAGGAAGGTCTGAGACCCTCCCACAAAGCCAGGCTCTGACCCCAGCTTCTCTCATTTTCAAAGGACGAGAAGATCAGTGACCGGCGGCAGCAGTCCCCGGAGACGGACGTGTCTTTGGCTGACAAACTGAAACGCTTGGAAAACCTGCTCCAAAGGACGAGAGAGGAGGAGCTGGTCTGTGAGCGTCACCTCTCCACGCTGTTGGACATGGTGGACATTTGACAAGACCCCCGGGGGGGGCCTCTTCCCACAAGGGGCCGCGCTTGATGTACACATAATAATGTTCTCTGCAGGTGCTCGACCAGCAGCTGGGACTGTGGCTGTAAATCATGGAAATAAAGAGTGTGACCGCATGATGCCTTTGTCTAGCAGTGCTGGAGCAAGCGGCCGGGCTGTGGCTGGAACCTCCCCCTGTACCCATCCCAGGCCTTTGGCAAAGCTCCACACGTGTTCTCTTCTCTCAGCTGCTCTGCACAGGCCTCTATCAGTGTGAAACTTCACTGTTTTCCTTTTTTCATGTTTATCTCCGAATTTCTGGTCTTGCCCATGTGTTTTCTAACCTGGCCAGGGTGAAATGGAACACACAGAGCCTCCCCCACGGGACCCCCCTCGAGCCTGGGGGTGACGCTGCCAACGTGGGGTGTGCGCTGCTCCCACGTTGCGGGAGGGCAAAGCTCAGGGGACGCTCTGGCTGAGCTCAGCTTTGGCTGAATGTTAGGGATAAATGGCTCATAACTCAAGGGGGAGTTCAGGTGCGGGGTGGGCAGGTCTTGGAGGCAGCTGGAGGATCTAGGGCGGTTTAGTGAAGGAAGTGCCATTGGTTGGGTGCCAGCAGTGTGAGCAACGTCACGGACTGGACTAAGGGGAGTTCCCAGGAGCAGGCTGGGGGTGTTCTGCTGCCTTCTGGCCTGGCCTGACCTGGCTGGAAGCCCAGCCGGCAGGACCATTTCTGGTCCAGGGGAGTTTTTAAGCACCTGGAAGTCATGGGCCAGTTTGTACTAAGCACCCGCTACGTGTCAGGCACAACCCACTCCCTGCCCTAGAGGAGCTCCCAGTCCAAAGGGGAAGGCAGCGCAGTGCCAGTGGTCTGTAAACCGGGAAGGAGGCTCGTGATTCAGCTGCCCAGAGGTGGAATGGACTGTCTTCCAGGGGCCACCTTCCACCATGTTGTGGGGGTGGAAAGGCTGGGTTTGACCGTTAAGTGGAGGGCTTGGCTGGGACCAGGAGAGGAGAGGGGGCAAGTGGGCAGAAACGGCCCAAATGCCTGGGAAGCAGTTCAGTGCCCAAGCACAGCCCCCTGTGCCAAGGGAGTTCCAGGGTGTGTTCAGAGGGCTTTGGCCTAGAGGCCTCTGGGTCTTTCCCGGGTGGAGCCTCTCAGTGCCTGACCCGGGCTGCAGGTCCCTCCAGGCAGGGCGATGCTGCATTTCCCAAGTGCAGGCCTCCTTGTATCTGCCTGGATGTGAGAGCCTATGCTCTGATCAGGTCTGGTTAGCCCAGAGGCTGGGGCTCAGAGGCCCAGATCCTACTGCAAGGCCTCTGACCAGCCTGGGAAGGGCAGCTAGGGGGTGGCCTTGGCATCCTACTGTTTTTTTAAATTGTTTTATTTTTTTCTACAACTACACATAAAAATATTTTGACATTCATTTTAAAATGTTGAGTTCCAAATTCTCTCCCTCTGCCCCTCCTCTCCCCGACAGTAAGCAGTTTCATAGAGATTGTCCGTGTTGGCTTCCTCTTTTCCCATTTAAAAGCTACTCTGCAGCAAACTGCCTGTGCTCCTAGGCACTGTGGGGGGAGAGCTGATGTGTAGCCACAACGGTCCCCCTCCCCTAGGAGGGCTGTGTGTGATCCCCAGGAGAGGGCCTCACTGGCCAGGAGGTGGCAGATGTGTGGGGCTTCCAGGGATGGGGAAGGATCTTCTGGGACGAGCACGATGAAGCAGAGGTGTGGAGACAGGAGCCTTGGGGCCAGAGGAAAATCCAGCATTCAGGGGCTGATGGAGGGAAATAAGAGCAGAGGGTTTGAACTTCCTGGGGATAAAGGATGGTTGTCCGGGAGGAGAGGCGAGGTGGGAGGGGGCGGAGCTGGACTGGAGGCACCTGGGAAGGATGCTGGTGGGCAGAGGGGCTGGGGCCAGGACTCAGCAAGGGGAATGAGAGAGGCAGTGATAGGAATCGCCCTTTCCAAAGATCCCCCGCTGTCCCGTTTGGTTGTCGGGTGATCTCAGCCATGTCGGACTCTGTGACCCCATGTGGGGTTTTCTTGGCAAAGATACTAGAATGCCATTGCCTTCTCCAGCTCATTTGACAGATGAGAAAACTGAGGGAAACAGGGTGAAGTGACTTGCCCAGGGGCACACAGCTAGCTAGGAAGCGTCTGAAGCTGGAATGAACTCGGGTCTTCCTGACTCCAGGCCCAGAAATCTACCCACTGAGCCATCCAAAACCCCCATTAGACAGAGGAGAAAATCGAGGTCCAGAGCAGCACGGTCAAACGCCTGGGGCTTCATTTGCACTCAGGCCCGATGCCCTCAGGGCAGATGACTGGGGGGGAGGGGCCTCCCGGGAGGAAGTGCCCAGTGCCTTGAGCTGACTCGGTGGGCAGCGGGCCTCTGTGAACAGGGTTCTTCCCTCGCGGGGCTGAGGGGATGGGGGGGTGCGTAGGAAGCGAGTGGCCACGCCCCCTCGAGTCATGCAGTCACCCTCCCAGTCCTCCTCCAATTCCGCGGGGCCCCGCACGCCCCCCTTCTCAACTGTTCCAGCCGCAGCCACTGGCACGCGAGGTCTGCAGCGGCCCCGCCCCCGACGCGCTCCCATTGGCCCGGCGCTCCTCGGCTCATGTGGCGCCAGGCTCCCGAGAGCTGCGGGTGGAACTACAATTCCCAGCGTGTCCCCGCGGCGGCAGGGCTGAGACCCGAGCGGTTAGACTTGTCGGAGGTAGCTGTTGTTGCTGCGCCCCGTGGGGTCCGGGGTCTGAACCCCGAACCATGACGGACGGCACGTGAGTAGCGCCCGCGCACCCCCTCCCCTCCGCGAGCCTAACGACCACCCGCCCCCGCCGGGCGGCAGTAACGCCCACCCGCCCGGCTGCCCGGCCGCCCGCTGGCCGGCTCCGCTCCGCCCCGGCTGCAGCCGCACTGAGGAGGCGCCGGGATCCCCCTTCGGCGGGGTCGCGCCGAGCCTGGGGGGCGGGGCAGAGGCCAGGGGCGTGTCCGTCCCCCCCCTCACTCGGGTCCCCCCCCCAGGTGCCTGCGGAGGAGGGGCGGCCCCTACAAGACCCCCCCGGCCACGGAGCTGAGCCGCTGGCGCCTGGCCTGCGAGGAGGGCCGGCAGCGCTGGACGTACGGCCCGGGGGAGGACGAGCAGAGGGCCCTGGAGGCCCACGCCGTGGGCCTGGACACGGTGGGTGCGGGCGGGGGGAGGGACAGGAGCAGGGGAGGGGCGGGGCAGGCGGGGGATTTCGAGCCCCATCCCCCACCAAACCCCCTCCCTTCGCAGGCGAAATACTTCGAGGAGGTGCCCCCCGCTCGCTCGGCCCGGGAGGGAGCCTGGAAAGGCATGAGGTTCTACTCGAAGCTCCAGGCCGAGGACGGCCACTGGCCCGGGGACTACGGGGGCCCCCTTTTCCTGCTGCCAGGTAGGGCCCGGAGGGGAGGGGGAGTGTGCGCGCGAGTGGGTGTGCAAGTGAGTGTGTGTGTGGTGAGAGGGCAGGTGTGTGTACGCGCGCGGCGCCTCGTGGAGACCGGCAGGTGCAGCACCGTGGGGGAGGCGGCTCCTGCTCAATTACTTTATCTCCCAGATGAAGGTTGGGGGCCTCTGTCCACACCCACCTTAACCCCTCTGGTCTTGGTGTCCTGGGGGCACGGCGGGAGTCCTCAGAGTTGGCTTTCTGAAGAAAGGGAGGAGGTCTCGGAATGGTTGGGGGCGGGGAAGGGGGTCTCACACACTCCTTCGCTCGTGGGCCGTCACCGCTGGATCACCCTAACCCCTAGACCACACAAAATGCCTTCTCTTTGGAGGTGGGCTTCTTCCCCATCTGATGTGAAGCTCCGGGGAAGGATGGTGGGAGGAAGAATTTACCGAGGGCTTACTATGCACCGGGCTTTGCAGTCGTCATCTGCCCTGGCGAGGCGGAGGGCGGTGCTGTTGGGATCCCAGGACTTGAACCCCCGTCGGCCGACTCCAGGCCCAGAGCTCTGTGCCCTTGGCTTGTTAGTTATTGCTCCTTGTGAATGTGCTTTTTTTCTTGTACTTTCTGTTTTTTGACTGGAATTGTAGAAATGACTTTTTTTCTGGTTCCTTTTTTAAAATTGGCCACCTTTGGGGCAGAGTCACAGCCTTCCACCACCTGCTAGGCAAGACCAGACTGAATCCAAGGAAAAAGGAGTGAGTCCTTCCTCCAGGCCAGGCTGGCCTAGGGAGACAGGCAGGTCTGCAGATGTTGGGACTGTTCCCCGAGGAGCCTTCCAGCACCCGGGATTAGAAGAGGGTAGAAGCTGTGTCCTCACATATCCAGGCTGGGCTAAGGGGTGGTGAGGCTCTGAAGCAGCTCTGTGGCTCTTACCCCATTCTCACCTGCAGCAGAATGCCCAGGTGGGCAGCAGCTTCAGACCAGATGAAGGCTAGACAGTGAGGCTCCCTGAAATTGCAGCTTCCCCAGATGCCGATAGTGGCAGAGACAGGACCAGCTCAGACAGTTCTTTCAGAAGTGTGTGGAGCCCACCTCCAACCTCGAGTCACGGAGGAAGCTGGAAGGATGAGCAAACAGAAACAGTGCCCCTCGGAAAGCCAGTATGGTGACAGGAGCTCAATCCATAAACCCAGAACATCAACAGGGAAAAACATAGCTTAGGCAGAAATCCGACTGGAACTTGTGGAAGACATAAAGCAAGCATTTAAAAAACAAAACAAAAAAGGTTAAAAAATGATTTGAAAAACCAAATAAGAGCAGTAGAAGGGAAAAAAGGGAAACAAGATTGTACCCCAGGAAATAACTCCATGAAAATGAGTATTGACCACATAGAAGCTAGTGGTTTCATGAGACATCAAGAAACATCAAAACAAAGTCAAAAGACTGAAAAAAAAATAGAAGAAAATGTACATCCGAACGAAAAAGCAAGTGACCTAAAAACGGATAAAGGAGAAGGGATTTAAGAGTCATTGGACTGTCTGAAAGCCTTGACCAAAAAGAGTCTAGACATCATATTTTACAGGAGGGCAAAGTAGAAAGTGAAAGAATATGTTGGTTATCTCCCATAAGAAACCCCCAAAAGGGGGCAGCTAGGTGACACAGTGGATAGAGCACCGGCCCTGGAGTCCGGAAGACCTGAGTTCAAATCCGGCCTCGGACACACAACACTAGCTGTGCGACCCTGGGCAAGTCACTTAACCCCACTGCCTAGCCAAAAAAAGAAAGAAAGAAACCCCAAAAGAAAACTTTAAGGAACCTCTCAGGCAAAACCATGAACTCCCAGATGAAAGAAAGAAAACACTGCAGGCAGCCAGAAAGAAAGAATTCCAGGTACAGAGGAGGCACAATCAGGACGCCAGAATATTTACCAGCCGCTAATATCTAGGAGTGCAGAGCTGGGCAGAGGACAGTCCAGGAAGCCAAGGATTCCTACTTCCAGGCCTAGCACTCTCTGCCGCACTGAGACAATACATAGATTTCCCCAGAACTCCATCCTCAGGGGTCATAGAGGGCTTGGGAGTGGAAGGGGGAAGAAGGAGGAATATAACGGAACATATAATGGTGGGGAGGAACTGACACAGTTATCTCTCATGATCAGAGGGATGGGGTGGGAGGAAGCGGGAGATGTTTGAACCTCACTTGGTTCCAAACTGGTTGAAGGAGGAAAGACTCATGAGTGTCCATGCTCCCCCCCCCGCCCCACCCACACACTTGAGGCTAAGGGGGCATGAGAGGGAGGGAAAATTAAGGGAGAGTTTAGTCAGAAGCAAAACAAACTCTTAAAAACAGTAAACAGAAGGAAAAGTATAAGAACAGGATAGAGGTAAGTATAGGATTTGACAATTAACTGTGAATGGGACAAAGTCACTGATAAAATGGAAGAGCACAGCAGAGAGGATTAGAAGCCAGAATCCAACAATACATTGTTGATGAGAAACATATTTGAAACAGAAAGAGATGCATAGAGGAAAGGGTTTAAAGGGGCAGGAGCGAAATATATTTTACTTCAGATGAAGTAAAAAAAAAGAAAACAGTAATAGTAATCGTGATCTCAGACAGAACAACAGCAAAGATGGACCTAGTTTAAAAAGATAGGGAAACTACATTTTGATGGAAGGTACTATAGATAACGAATTACCACCAGTACTGAATAGATGTGTACCAAATGGTTCGGGATCTAAATTCTTAACGGAAAAGCTAAATGAGTCACAGGGAGAAATGGTCAAACAAGGGTGGATGATTTTGTTCAGTTTACTCCTCTCGGAAGGTTTGCTGGACACTGCCTGTTTTTAGCAGGTTTCGTGGTGGTTGCTTTCCCAATGGGATGGCGAGAAAGAGGACCAGAAAATAAAATAGAAGAAAATTTGAGAAAAAGAATGACTGGAAGGGGAAGCGTGAATGAGTTTCTGATTATTTAGCGTGCGTTACAACTCGTCATTCATGATTGCTTTGGCTTTTGTTTCTCTAGTGTTCACCTGGATTCTAAATTGATCTCCAGTTTTAGGAGTGTTTTTTTCCACCTTTTACATTGAGTGCTGGTCTCATTACAATATTTTTCCTTAATCTTTTAAATAGTATTGGTGTTCCTTCCTGATGGTGCTTAATTAATATCATTAGTTAAGGGGTGCCTGATTCTAGATTTTACTTTTTTTCACTTTGAATATTATTTATGTTTCTGCCTATGTACATACATAGATGTATATTTATATGTATATTTAAAGTCTAATGTAAGGATAAGGTTACTGTAGTTAAGTTATTAGAGCTATTTTGAGGGACGGAGCTTGGAGGGTTAGGGTTAGGGATGGGCTCAGGTTAGACCAGGGCCAGTGAGAGGGGGAGGATGTTTTTTTAGGGTCAGGGCAAAGGTGGATGGTAGGCGGCAATAGGGTAAGTAAATGGGCGTGATTTAGGGGTAAATATATAGACAAATGGGTAATGTTAGCCAAGCATCATGAGGAGGGAAGGACTAAAATCAAAATGAGAGTTCTGAATATTTTAACTTCGGTCACAGATCTGACATTGCCTTTTTCTTGTTGAACGTGTAACTAAGCTGTGCTTGGTGTCAGGCCCGCAAGCTGGCGTCACTGTCTGGATTGAATGTTAAAATATTATTAGATAATATTCTTAAAATAATATTCTTTCCTATTAAAAGGAATTTTCCGTACGTTATTTTAATAATATTTTGAGCTGATAGTCATAGGTGCCGTTAACAGTTGTAAAGTACTTTGTAAATGTAACCTTTAAGAAACATAGAACAGGTGTTGTTAGCTCCATTTTACAGACTTGGAAACTGAGCCTCAAGTTCAAGGATTTCTCCACAAGGTCACACTGATAACGTCAGAGGCAGCATTTGAACTTGCTTCTCTGGATAGTCTCGACTCTGCTGTCTTTCTACTGTGCCTGGAAGTAACCCCTCACAATTAAGAACTCTCTATTTTTGATTACATAGGACTCCTGATCACATGCCGTGTGACCAGCACCTCCCTCCCAGCTGGGTACAAAGAGGAAATTGAGCGCTACCTGCGATCTGTGCAGCTCCCCGACGGTGGCTGGGGCCTGTGAGTCTGCAGAGGATAGAGCTTTGTTCTCTGTCCTTCCCTACTCAGTCCTTGGTCTGACCTTCTCCACCTTCACATCTCTGCACCAATCGCTCCCCGTGCCTGGCATGCTTGCCCTTGTCCCCTCTGCAGGCGGCCTGTGCCCTCTGTCCCTTCCCATGGACCTGGTCTGGGTCGAGGTCGCACACATGGCTGTGGGAGGTCCTGTTTGTTTCCCTCTCGGGAGAATAGAGGCTTTTTGAAGGCGGGGACTGTGGCTTCTGTCTTTGTACGCCCAGCCCAGAGCTCAAGGCCTGGCAGTGCTAGCACACACTTTACCCTAGTCACTCAGGGCCACTGTTAAGTGCTTCTCAGGGGCCTGGCACTGTGCCTGTAGGGGTGTGGGTTCCTGTGTACGTGCAGGGTAACTGGGGGGTGTGGGAGGGTGTGGTGGGGGAGGCTCCAGGAAAGGCCACCTGAGCTGCTGGCCTTCTGGGAGGGAGAACCTTCAAGGCTTTGGGGATGGACAACTTGTGGAAAGGCACCAAGGTGCCAGATGGCTTGTCGATGACTGGGCAGGGATGTGGAGTGAGGCTGGAAGGGGTGGGGGAAGGGCAGGCATTTCTGAGCAATTGCCCTTCATTAGGGCGCTGTCATTGGTCGTGTTTTCATGCAACCTCTTTCTCCTATTCTTGTTCAAATGAAAAATCCCTGAAATGTGTACGCAGCATCTCTGATCTGGGCTAAAGCACGGTATAAAGCAGGGAGCCTTGGGCTTTTGAGGATGGGGTGTTCCTGTGAGCGCCACGTACTGCCCAGACAGGCTTCTTCTTCTTGTCTTGTAGCAGAAGTGACCCCAGTCTTGTTCTCAGCTTCTGCCACCCCTTGTTTTTATGCCTATTACGAATGCACCCTTCCTCTGCCCATCAGGAATGTGGGTACATCTTCATTCATTCATTTGTAGCGTGGGGAGCCTCTAAGCAGAATTCTTCCCTTGGGAGAAGGTTGAGGGTCAAAGACGGGGGTCTTCCTCTCTGCTCCTGGGTCTCCTCACAGGTAGGGTAGAGGTTCTTTGGACCCACCGAGGTTTCGGAAGTCCCAGGAGTACATGCCTTATTCTTCATCGGTTAGTGAGCGTGGCAAAGCTGGTCAAGAACCAGAGTGCTTTTTCCTATTGACTGGTCTGCTTCCCAGGGCCCAGGCCCTTTGGGGGCTGTGTTTGGGATGACAGAGCTCTTTAGGTGCCGTGGAAGAGAGGGAGGGAGGGACAGAGAGGGGCAGAGATGTAACGAGAGTGGAAGAGAGAGATGGAGATGGCAAGAGAGAAAAGGGAGGCGATGGACACGTGGGGGGTGAAGAGAGGAATGAGGAGAGAGATGAGATAAGGGGCCGGAGGAGAGGGAGGAGAGGAGAAGCTCGGTTGGCTCCACCCTTGTGGAGGCCGTGGGATGGGGTGGAATTGCCTCGGAATGCCCAGCAGAAACCACCTGCCTGCTGGGATTGCTCTGAAATGAATTCTTTGCTTCGCTTCTCTTGCGCCCCTTTAGTTAGGGGCTTGTTGTATTCTGAAGGATCTGGGCCAGTGCCTTGTTGGGTGTGATGGAGGTTCTCAGCAGAGGCTGAATCTTCTCTGTGCTCCTTTGTACTTTTGCAGGCACATTGAGGATAAGTCGACAGTGTTTGGCACCGCCTTGAACTACGTATCCCTGCGAATCTTGGGAGTCGGACCTGATGATCCTGCCCTGGTGCGCGCCAGGACCAACCTTCACGAGAAAGGTCAGTGTTAGGAGTGATGCTCTCTTGGCCGAGACTGGGTTCTGTGGCACTGTGTTGGCTTCTCTCTTTTTTTTTTTAAATACAATTAATTTACTTTTAGTTTTCAACATTTACTTTCATAAGATTTTCAGTTTTAAGTTTTCTCCCCCTCCCACTTATCCCCCCTCCCACAGTCTGATATAGGCTCTACATATATGTTCATATTAAGCATATTTTCCCATTAGTCATGAAGTAAAGAAGAATTAGAACTAATGGGAGGAACCACGAGAATGAAGCAATAAAACAAAACAAAGGAAAAGGAGAGCAAATAGTCTGCTTCGATCTGCGTTCAAACTCCATAGTTCTTTCTCTGGATGTGGACAGCATTTTCCATAACAAGATTTTTGGAGACGTCTTAGATCCTTGCATTGCTGAGAAGGGTTAAGTTCATCAATATTAGTCATCGCACAACGTGGCTGTTATTGTGTACAAAGTCCTCTTGGTTCTGCTCACTTCACTCAGCATCAGACCATACAGTCTTTCCAGGTTTTTCTGAAGTCCGCCTGGTTGTCATTTCTTATAGCACAATAGTATTCCATTACATTCATATGGCACAATTTGTTCAGCCATTCCCCATTGACTTCTTTTTTTAAAAAAACAAAACTTTATTTTTTCCCCCAATTACTTGTGAAACAATTTTCAGCATTCATTTAAAAAAATTTTGAATTCCAAATTCTCCCCCTCCCTGAGGCAGTAAGCAGCCTGATGTAGGTTACACATGTGCAGTCATGGAAAACGCATTTCCATATTAGTCATTTTGTGCAAGAACACGCGAACCTTCCCCAAAGAAAGAGTTTTACAAGTCTGCCCCAGCCTGCGTTCAGATGCCGTCGGTTCTTTCTCTGGAGGTGGGTGGAGGGTTTCCTCATGACCCCTTTGGGATTGTCTTGGATTCTTGTACTGCGGAGAAGAGCTGAGCCATCGCTGTGTTTGCCTCCGTGGGTCAGAGAGATCCCTGGCGATTCCTCCATCTACCTCTGATCCTTCCTGCTTGTTTGTCTGTGGGCAAGGGAGTGACTTCTCTGAGCCTTGGTGCCCTCCCCTGTGAAGTGGGGGATGCCGATGATGACGGTGAAGACGGCAGCTGGCGCTTCGGCAGCGCTCGGAGCTTTGCAGAACTTGTCAGATCCTCTCTGATTATCCCCATCTTACAGATGAGGATGGCGAGGCCAGCGGAGGTAAAGTTCTGTAGGAGCCTGCCTGTGCTCAGGGCTAGGCCCTCAGTGTCTCCCTCTTGGACCCTTGCAATGGCCAGTCTGTCCTCCATTTGAAGAAACCAAACCAGTGAATTTCATGGAATGCCTCAATTGCAGATATGGAATCAGCTGCTTGACCCTCATGGTCTTTGCAGGCCCTGTGTCATCTAGGGCCTCGGCTCCGGGCCTCTTCCCTGGCTTTCCCCGCTCATCTGTGCCCCCGGGCCTCTTGAACCCTCTTCATGCCGCCGTAGCAGGCATTGTTCAGTGTTTATTGGCTTGGGCCAGCCCTGAGTAAACATCTGAGGTGTGGCTTGAACTTGGGCCTTCCTGACTCCAGGGCTGGCTCTCTGTGCGTCCTCTGGGCCACAGAACTGGGCCACTGGACTTGCCTCTGGGCTGTTGTGAGGTGTGAGGGAGGAGGGTTTATAGGGACATCATTTTCTGTCTTTTGGGCTTGATGAGGATCTGGTTGGTGTACAGTGATTAAGGAGTGAGCCTTGGTCTTGGGGGTCCCTCCTCCCCTCTGACCGGAGCTGGGCTCCTTCCCCCTGCCAGAGGTTCTGAGGACACCCACCCTTAAAGTGTTAGGTTAGTGAGGGTGGGTAGAGATGAAGCTGACTTTGGGACTGCTGTGAAGAGCGTGGTTTTCTTCCGGGACTTGCCTTCACTGTTTGACTTGCCTCTGCGGCTTGGACTCGGAATGAAGTGACAAGGCTGTGACTCTTTCTCTATCTGATAACGTACAATCAAACGCTCTGCCTTGTCCCGTCGCGAGGCTGAGTGACGCTGGCGCCCATGATTTTTATTTCTGCCTCAGTGTCGTTGGTGTTTTCATCTGGACTCAGATGAAATCTGGCCTGGTTGGGATTGTGCAGAGCTCCAGGGAAGCAGGCCCCTCCTCCCCAGGCCGGCCTGCTGTCCTCCTCTCTTCCTGTAATGGACGTGGGCTGCCACTGACCTTTGGAGTGGGCAGCAGCACTTTTGTCGGGCAGAAGGGGCTTGACTCTTTGGCACCTGGTCTTTCCTAGGTGGTGCTCTTGGAATCCCTTCGTGGGGAAAGTTTTGGTTGGCCATCCTGAATGTTTACAGCTGGGAAGGGCTGAACACGCTCTTTCCTGAGATGTGGTACGTATCGCAGCAGCGCGGTTCTCTTTGGACACGGCGTGACAGGGTCCCCTGGTTGACTGGTTGGTCTCGGAGGCTCTCGGCCCTGCTTTCTGGTGCAGCTGGGCTCCTGCCCCTGCTGGTGCCCCACCGTCAGGGACTGTAGTCACGCTCCCGGGGCCCCCTGTGCTCTTCCCCCTCCAGCAGATGCATAGACCTCCCTCCCCTCCTCCATTCCTACAGCAAACGCTGCTGGGAAGCCTGGGCCCCCTCTTCATCTCTGCTTTGTCGGGGCCTGCATCTCGGGCCCTCCTGCCTCCTCCAGGACTGGTAGGCCCCTGGTGTTCCCTTTTCTCACCCACCTTCCAGATATGCCTTGTCCTGCCTGCCCCGATGGGCTTAGCTCTCACCACTCCTCAAAGAAGCCTTCTGTCACCCCTCTCCATCCTGATGCCAGCCTAGCAGGCACCACTCCTCTCGTAGCAGCCCTGTGCCATACCATGCCCATTACATGCAGTATCTGTTTCCTCGCATTGCGACTTCCACTCCCACCAGCCTGTGGACACTGCTCAGGGGGCTATCCCGTCTCCTAACCTCTGTCCGGTCCGCAGTCTCTGCCCTTTGTGCCCCACCTGGGGCCTTTCCTCGACACCCCAGAGCCTCCTGGCCCTCTCCTTCATCTTGTGTCCTCAGATCTCTTGTGGAGTCCTTCGCTGAGATTAGTGCTTCCGAGCTCTGTCTGTCCTGGTCTCTCTTCTCTTAACCGCTGGTCCTGTGACACCTTGCTTGCTCCCAGCCTTCACCTGTTGTCTCTCCAGCGAGCATCAGACCCTCATCTCTGGCTGCCAGGAGGACAGCTTGGCCACCTCTGGTGCCCCCCCCCCCCCAGACCTCAGATCCACACATCTGGTGCACTTTATCACCATGTGCTACCACTCTGGTTTTGAGAAAGGTTTCCTAGGCTCCTCTAGGCTCCTTTGTGTTTGGCTTAGTCTGCTGGGGCATTTCCAGCATTACCTTGCATTTCTCCTGCCTTCGTCCCTAGCCCCCAAGCCCTAAGGGCCAGCCAGACTGAACTGTGTTTGCCTGTCTTGGTGTCTGAACTGAGACTGAGAATGCCCTCTCTTGCCCTCTGTGGCTTTTAAATGCCATTCTTTAAAGTCTAGCGCGGCTGGCTTGCTCCCTGAGGTTCCTCCTTACTTGAGGTTTTCAAGTGAAGATGGGATGACCTTTTGTTGGGGACATTGTCAAGGAGACGTCTGTAGAGGCCCACCCTGATGTTCACATCCGGGAAGCCTCACCCTGCCATACGTTTAGGTGCTATTCCCTCTCAGCCTGTGGGCTTCATGAGGCAGGGCCCCTGTCTGGGGCCTGCTATCTGCCTATGTGATAAATTGTGGACCAGGTTGTCATGGCAGGCACCAGTGCCCACTGCCGAGAGCTGGGGTTGGAGCTGAGGCCTTGGTACCTCGATGGAAGCCACATGGCCCCCCAGTGAATAGTAAGCAAGTGTTTGGGTTTCTTTGCCAGGCTCTTTCCTGCCTGGGTGCCGGCTCACCCCTCAACTCTGTGGTGCCATTGTCGCCAGGTGTATCTGCCCATGAGCTACTGCTACGCCATGCGCCTGCAGGGCCAAGAGGATGAACTGGTTCAAAGCCTGCGACAGGTGAGGACCTTGATGATGGCCGGGGGTCGGGGGTCGGGGTCAGGCCGGGCAGAGCGCTAATGGTGCTGGGGGACTCCGGGAGCCTCAGAGCAGCTCATTTAAAATAAATACAGGAGCCTCTTGTTAAGAGAGCTGGGAGAAGGAAACAGGCATTGATTAAGCACCTACTGTGTGCCAGGCACTAATTGTCCCAACAGCCCTGGGAGGTAGGTGCCATTATGATCTCCATTTTACAGATGAGGAAACTGAGGCAACTTGGTTAGTTAAGTGACTTGCATAGCTAATAGTCTCTGAGGCCATATTTGAACTCAGTTCTTCCTTACTCCAGGCTCTGCCCTTCAGCTGCCTCAAGGGGGCTGCAAAAGAACGAGACAGTAGTTATAACCAGGTTTTATTTTGACTTCACTCTTCTCAACTAAGGTTCTTGTGTTTATATTTTTAAAAAATTGTTGTAGTGAACCAACATTTTGAAGTGACTCTGTGACACTGTAAATACAAAGGTAATTTGCCTGTGATGGAGCCCCTCGGGCCACTTCTCACTCTGTGTTTTTCTGTGTTTTGTTGGCTTTCTTCCCTGTGGCTTCATTGACGAGCCCCCATGTTTCCTTGGGCTCTTCCTCTTGTCTTTTACCTTGAATGAAAAGCAGATGGAAAAACGGCTCCTGGTAGACGTAGAGAAGCCAGGGGCATGGCCTGGGGCCTCGGTCCGGGCCTCGGCTGGGAGCAGTGATAAGCCTTGTTTGCCCTTGCCCTGCCCTGCCCTGGCCTGGCCCAGCAGGGCTTGACCAGCCTTCCATCTAAGGAGCCCTGGTCCCATTGTGCCCCGGATCAGTCTCCCTGCCGTGGCTGTTGGGACATTTACAGAGAGCACGAGGCATTTATTGTACACCTACTGTGTGCAGGCACTATGCTGGGGCAACAAAGACAAAAGCCAGCCCATCGGCAAGCATTTATTAGGCACCTACTGTATATGCAGCACCACGCTCAGTCCCTGCCCAGGAAGAGCTCCCTTCTTTCAGGGCAGGCCATATGTCGGCATAGAGGTCTAGTGAGAGTATAGAAAGACAAGGGCGCATGGGCAGCTGGGAGGTGGGGGGAAGCTTCCTGTGGAAGGAAGAGAGGGAAGGATCCCTCCATCTTGGAGAGGAAGTAGAGCATTTCAAGCGTGGGAGATGGCCAGTAGTTTGGGCAGAGGTGCTGAGGTGTGAGGAGGGCCTCTGGGCTGATGGCCGGCAGGGGAGGGGGGGTGGGGGACACTGGGTGTGTCGCTGTAAGGGCACTGGTCCAGGATTACTTTCTGATCTCTGGTCCTTTTTTTCAGGAGCTTTACCTCGAGGACTATTCTAGCATAGATTGGCCAGCCCACAGGAATCACGTGGCCGCCTGCGACCTCTACACACCCCACAGCTGGCTCCTCCAGCTGGTCTACGGTAGGTCAGCCCACGTGCGTCCCCTCCTACCTGGAGCAGAGAGGGGTGGGCCCCCAAGGCCTGGCCTCTGGGAAGACGAGGTGGGAAAGTGTCTTGAGGTTTTTCTGTTGTGCGCCCGGTTCCTTGGTCAGCATGTGATCTCAGTGGGGCTGTCTCCCCCACCCCCACCCTGTTTTCCAGCCCCCCCAGTAGAATATGAACTCCTTGAGGTCGTCAGAAGCTTCCCGCGGGGCCTGCCACGTGCTCTCTCTTTCTCTGGACCAGTGGCATTGCAGGCCTCCTGTGGGAGGAAACAGATGATGTCGCTTCTCTTCGGGGGGTGCCAGAGTCCCAGATCCTGCTTGTCTTAGGCTAACAGTGAAGGACCCCAGACTAACCCTTTGGGCGGCAGACTTTGTTACTGACCTCTAGGATAGTGCTCGGCCACTGTGTTGATCAGAGTGCGGATATCTTAGAAAATTGTTTTTAGGACACTGAGGCTGCTTAAACTGTTGCCCTGGTTCTGCTCACCTGACTGCGCCTCCATTCATACAGGCTTTCCCCCTTTTCTGTGAATCTGCCCCCTCCCCCACTGTAATCTGTTTGGCCAGTTCCGGTTGCGAGCACCCTCCTCCCAGGGCCTTGTGACCCCAAATTGGTGCCAGCGTGGCTCTCTTCTGTCTTCCTTGATCTCTTTGGGGCAGACGGCAGGCACCGGCTGTTCACGCAGTCGTCCAGAGTGGCTGCGCTGGCTTCTGGAATGCAAGGCCTTCGTGTGCCTGTACAGCCAAGCTGAGGGCTGGCTGGCGGGACCCCCCAAGGTGCTGGGGTCTGGCTTGGGGTTGTTGAGGGGAGAGTCACTTCCTTCTGCAGCCTAGAAGTGAGAAGTCGGCTGCAGAGCTCAGTTGTCCGCTTCTTCTCTTTCAGCCACGTTGTGGGTGTTCCCGTGCAGAATGGCCCGGGTTCGGCTCTGCCGTCCTCTGTGTCCCTTGGTTTGTCCTGAATCTTCTCTTCCCCAGAGAGCTGATGGGTCCTTTGCTGGTTCCTCCCGTTGGTTCCTGCATCTCCTTTGAGCTGGACAGCACCCAGCAAGGGGGAGGCGCTAGGGGTATTTTGGCCTCATTTGGCTGATCAGGGCCCGAAGGCCTGAGGAGGTTCCATGGCTCCTCCTAAGAGCTTGGCTGATGTGGGGCCCTGGGCAAGTCCCCTCACCTCTGCCTGCTTTGGTCTCCCCCTCTGTAAAATGGAGATCTAGGGAGATCACCTATAGAAGAGCTGACCGAACGGATGCCTAACGTGCGCTCATTCCTCCCTTCCCCTCTTACGCTGTCAGCCCTCACGATCCGTCTTCCAGTCCTTGGCCAAGGGTTCCCTTCTCCTTTTCTGTGTTCCTCTTGTCCATTAAGGGGCCGCCATTTTGACTCTGTTCCGGGCCCCTTCACACCCTCCCCCATTCCCCCCACCCATAATGCCCTGGGCAGGCAGAGAGATGAGTGAGATGGTCTTGGCCTGGCCAGGCGATAGCAGTGGGGACCTTGTTGGGCCTTCCCGAGCCGGTGGCTCAGGTGGAGCCTGGGGTCTCAGCGGGGCATGCCCGCGTGGTGGTCCTCCAGCCCCAAGCCCCTTACTGTCTCTGCCTTCCCTGACCGGTGGTGGAAAACAGGGTGCTGCAGATGGCAGAAGAGGCCCCTTTCCTCGATCCCGTGCCAGTGGTTTCCTATCTCTGGGCCTCTGCAGGCAGTGTGGTCTGAGCACCCCTGGAGGAGGACTGGGGATTAAGGGTGGCCTTTAGGAGCTGCCTCGGGAACCGTTCTCCAGGTGTTAGGAAACGGCAGGCAAAGAGATTAGAGGACGATGAGCCCGGGGAGGGCATGTCAGGTTTTCAGGACCATGACAGCAAAGGCCAAGAGACGGGGGCCGTGGCCATGAGATTGGGGGATGTCAGGTGCCTCTCTGCTGACTGGGAGGGCAAACTCCCTCTGAGCCACATTGGCGTCATTTGTCAGGGGGCCCTGGTCTGTCTCCACGTTGGAAATTGTTGTCCTCTCTTGCAGATGCCCTCCAGAATGCCCCCGCCCCCCTTCTCCAGGGGCCTGTGTTCCTGCTTTAGCCTGTGCTGTCTCCCTCTCCCCCATCCCCCATCCTCTAAAGGCCAGCCCTAGTCCCGATTCCTCCCTGGAGCCCTCCGTGGATGGGCTCTAGACCCAGACCCTCGTGGCCCAGCACCTCACTTTTGTTTTTTTATTTGGTTCCTGTGTGTTAGTCTTGTTTTTCCCCAGAGACTTTTCAACTCCTTCAGGTAGGGGACAGACTTTCCCACAGGGCCCAGAGCAGTGCCGAGTGAATGCGCCGGGAGTAGAGAAGGCCCCTCAGGAGGGGTTTCTGTGAACCTGGCTGATCTCAGACATTGGCCTGGGGGCCTCAGAGGGCTCTCCTAACCAGCTGCTCAGGGGCCTTCCCTTTGAACGCAGCTAGCAACACGGCTCTCCTCCTGTGCCCCACTCCAGGCGTGCTTAACCTGTACGAGAGCTATCACCTCTCGAGCCTGAGGAAGCGCGCCGTGGCCGAGGTGTACGATCACATAACAGCTGACGACCGATTCACCAAGTGCATCAGCATCGGCCCGGTACGCTTCCGCACCTCCGTCCTCTGCCGGCCAGCAGGGGAGGGGGGGTGGTAGCGGGACGAGGGGGGATCTCATCTCATCCTCTCGATGGATCCTTTTCCACCTTGAGGCAGTGGCCAGAGTGGAGCTGGACCCCCGGCCGGGACTCCCCTCCAAGTCACTGGCCTTTTTGGCTGGGCGTTTTCTAGGTTCTGTGGGTGATCTAGATGCCAAATCCATAAACCAAAGGGAAGAGGTTTTTCCTCTTCATTGAAGAAAGATGCTTGAGACATCTGATTCTCTGTGGAGCGGTCATCTGGAGGGTGCGTCTGCTAGGACATTTGGTCACTCTTCACTGTGAAGCCATGCTACATTGTGATTTCTTTCTCTGGCAGATTTCTAAGACAATCAACATGCTCGTTCGATGGTACGCGGAAGGGCCGGTCTCCTCGGCATTCCAAGAACACGTCTCCAGAATTCCAGATTACATGTGGTAGGTTTCTGTGGATTTGGCATGTCTCTCAAGCAAAGCTGTTTCTTCTGCCAAGGAGCGGTCCGTTAGAGAGCAGCTCTAGGGAGAGGGAGATGGGGGTGGGCACAGAAGTGGGGTCACTTGGGCAGCAGGGGCAGAGGAGGCCAGAGAGCAAACCTTGGTGACAGCTGTCGGTACAGGGACCTGGCGGATCAGCCCAGTGAGGAAGACTTCAATGGCTGTGCCTAATTGGAAAGTGTGTAAGGGCGGGTCCCATTGCAGCGATCACAATGGGGGCTTTCAAGAATTCAGGCAGAGTTTTGAGTAATCACCTTGGCTTTGTCACCTTCCTTCCAGGTTGGGTCTTGATGGCATGAAGATGCAGGTAAAGTGCCTTTGAAACAAGGGTCTCTTGTTGGGGAGCCTGGAGGGGCGTGGCTGACTGAGGGTCTGGTGTCTCCCTCTTTCTTCATTCCGGGACCCCTGGGGGCCGTTCATTCTTCAAGATCACAGGAGACATTAGGGAGCCAGGATGTGGGGGCTTTGTGTTGGCAGGTGATTTCTGGCTGAACACCCAGACTTGTTGGCGGCAGTGTGACACGTCACATCTGTCAGTTGACTGAGTGCCCTTCCGCAGTTATTTATCTCTGACCTAATCACTTGTGTGAGTGAACTACTGCTGAGCACCTCTCCAGGGCCATTTTTGCAGACACATAAGGACGTAGGGATCTGCCATTGTGATGATGCCATGAAAGTGCCACTGGTGTGATGACCAGAACAGAGGGAGCAGAGCTGGGGGTTTGTGCCCTCCCCCACCCGCTCTCCTGGGTCCTCCATGAGCACCTCCCTCAGGGGCCTCCTCACCTGATTAAAGGACCTAGTAAACTTGCTTACGCTCCTTGGAGCGTTCCCAGCAAAGTGCCTGAATCTTACCTTTCCCAAGGCGGGGTTTCCATTTTTCAGAGGGGCCAGATTCTTGAAACCCTCTGTGTAGAGTGTTAGCTTCAGTTTGGAAGGGAGGAGGTGGTTTGGGGACAAGGAGGCCTTCCAGAGCCTTAGAAACCCCTGTGTGCCTTGGTCTTTTTGCCTTAAGTGGAGCTCTGGACCCATGTTCAACCATTTTTTGATCTGGAAAGTCTTGTTATCCCAGGTGCACCCGAGAAAAATTGGGTAAGAGAAGGTAGCCTGGGATGGGCTGTTGTGGACTTGGTGTTTTCCTTAAGAGGGGAATAGTGTGTGAAACATGAAGCTACCTGAGTAATTTTGGGACCGGCTTGGCAGGTAATCAGTAATTTTGACTAGGAAGAGAAAGCATTTCATTGTGGTTATGACTCCTGTGTTCCTCTGTCTCTAGGGCACCAATGGCTCTCAGCTGTGGGATACAACATTTGCCATCCAAGCTTTCTTAGAGGTATTCTCTCTTCCTTATTCATGTGTATTCCCGACATGCCTGTGGACCGTGGACATGTGTCCCCATCTTTATTTTTTTAAAATGCTCATTAACACGATCTTGCAAAACTGTAATGAACTACAGCGCTTGGGGCCCTGGCTTTTTGGAGTGGACCCAATAGCCAGAAAAGACTTTAGCTTTAACGGCTGCTCTTGAGCACACAGCCAGGCTTGAGGACCCCCGGGGCTGCCTCTTTCCCCAAATGACATTTGTTATTTTTGTCTAGAAGCACTAGAACAGGAATTCTTAACTTCATGTGTGTCATGGAACCTTGTAGCATTCTGGTGAAGTCTGTGGACCCCTTTTCAGGATAAAATTTTTAAGTGCATTAAATAAAATACATAGTGTTACAAAGGAAATGTATTATGTTGAACTACAGTGATCAAATTATTATAATCAAACAAGTTTATGGACCCCAGGTCAAGAACTCCTAGCTTTAGAATTCCTTCTTTCCCCATTGTTTGGCACTGTTATAGAGATGTCTAGCTTTAGTGATAAGTTGGGAAGGAAATTAAAGCATAATCACTAGCAAAGAGGAGATGAAATTGCCCCTTTTTGCTGACAACACAGTGATTTACTCAGAAAACAGAGACAGTCGGCAAAGAAACTAATTGGCACAAATAGCATATTGAAATAGTAACATTAGGGGCAGCTAGGTGGTGGAATGACAGAGCAGCAGCCCTGAAGTCAGGAGGACCTGAGTTCAAATCCGGCCTCTGACCAAACACTTGACACTTACTAGCTATGTGACTCTGGGCAAGTCACTTAACCCCAATTGCCTCACTTAAAAAAAAAAAAAGAAATAGTGACAATAACCTTGAAATAGCAAGGTCCAAAAGAAATCCTCACAAATCTACACCATTTCTATAGAACGTTAACTTCCTAGGAAGAAGTAATAGAATGGGAACCGCCATTCAAAATAAATGCAAAATGCATAAAATTGCTGAGAGTTCGGCTACCATGATATACTTGTCGTATGCAAATGCAATTACAGAGTGCTCTTTAAAGAAAGAAAGAATAACTTAAAGAGTAGGGGAGGGAGATGGTCATTGTGCATGGTTGGACCATGCTGGTGATAAAAATCACTAACCATTTATTGAGTGCTTATACTGAGCGGTAGATGCTGAACTGAGTCTTGAGATTGGTGTGAAAGTAGTCTCAGCCCTCCCTGCAGGAGCTTACATTCTAACGGAGGCCACAGCAGTTCTTATCCCTGCGCGCACGTACGTGCGCACACACACACGCGTACACACACGCGCACACGCACACACGCGCACACACACACGTATACACACGTATACGCTGGCACACATTCTAACGGAGGCCACAGCAGTTCTTATCCTTGTGCGCGCAAGCGTGTCCCGTCACAGAGACGTGCGTGCCTGCGCGTACGTACGGACACACACATACACACGTATACTCTGACACACATTCTAACGGAGGCCACAGCAGTTCTTATCCCTGTGCGCACAAGTGTGTCCCGTCACAGAGACGTGCGTGCCTGCACGTACGTACGGACACACGTACACACACACACACACACACACACACACCACACTTATACTCTGACACACGTTCTTTCTCCACATATTTGTATATATATTACATATATGTGTGTGTGTGGGTACATACACATGTCTATGGGAGACTATATTATTTGTGCATACATACACGTACATACTTATAAACTTCATTTACAGATTTAGTGCCACGCCAATCAGACTGCCAAGGGGATAGTTTATAAAACTAGACAGAACAGGAGTACAATTTATTCTGAGAAACAAAAAACCTAGGACAGAGTTTTTTAACCTGCAGTCTACAAACTTTTTTCTAAAATATTTTAATAGCTTTCAGTTTACTGGGTTTCTTTGTAATCCCATGTATTTTGTGTGTTTAATAATATGGTGAGTAGAGGACCGTAGGCTTCAGCAGCCAGATCCCAGTGGGTCCAGGGCGAAGAAAAGGTCAAGAACTCGGGACTGAGGATTTCGAGGCACACACTGCAGACAGGCATTGGAGCTCAGGGACCCCAGGGCTGGATCCACTCGAGAAGCTCAGTTACTTGGGGAAGAACTCAGTTTGTCAGCAGTTGAGTTTAGACAAATGTCTTTCACCATAGAAGCCACAGGAAGGTCAAAACAGATCCCTGCCCTATGTGCTGTGAGATATCAACATCTGAAACTGTAAGGAGAAAAGCCAGCTGGTAAGGGATGGAGTGGGCCAGACCAGGAGGTCCTTGACAGCAGGGACCTTGCTTTTGCCTTTCTTGGTAGAGCGGTCAGAGCAGTGCCTGGCACACCGCTGGTCTGTCATTCACTTGTGTCTGACTTTCTGTGACCCCTTGGGGTTTTCTCAGTGAAGATACTAGGGTGGTTTGCCATTTCCTTCTCATTTTACAGATGAGGAAACTGAGGCAAACAGGGTAAGTGACTTGCCTAGGGTCATATAGCTAGGAAATGTCTTGAGGCCAGATTTGAACTGAGGAAGATGAGTCTTCCTGACTCCTGGCCCAGTGCTGTGTGCGCTGCCTTTGCCTGGCACATAGTAGATCCTTAAGTGATTGTTAACTAGAGAAGATCACTAATTCCTCAGTTAAGAAGTGCTTACTGGGGCAGCTAGGTGGCACAGTGGATGGAGCACTGACCCTGGAGTCTGGAGGACCTGAGTTCAAATGTGGCCTCAGACACTCACTAGCTGTGTGACTCTGGGTAAGTCACTTAACCCCAACTGCCCTCACCAAAAAAAAAAGCACTAATAAGCACCTACTCTGTGTCAAGGCTGGAGTGAAGCCTGATAGATCATTGTGATTATGTGAAAGTAAAAGGCTTTTGTCCAGACAATCAGAGGAACTAGGCTAAGAAGGGAAGCCTTGGACAAGAGAACTCTCTTGAGCAGGACATCTCTGACCAAGATTTGAGAGCCAAGCCAGAGGGAGCCCGACTCACTGTCTCCATGGAGCATTCCTCCGTGAGTAAGCTGTTAAAGGATCTGGACAAACAGTCCTCCAAAGAGCTGCAGAATGTCAACCCTGTGACCGAAGGCCCCAAATCACGATGAAGCACTTCTCATGAAGTGTCAGAGATGCCAGAAGGCGACTGTCAGAGCACACTAATACGTCGTTGGTGGAGCTGCACGTTGCTCCAGCCATTCTGGAACATTTACTAAGCTCCTTCTGTGTGTCTAGGCGCACTGGGGATGCCAAGAAAGGCAGAATGATACTCCTGCCCTGAAGGGGCTTCCAGTCCAGTGGGGGAGATGGAAGGCAAATGCATGGGTACAAGCAAGCTCCATGCAGGACAAACAGGGAAGGTTTCCCGGAGGAGGCGGGATTTTGGGTGGGACTTAGGAGTTTGGTAGTCAGGGTGTTGGAGGGGACGTTCCAGGTAGGGGAACAGCTGGAGAGAACGCCCACAGCCTTTTGGATTTAGATGGAGAAGGTGACCCAAGATGCAGTGAGTGGGCTGTTAATAGGACGGCAGAGAACCGAACTCCAAAGTGATGCCTGTTAGTTAGGACGTGTCACTGTGGCTTTGGAGAAACATGGGAAATCCTGTGTGAAAGGATGCCTGGGGAAGCCAGTGTGTGCTGTGTCTGATGACAGAGCTTGGCCCTTTTTGGAGCTGGAGGTTAGCAAGGGTGTAGCAGGACACCTGCTCTCGGGCCTGGCCACTCTCCGGTGGTTCTTGGTGAGGGGGGTTTGGCTGGTGGAGGAGTAGCTGGTGAGATATTTGGTAAGGAAGGCCATGTCAGAATCAAGTATGGATAAACCCTGCCCTAAAAAGTAAGACTTGCTCTCCTGCCTCGTAGGGCTGTCTTGAGGAGCCAGAGACACGATGGGTATCAGGCGCTTTGTTGCTCTGAAGTGAGCCGGCTGGCGCAGGGCTTGCTTGTGATCTTGCGTCACGCTCACATGGGTGTCTCTTTTCTAGGCCGGGGCTCACAACATGCCTGAATTTTCTTCCTGTCTAAAGGATGCGCATGAATTCCTTAGAATTTCCCAGGTGAGCCTTGCTCCCCCGATCCTCAGTGGGGTCACTGTGTGAGATCCGTGTGAATCTGTGCTGAGCTGAGCCTGGCCCATGACCACAGGAGCCAAGGATGTTGAAGCTTCTTTAATCAGATGTGGGGAGCTTTACCAGGACCCTTCTTCTTGCCACCCTTAGTTCATGGGTCTTCCCCTGGTTGTAGGTTATTGGCAGTTCTCCAGTTTGTCCTTTCCTGGGTATTCAAGTGATGGCAAGGCCCCATGTACTCTCAGCTCTTTTGGCCAGGTTGAGTAGTCATGGGTCAGCCGCCATGGGAGCAGTGGCGGCAGCCGCAGGACTCTCTCCCTCTTCCGGGGCCCTTTCACCGGCGAACAACACCTGGGTAGGCCTTCTCCAGAGAGTCCTGCTGGGCCAGTCCTCTTGAACTCTGTCTTTGGGGATGATGGACGGTCACCCTCCAAGGGCTAGCTAGTGAATCGTAAGATCAGAAGCCTTGTTTGGTCACTCATGCGCCGTCTCGAGTTTTCCGTCAGTAGAATGTAAGATTCTGTCTTCTCTACTACATTGATCGTGTCTCTGGTGCTCACACAAGGGCTCACACTAATGTACAGGTAACTCTTGGTACATGGAGAGTATACCTTCTCGTAAGGTCAACTCTGTATATCGGACAACTTCTTCCCATCAAGTGCTGTGATGGAATTATCATTGGTTTCCAGAAGAGGAGGTTTGAGGCAGCGGGGTGGGATGGCTGGAGACAAGGAAGGGGAGAGTGGATGTGGGTGTGGAGAGGACTGGCGGGCTCCGGGGGCAGGGCTGAGTGACATGTCAGAGCTGGGCTTCACGCGCATTTGTCTGTTTTATCCACTCTGAGTTAGAGCTTTGTGGTCGTCCTAGTCATATTATTATTTCTGTGTCATGTGCGTATTGTGTTCTCCTTTCCACATCTTGGTGTATGATGCGGATTTTTGTCTAGATTCCAGATAATCCTGTCGACTACCAGAAATACTATCGTCAGATGAACAAGGTACAGTGTGAATTGGGTGTGGATTCTGATGGGTTCACTGTCTCTTGTTTTGTCCCAGCATTTTTTTTATGAATGCGTTTTTTAATTCAGAGGATTTCTGTCTCTCCTTGCATTTGGCTGGGTCTCCATATACGGGGAAGGCCAAGATGTTAGGTTATAAGCTGAGCTGAGCAAGCCATATGTGGCAAGGGTGGCTGACCTAGAAAAGGCCTTCCCTGGCATTCCACAGCCAGGGAGCAGCCGAGCCAGGATTAGAACCCAGGTCATTCCCAGCATCCTTTCCATCTGTTGGTTGCCTTTTTCTCCTCACCAAAGGCAGCCACTGTTCTCAATGGATGGTCTGTTCATGGGGAGAAGGGAAGGGGACAAGTATGTGTTAAGCACCTACTGTGTGCCAGGTCCTGTGCTAAGCACTGGGGATAAAAAAGAGGCAAAAGACGGGCCCTGCCCTCAAGGAGCTCCCAGTCTAATGGAGGAGACAACGTGTAAACAAATATGTACAAACATGGGATAAAGAGGAGGGAATGAACAGATTAGGAGGGCTTGGGGAAGACTTCCTGGAGAAGGGGAGATTTTAGGTGAGAGGTCAGTGGTGGGAGGGAGGAGGGAGAGAGAGCACTCCAGGCATGGGGTAGAGGGGGAGGCCAGAGTGAATGCCCAAAGCCAGTAGATGGAGGGTCTTACTTGTGGGATGGCCAGTGGGCCAGTGGTGCAGGAGCGAAGAGCATGTGTTGGGGTAAAATGGAAGGAGGCTGGAAAGTGAGGAGGGGGCGAGGTCACGAAGGGCTTGGAATGCCAAGCAAAGGATTGTATATGTTACCTGGAGGTGACAGGGAGTGCTGAATGTATTGAATGGGGTGGGAGGTGGGAGTGTGATATGATCAGATCTGAGCTTTAGGGAAATCACTTGAGTGGCCGAATGGAGGTAGGCTGGAGTGGGGAATAGCCTCGAGGTAGGCCAACCCCACGGGGCTATGGCCCTAGTACAGGACTGAGAGGATGAGGGTCTGCACCGGAGTCGGGGCAGGGTCAGAGGAGAGGAGGGGCGTATTGGAAAAAAACTGACAGCCCTTGGCACCATCTTGGATGGGGTGGGGTGAGTGTGAGGGATCCAGGATGACTGAGGGCCTGGGGAGGGAAAATAGGATGTGGGGGGCGTTTAGGGAGAAAGATAACGAGTTCTGTTTGGGACGTGTTGAGTTTAAGACGTCTCCTGGATCGCCACCTCTAGATATCTGAAAGGCAATTGGAGATGTGAGATTGGAGGTCAGGAAAGGGAGATCATCTGAATAGAGACGGTCCCCAAGTGAAGTAGCATAGAGGGAGAACAGGACCCAGGACAAGCCTGTGCTTAGAGGGTGTGACCTGGAGGAAGACCTGGCAAAAGAGACTGAGAAGGAGTGGTCAGAGAAGGAGGAGGAGAACCAGGAGAGAGCGCGTGCCCCCAAAACTTAGAGGGAGGAGAGTGTGACCCGCAGCGTCCAAGACTGTGGAGAGGTCAAGGGGAATGAGGGGTTGAGTTGAGAAAAGGCCATTGTATTTGGCTCCTGAGAGACAGTTTGGGTGGAAGGAGAAGTCGGAAGTCAGACTGTAAGGGGTTACGAAGGGAGGGAGAGGAGATGAGAAAGAGCCCAGGTGTTAGCTTCGATGGCGGATGGGCTCTATTCTGGAGAGGCCCGGCCTCGCCCCTTGGGACAGGGGCCTGCTCTTCCCTCCCCCCGTGGGTGTGAAGCCAGGCTTTTTTTGGTTTCATCCTCACCAGCGTCTGAGCTGGCCTAGACTCCTGTCTGAGAGCTGTGAATTCACTCTGATCTCCTTGTCCTTGGCAGAAATGGCCCTTCCTGTTCCTGCAGTATGCCATGTTCCCTGGGATGGCTGGCGGCCCGATCCAGCCTGGGAGCAGTGGGCCTTGTGGCCAGGGCCTCTCCTAAGCAAACCTCAGTTTCCTTATCTGTAAAATGGGGGTGTTTCAGCTCATGTTGCTTTTCTCACCAGGCTGTTGGCCCTAAGTTCCAGCGAGCTCTGCCAGACAGACGCTGGTTTGTTTGAAGCCGCTGCTCCAGTCGGTGCACAGGCTCAGCACGTCCTCTGCTCTGAGCCTGGGCTCAGAGGGGCAGGAGGTAGGAGGCCAAGAGACTGAGTGGAAGGAATGGCTCCCCTTTCCTTGGGTCACGTGGACTCATCTTTGCCTTGTAGGGTGGCTTCCCCTTTAGTACACGGGACTGTGGCTGGATTGTTGCCGACTGCACAGCGGAGGGCTTGAAGTGTCTTCTTCTCCTGCAAGAGAAGTGTCCTTTCATCACAGACCTGGTCCCCAAAGAGAGATTGTATGATGCTGTCAATGTGGCAAGTGATGGGCTTGTGTGCGGGAGCCCCAGGGGGGATGTGGCTAGGGACACTCACTCAGCCAGGCCTTGAGACTCAAGGACAAGTTTGCTCTGTGGCTTTCTTTGGAGCTTGAAACAGGAGCCACGTCCTACGTTTCTTTGGTTTCAAGTCTTTGTCCTTCAAGGCCTTGAGTATTGTCACGGGAGGCTGAAGGGTTGGCCGTCCCATTTGGGTCAAGCTGTCATGCAGGCCCTTCCACCCTCATAGATGGTAGGCCCTCTCCTTCATTCTGTCCATAAATGAAGGGAATCTAGTTTCTCAACTTGAAATTGTCATCTCGACCTCCTGGCTGCAGGGTGCGAGTCCAGCACAGTGCTGGAGACTCAGCTTTTCCTCATCCTCAGGTCACTGGACGGTTTCCTTTCCCCTTTAGCACCCAGCTTTGATCAGCTCCCTTCCATGTATGGCCCGGCTTGCCTCTCGCCCTGCCCCCAGCGGCTGCTGGCCCAGTCAAGGCAGTTAATCTTCTCTCTAGGATAGATTAGAATGCTCCTGCTGGTAAATGCAAGGCCTCTAGGCACCAGAGTTGGCCCTGGAGCCCTGCCCTCACCTCAGGCTCGTTCTCTTTTTGGAAGGGCCCTCTGACTCTGGAAGCAGGAGGCCTCTTCTCTCCCCACCCATGCTTGCCTTCCCCAGCTAGGAACCCAATCCCGTCTGCCGTGTGCCCAAGCACATACTTGCTTGTCTCACGTGGGAGCCCAGCCCATAGGCAGCCCTCAGTTTACGCGTCCATCTTTTGTGTAGCTGCTGAGCATGAGGAATTCGGATGATGGGTTTGCCACATATGAGAAGAAGCGTGGAGGATGGCTCTTAGAATTACTGAATCCCTCCGAGGTCTTTGGTGAGTCTTCTTGTTGGCTCCAGCCCAGTGGTGAGAGATTTGACCCCGTCTGCCTCTAGCCTGAGCCCCTCGACCGTGAGCCTCTCAGCCACCGCCGCCCCTTCATTGACTTTGAAAGGCCTGCAGCACACTTTCTGCATGAGGGGCTCCAGCGTGCTGTCTCTGGTTAGGCAGGGGAACGGCAGCAGCTGCTCCTGTCGGCGTGGGGTACAACCACGCGTGATGGTGGCTCAGTGTTCTTGTGGGGAGAGAGGGGCGGCCTCAGGCTCTGGACCTGAACAGGAAGCAGTTGCACCTTGTGGTTCGCTTGGGGCCCTTCTCTTAGCACTAGACGTCCCAGGATGTCTTTCTTGCATCGGGCCGTTGAGATCTGGCCTAACCGGGCAGGGGCCCTGGGGCACGCAGCTCCCAGAGAAGGCTCTGTGTGGCCGGTTCTTGACTCTGGGCCTCTTGCTGCCTCCTTCCCAGGGGACATTATGATTGACTACTCATACGTGGAGTGCACGTCCGCGGTCATGCAGTCTCTGAAGCGTTTCCAGGAGTGCTACCCTGAGCACAGGGCTGAGGAGATCAGGTGAGCAGAGAGCGTGGGCTTGGGGAGCAGGGGCCCTTTTTTATCTGTGTTTCGGGGCGCCGCTGCCGCGGCTGCCAGGAGGCTCTGCTCGCCCTTTTCCTCCCGATTCTGGATCTTTGGTTTCTCCAGGGCTGTTCTGCTGGTAGTTCTCGCTCTGCCCAGCTATCCCTCTGCTTGTTTGCGGGGTGTCTCTTTGTGAGCAATGAGGACCGAGGCTGGCCCGTTTCAGAGCCTGGTCCAGTGGCGATGAAGCCTGGTTTGACTGGCGTATGTGCAGGAGTCGGGTTTGTGCTGATGGCGCTGAGCTGCAGGCTTCCCGGGTTCATTCCCATACTTCTCTTTTCTGTCTAGTAAGCTGATGGGATCCCGTCCCCTTCCTGGGCGCAGCGGGGCAGCAGCTCTGAGTCTGACGGGGAAGCGCTGATGTCAGTGGGCTGCGTAGGCCCTCGGTACAGCTGCTAGCACTGGGAGGGGGAGTGGGTCTGTGGGCCTGGGGCTGACGGTTGGCTCTCTGTCCTTTGGCCTAGGCATACTCTCACGAAGGGGCTGCGCTACTGCCAGCAGGTGCAGAGGGCCGATGGGTCGTGGGAAGGGTAAGTCAGTGGTTTGGTGTCGGCTGGGCTTGCCTCGCCCGCCCTTCTTTCCTTGTCCTTCCCGTGACTGGAGGCCCCTGTGGCTGCTTCCGGAGCCTTTCAGTGCTGGGGGAGTCTCTTCTCCCCGAAGGCTGGAGGCCTGAGGATTCTTTGTTGGGTGCGTTTTGGAGTGCTCTGGTTTGTGGAGCCGGTCACACCGCTGAGCTCACTGCATGTTGAAGCCAGATGGGATTCTCATGCCTTCTCCTTTTCCGCCAGGTCCTGGGGAGTGTGCTTCACCTATGGGGCCTGGTTTGGATTGGAAGCATTTGCGTGCATGGGTCATACTTATGATGATAACGGGTAAGTGGCACATCCCTTTCCCAGCCACCATCTGAACTTACGGTGCAAAGTGCATGCGTGACTGGTGGAAGACACTGTAGGGCTAGGGTCTTCTGGAGTGCTGGGTTCCCTTTAAATGTACCAGGTAGATAGTGGAGAGGGCTGAGAGCTGCTTTTGGCAGGATAGAGCCGAATTTGGGTCCTGCCTCTGCGTTGGGTGGGTCACTGCCCCTCCCAGGGCTCTGGCAGCTTTGGCAGACTGCGTGGCAGATGGTTTCAGGTTGACATCAGTGGAAGGGCTTTTCTGTACCGGGATACACCAGCTCTCGATCCCCCAACCAACCCCATCCTGATCCATTGATTGACTGAAGAAAGGGATGCTGAGACCTGTTTGCACTTGAAGAAGGTGCCCCTGCCAATCACTGACAGGTAGACACTGAGGTTATTAGTTGTTTGCGGTGACGGACGCATGTGATTAGGCAGAAGTTGGGCTAAAGAGTGTCACTGTGCCCAAGTGACTCCCCAGAGTCTACGTCCACAGCCCCAGAGCTTTGTCCCTTGGATTTCCCTCGGCCAGCCAGAGGGACCATGGACCCGTTTGAATTTGCCTTCCTGAGCGGCAGCTCTAGGACGTCTAGCGTGTATGGATGCGATAGCGTCCCCTTTCTGACTTTTGGGCCGGCTGTGGTGCACAGCCCTCATTCCGTTAGCCTTCACTCCTGTGGACTTTGTGTTATTCTCCTGGTCAGTGGCTCGGCTTTAGCTTCGACCCAAGCCAGCCCAAGGCCAGTCCTCCCCTTACTGCTGCCCCAGCAACCTCCCTGAATCCCAGCTCTAGCCCGTGCTTGACAGGCGTTAACTTTTACCTTAGCCTTTAAAGTTTTGTAAGGTACATACAGACATGGAGAAAGCCGGATTCAGCACGTGGAGATGAAGGGGTGCTTGATTTATAAGCCTTGTGAGATGCAAGGGCGTGGCAACGTGTGCGAGAGGCAGGCCGCTGCCTCTTGGGCTCCTGTCGTGCCATCTGGAGATGGTGGATTTTGAGTGTGTGCGAACGGAACCCGTCGCGTGCCTCTGGTGGCGGTGGCGGTGGCTGCGTCCTTCTGTGACCTGTGACCCTGGTGTTTTTGATGGCTCTTGGCTTCTCTTGGTTAGGGATGCCTGTCCGGAGGTGAAGAAGGCCTGTGAATTTCTGCTTTCCAAGCAGATGGAGGATGGAGGCTGGGGAGAGAATTTTGAGTCCTGTGAGCAGCGGCGGTACATACAGAGCGACACATCCCAGCTCTTCAACACCTGCTGGGCCCTGCTGGGGCTCATGGTGGCCAGGTGGGAGGTGTGGGGGGGGGTAGCACCTACTGTGTACTTGTCAGGCCCTGTGCTGATAGGTTCGTGGTAATAAACACCTAATCAATGCTTGTAGCCTGGGGCTCCAGAGGCACAGATCCCACCAGAGGGCAGAGGCGTGAGAGAAATCTGACTGACTGATGAGCCCAGATCTTAAGCCCTCCCCAAGGGTGTAGACCAGTGATCTCCCCTGCCCACAATGCCTCTCGACAGCACGGCTGCCTTCTGGACAAGACTTTTCACAGCCCTCCTAGCACAGGAGTGTTTCCCTTGGCTAGAGTTTGGGTTCTGTGGATGGATTTCAAGGGGTCTGTGAACTTGGGTAAAAGTTGACCTTTATTGGGGTGGCTAGGTGGCGCAATGGATAGAGCACCGGCTTGAAGTCAGGAGGACCTGAGTTCAAATTTGGCCTCAGACCAAACACTTGACATTTACTAGCTGTGTGACCCTGGGCAAGTCACTTAACCCCAACTGCCAAAAAAAAAAAAGTTGACCTTTATCTTCACTCACATCGAATTGAAAGTTAACATTTCCTTTAATGATGAATGTCACTAACCTTGTGGGACACAGAAATGATTTGGAAGCCCCAGCCTTAGCTGCTTGTGTCCACTGTGTGTCTCTTATTTAACTGTTCTCTCCTACTTTAGCATGGCAGGTTCTTGAGGGAAAGTGCTAGTTGTGGTTGTCCTTTGTGTCCCTAGCCCTTGGGAAGTGCTGTAGAGCGACTGACCTTCTGACTGGGCTGGGCTCCCCCCTTGTTCGAGTTCATACACACCTGCCCATGCTCCTCTGAGTCCCTTACCGTCCTGTCCAGCCGTCCAGTGCTCCTGGGAATGCTTGGGGGATCCCCACTGGACCTTTCCTCTCAAGGATAGGTGCCCGATCCTGAGGCTCCTGGGCCTCTCTGCCGTCAGACGCCATGTTTTTTTTAGACTTGCTGGGCCAGATGACAGCTCTACCAGCAGTACTTCAGTGCGTCCGACTTCCCTTAGGCCTGTTTCCATTTCCTGTCAGTTTTGCTGGTATGAGGGAGACTGAGGTCAACAGTCCTTTCTCCAAAACAGCTGAATTTTCTTTTTTTTTTTTTAATTCTTTTTTGGTAGGCATCCCGATACAGAGGCCATTGAGAGAGGAGTGAAGTGTGTGCTTGGAAAGCAGCAGCCGAATGGCGATTGGCCTCAGGTAGAGCGGCCCAGCCCGGGCCGGCCATGGGGATGGGGGAGGGAAGCCCTGGCGTTGGCCTTTGGAACATCCCTGCTCTCTTTTCTGTCCCCGTGTGTCTTTAGGAAAACATCGCTGGCGTCTTCAACAAGTCTTGTGCTATCAGCTACACGTGTTACAGGAATGTTTTTCCCATCTGGACTTTGGGCCGATTTTCCCACCTGTATCCTCGCAGCTGCCTCGCTGGCAAAATGATGATGTGAAGCCTCAGCACAGGAAGCCAAGGCCAGGGTAGAGCCACAAGCACGGACCGTGGGAGAAGCGGGGTGGCAGGCGGGCGTCGTGCTTGTTGAGGCGCATTCTGTTGTCACGGTCACCTTGGACTCCTCTGCTGCGGGCCATCTGCCGGAGGCCTTCTGTGAGAGGGAAGGCGGAACATCCTCAGATCCCTCATTCTGTGTGTCTCATGCACCGCGAATCATGTTGTTTTTGGTAGGACGTGTCTGTCTGCCCGTTGTCTCTGCCCTGCGAGGATGCGCACATCTTTGGCGCTGAGATCCTTGCCAAGTGCGGACTCTGGCTGCCCTGGGTGCCCTCTCTCTCCCCAGAAGAAAGCAGGTTCGTAGGAATCTCTAGGAGATGGATGGCTTGTTGTGGGCGCAGGAACTCTCGGGCTTCTGTGGCACTGCCAGCTTCTCCCAGGATGCCCCCAAACGTACTCCTAAAATAGACTGAACCAGAGGCATCGGGTGACATGCCTTGAAACCTTCTTTCTTCACGTGTGCGTAGACTTAGTCTAAATTGTGCCTTTCATTAACTTTTACCTTACTGATGTCCATATGTCAGATGTGGCTCCTTTTGGATACTTGACATGACGCACCCAAGACAGGTGCCCAGTCTAGGTCCCCTCTTCCCTATGAACAGAAGCATCGCTATTGGCGTGAATCTTCCCTCAAAGACTCCATCTTTCCTCTCTCCCTCACTTCTGCCCCTCTGAAAATCCTTCTGTTGTTTGGCTCTCCCGATGCTGCCGTGATGAGAAACTCGTTCCCTGCCTAGGACGACACCTGCTTCCCTGGGGAGCCTCACAAGAAGGAAGGGAAATGAATGAGACCCCCTCCCCCCTTAGAGGCAGGTGGTTCTGTTGATCGCGCTCTCTTGACAGACTGCCTAGGTGGAGTGTCGGGAGCCAGACACGTAGTGGGCGGCTGCTGAAGCCGCTGTCAGGCCCAAGCGGACCCCTGGGGTCCCGTGGCTGCTCCTGGCCTTCCTGCTTGGGCCCAGCAGGCGGTGCTTTAAACATCTGTTTTTTAACACGTGCACATGTCTTTAAAGGCCTCTCGGGGGGCAGGGCCACTTTTTTATATGTAAGTGAGATTTTTTTATAGACGTCTATGAGACAAGAGCTTCCAGTATGATAGAGCCAGTGGGAAACTGGAAGTAGTCTTGTTTCTGGACTCTTCCTCAGCCCTCCATGAGGCTAGTCAGCCTCCAGCACGAGGTTAACTGGCCAGCGATGTTTGTGGTCTCTGCTCATTTCCCTGGCATGGTGGGTGGTGCTTGGCATGCCTGCCTCTCCCACCCTGGAGCTGGTAGGATTATAGGTCTAGAGTTGGAACTTTTCGATGGTAGCCCATGTTCTTGTGTCAGATTCAGGGTCTCCTTTTATTATCTGTATTTTAGAACCTGCTGATTCCTGAATATCTTTGATTTTTGCTCCTCATGGATCTACTGTGATATCCCCCTGGGTTCTCTTGAATGGGAAGCAGAGGGCACTTCTTCCCTGGCTCCTCCTGAGCTCCCAGAGGGCCTGGTGCCAGGGGAGGAGGTGCTGCTCTCACTGGGTGGGCGGGCAGGCAGAGTTCCTGGGGGGCTTCAGCCCAGCTAGCTCTTCAGCTTTTTCCCACAGGCTCTCGAGGCCACCGAGCTATGTCTTCCCTAGAGCTCCTGCCGCTCCCGGCAGCCAGGGGCCCGTGGGCGCTGCTGCCCCGTGTGCAGCTCTCCTGCCCCTCCTGGCTTTGGCTGCCAGCAGTCAGGCAGGTCACATGTTGTCCTTCAAGGACGGCATTGTCAGCTGGACCTTTCCTCCTGCCATGGCGAGGGCGGGGGCCTGGTCTCTGGAGGTTCTTTGCTGGGCTGGAGACTTCTTTCGCTGAGGCTACCTTGGCAAAGCTTATCCTTGCTCCTGATCTGTGGCTTCCAATCCAGATGTGCTCTTCCCCTGCCCCTGCGGTCCGGCCCTTCTTGGTAAACGCTCTGCCAGCGTGTTGTGTCCTCAGCTGAAGCTTCTTTTTGCTCTTGTGCTGGTTTTCTCTCTTTTCATGCTGCTGTGGTTCATGCCTGCTGCTTAGGCCTTGTCTTCTCAGCCTTGCTTCTTGGAAATCTGCAGCCAATAGGTGTGTGCCTTCCTTGCCTCTCACTTGTCCCAGCACCCCAGAAGCGCTAGAATCCCCAGTGCCAGGGCAAATCGCTTCTTTTCTCCCCGATGCAAATGTGATGCTGACTGACCCATACTGGCAGTGAAGGGGTGGCTTCAGTTCCTTTCTCAGGCCCCATAGAGCAATAGTGTCCCATTAGGTAATGATGGGACCCCAACTTGGAGACTGTGCTGTGCAAAAATGGATTTAGTAGCCCTGTTGGCCATTAGCCAAAGCCTGGAAAAGGACCCACATCTCCAGAGGTTGGGAAAAGCTGAAAAACTGGAATCACTAGGTCAGAGGTCACACACTGGCTGTCTCTTTCCAGGGAGCAGCTCCCCCATAGGCCTGTTTGTCCGAGGCTGCACCGGCCTTGTTTTGGCTATCAGCCAGTCTGGTGGGTGGGGGATGGTTGGTCTAAGGGGTTTTTCAGTCAGGTAAAGGTGAATTTCAGAAAGTGGACAGATTTCTTTTGGAAACTGTTGCCTATTAAAATTCTTTGGTGGCATCTCTTGGGGAATGGATCATACTCTCAGAAAGGTGTGTTAGCTCCTTATGGATTTTGGATTTTTCCACCTTAACATGATATTTCTCTTTTTGTTTTGGATACACTCGGGCTTTTTTGTTGTTAAGCAGAATGTGTTTGTACAGGATGAAATCCGTCTGTCTGGACTTTTCAAATCAAATACTTGTTGAATGTTGCTAACGCTTCCTCCTCTGTGATTGTGATAGAGCAAACATTCCTTTAGCTTCTGATTTGGGTCTTGTATCTTTATGATATTCAACCATTGGATAGAACGTGAGCTCCTTGAGGGCAGACGTTGGGTTTTGGCTCCTGGGGTGGGACCCCGTGTGCTTTGTTAAGTGTTTGATGATTGATTTAGAACTGATCGGGGTAAAATGGGGTGGGGCAGTGTCGCAGAGTTTTTGCCTTTATGAAAGGGGCGTAACAAATGACTTAATCTCCACGTTTGAGGATTTTCCTGCCTTTGCCCAAGCCCAGGCTTCTTGATGGTTTGGCTCTCAGCCTGGCTGAGGTTCCTCAGCACCGTGGTCGCACTCACTGGAGTGAGCGATGCTGGCTGGCTGAGGGGATGATTGAAGCTGGTGGGCAGAGCTGCTTCCCGAGGTGTTCACCCACCTCCACTTTGTCCTCCCTTGGTATGACTGTTGAGGGAAACCTGTGCTGTTTCTGTCAGTGTTTCATTGTCTCCCAGTTGGTCTCTGTGGCCTCTGTTTCAGGGCCGTTTCTCCAGTTACCAATAGGACTTGGAGGCCTAGTGATGGCTAGCGCCAGAGTACACTGGCTTTTGAAGCAGATGAGCTTTCCCTTTCTGTCCTTCCTCCTGGCGTTCGTCAGGGCTGACGCGGGGGGGGGGGGGGCTTTGTCCTGGGCTCTGCTGTTAGGGCTACTCTGTTGTGGAGTCTCTTGGCTATTCTAAATAAAACGCTGGATTATTTAACACGGTTGTCTTGGCTGCTTCTTTGTTATCATGGTGACCTCCTCCCGCTGTAATGGGCAGGGACCGCCCTGCTCACTGCCGTCCCCAGTGAGGAAGCCTCTGCTGTCTTGCTGAGTGTGGAGTCCTCCCTTTTGAGGGAGGGAGGGAAATAAAATTTGTTTATAACATCCTGCGTGATCATCCAGTCCTTTTTTCCATCTCTTGATATAAATGTGATTTTTATATTTGTTTAAAAATTGATCTGATTTATTCCTGTCTTTTGCCCATGTTTTTACATCGACGTTTATTAACGGGGCTGCACTTCATTTGAAGATGAGGACCACGATTTGCCTTCGAGGAGCTTCCTCCGTTTTTGGAAGCAGTTTAGAGAGGAGAGGGTTTGGTCTTTGACTCTTTGATGGAATTCTCTCTCAGGAAGCCGTTTGGCCAGGTGCCTTTTGGCAGCTTTCCTGACATGAGTTTGCTTGGTTTCTTTACTCTTGCCCATGTAGGTATTTTACATTTTCTAAAACACTCATCGCTTTTATGCTTTGTTGGCATTTAGCTTTGCGTGAGCCTTCTCAGAGTCTTCTTTCTTCATTAGTTGTCGGGGAGCTTCTGACTGTCCATTTGATGGTCATCTCTCTTTAACATTTGATGGGGTTTTTTTTGACTGTACTTGACTGCCATGAAAACCTGAATTCTAAAGGTCTTTGTTGGAGTCTCCTTCCTGTGGCCTGTCCTTGAATCCGAGGATGTTGCTCAGTCTTTCCCACCCCCACGTCTTCTCTTAGCTACTTGAAGGCTGACTCTTGTCAGTCATGGGGGAGGGGGACCCCTCCCAGCGGCACGTTGGGCCGATAGCCCACCCTTCCCCCTCCCCCAGGAGACGGAGGCCCGTCTGCCAGCCTGCAGATGGTTGTGTCCTCAGCGCTCTGCCTGCAGAAGCAGCAATGCCGGCAGACTCACGGCCAGGCTGGCTTTCTAGTCAAGAACACAGGTGAGACTTGGCCATGACCTGCGCGCTTTCTGCTCTCGAGCCTGGGAAGCCTGCCTTTGCTGTGTGGCTTCTGGCCACTTCGGTTCAGGGCTCGGTTGCCCTTTCGGAGAGCCCTCCCTCAATCCTTCTGTCCCACACTGGTCCTTTCTGTTGTTTCAGGCTGACATCCAGGTGGCTTGGGGCAAGGTGCCCTGCCTTCCTTCCCTAGACACCTCCAACTGAAGCCAATCTCCTTTGAGCCCAAGAGGGCTCTCGCCATCAACGCTGCAGTGTAGAATGCCCCGTGAGGGGCCTGCAGCGCCTGCCTCATCCATTGTGCCCTCCCCCCTCCCAGCTCTGTTTTCAAGGGCTCTCCGGGCCTGTTCGTTTGAAAGCGTGTCAGCCCACCCAAAACCCATCACCCCTCTTCCTATGCCTCCTGAAAGACAGGGAGGGAGGGAACGTTGTCTGCTGGGAAGCAGCTGGGCCTGCCAACCGTCAGAAGCTTTGCCACGACATCACTATGCACACGGGATCTGAGAGCCTGCCCCAGCCCACTTGCACCTGAAGGAGAAGGCCCAGGAGCACCTCCCCAGCCTCCCATCCAAGGGCATATCCACTCCTCCCTCCATTGCTCAGCCTGGTTCTGCCCCTGGCCCCAAGAGCGTGGCAGACCAGCAAATGCTTGAGGACGGCGTGTCCCAGAGTCAGTCCGCAGCCCACCCTCGGATGGCCTGCTCACCCTTCTCTGGATCCTCCCAGTCTAACGCTGCCTTTCCCAGCTTGTGGTGCCCAGATGTGAACCCGAGGCTCTGAGCAAAGCAGGGGGCAGCAGGACAGGGGCCCCCTCCTCTAGGACGGCTTTCTGGCCTGCCGCATCACCTTGTTACTGCTCATTGAGCTTGCTGTCTGCTAGGACCTCTGGGTTTTCTTCAGCTCATTGCGGTTTGACTGTCCATGCTCATTTGGCACGTGGGAGATGGAATCTTAAATTCAAGTCCAAGTCTTTATCCCTGTTAACATTTCATCTTCCTCACTTGGTCTCGTGTTCTTGCCTGTCGAGACTTGAATCCACTCCCTCACTGCAGACCAGTGCAGAAAGAAGCCTGGTGTTCATGGTGTTCTCACGATCTCTCCTCCTGGACCCAGCCTGGTCTCTCCCACCATCCTGAGCCCCAGACAAGCCACCTGGGCTTTTACTTCCTGGGGAAACGGAGGTCTCCAAGGCTCTGACAGCCAGGTTTTGGTGTCAGTACTTAATTTTGGAAGTGGGGAGTGAATGAGGCAACAGCCTGGAAGAGTGTTAGGGAGAGTGTGGACTGAAGAAGGTCAGCAAAAGAAGCTTTAAAAATGTGGGTGGAGGAGATGGGGGGCCGTGGGGGCAGAACGTGGCATTCACTGGCAGATGCAGTCTGTGGGTCAGCTGGTTTTGTCAAAAGGGAAGGTTCAGTGGGTTGGGGCACGATTATATTCAGAAATGACTGATGTAAACAAAAGGTATCAATAAAGTGCTGTTTTTAAAGGCGAGAAGAGCTAAGGGCCTGGTCTGGGATGATTGTGGGGGAGGAGCAAGGATGGCCATGGAGGGAGGACCCAAAGGCAACCCTCCTCCCCACCCCCCCCCCCCCCGCCCAGCCCAGAGGCAGGGAAGATGGGGGAGCCATTGGCAGAGACATAAGAGTGAGCAAGGACCCGCTCTGGGCAGATGAGCCTGTCTATCTGAGGTCCCTGTAGGCCATCATGGGAGAGGCCTCTCCCTGGCATTTGGCCCAAGGTAGATGTGGTGAATTTGGGGGTCCCCTGCATCGAGGTAATAATTGAAGCCATAGAAACGTGTGACATCACTGGAGGCAGGGGAGAGGATGGAGAGAGAAGCAGGACAAGGGAGGATGAGCACTCGGCAGTGGGAGGAAGACCATGAGGGTGCAGTGTCCCAGCAGCCGAGGGAGGAGCAGGTACTGGGAAGGCAGGGTGGGCCGCAGCCTCCCCCGGGGACGTCGTCCCATCATCTTAGCTTGTCTGCAAGTCTGGTCTTCATAAGATTGTGCTGTTTCCGTGATTCGTAAGAATAGAGCACCCTGGGAACAAGTTGGTTGCAAAGACTTGGTCTGGGGAGGCATCACTGAAACCATTGCCCCACCTCTTCCTGCAACTGTAGGATCGTAGCTAGAAGGGACCCCAAGGCTGCCTAGTCCACCCTCTTGTCTGTCATCCACTTTGCGCTCTCCTTGTGGATGGCTAGAGTACTTCTCTGAGGAGGCTCAGTAGTGTTCCAGGGCTGGAGGCCATCGGTCCAATGTCCTCCATTAAGAGGAGCATTGCAAGAGGCTCCCCATCGATTGACAGGGTTCACTCTTTGCTTCTGACACGGCTGAACTTGCGTGTTAAAGGAGCCTACATCTCCCCATTGCACGCCTCCCTTGATGTCAGCTGCCCTCGTTCGGGGTCACGGAAGCCCCAAGCCCCTTTCAAGTGCAGCGAGGCTCCTGGAGTTAACAGTTAACGGACGTTTCAGCCCTCGGTACTGGTGGCAGGAGAGATTCAGGCCACTTTAGGACGGGGTGGGGGGAGGATGTATTTTTATAGCACATCAAGATGCTGTGCATCCGTTTGTCCCCTTTTGGCAGAACTTGAAGCATCGTTTTACTGGGCTACATCCTAGGAGATTATGGGTGGGGTTCTTTGAAGAGGGAGAAAAGCAACCTTATCCTTTTGTGCGTGGGTGGTTCTGTGGCCCTTGGGAACTTAGAAGAGCAGGAAACCTGGGATGCTAATTAAGAAAGTTCTTGTCGGAAGCCCTGGCGGGTGGACTCGGTGGCTTCCCAGGCTCCTTCCCAAGCCGGACGGGGCCTTGGGAAGGGTGACCGAGGGGAGGGAGCTGCCAACTAGGGGCATGTGCTGCCCAGCTCCTTTTATTTTTTATTTATTTAATTTTTTGCTTTTAGGCAATTGGGGTTAAGTGACTTGCCCAGGATCACACAGCTAGTAAGTGTCAAGTGTTTGGTCTGAGGTCAGATTTGAACTCAGGTCCTCTTGACTTCAGGGCCAGTGCTCTATCCACTGCGCCACCTAGTTGCCCCTGCCCAGCTTCTTTTCAAGACCCCCGGCTGTATCTCTTCACATGGGCTGCTGTCTGGTTTTCAGGCTTCCTTGATAGTCAAGCAGAGCCTGGGGTTGGGAGTTGGGACCTGGGTTCAAATCTCATCTTTGGCCCTCACAAGCTGGGTGACCTTGGATTTCCCTTTTCTGAGGTTTTATTTTCCCACCTTTAAACGGAAAGGGCTGATCTCTGATCCTTCCGACTTCAAATTTGATTCTGTGGCTTGAATAACCTTGCCCCGACCCTCTGCGACACGTCTTTTTGCAGGGGCAGGATGGGCGTGATGGCTGCTTCTGCTTGCTGGCAAGCGAGTGACTTCGGCTGGCCAACTGGACCCGAGAGGGGGAGATTTCTGCCGGGGATGGGTCTACACAATGTCCTTTAGGTCGGCTCTGGCTAGCTGTGACTCGGTACCTGCCTGGAGCCAGAGCATGGAGGTCCCCTGAGGAGGAAGGAGGTTTGGGCCTCTCCCCTCGGGTCTCCTGTGACCACGCCTGTTCCTTTAAGGGTGTGTGACATCACAGACCTGTAGAAGCCCCAGTACATGTCATGGAACATTAAAGTATTTGCCGACTTCTTGAGTATGACCTGAGAGCCATCTTTCCACCTTAAAAGTAGTGAAGTAGCCTTGCGTAACTCTCCTTTAGGGAAGAGAAGAAGGCTATGGCTGAGGGGAACGAATTGATGAACAGACTGATGAGTGAGAATGCCGACCTGAAAAAGCAGGTCCGATTGATGAAGGAGAACCAGATGCTGAAGCGGCTCCTCAGCGAGAGCTGCCATGAAAACAGCAGCCGAAATAGAGACGGCCGGGACCCCCGTGACTTTATCTTCCCCAAAGTCCCAGGCTACCCTGAGGCCTGCTCCCCTGGGGCTGGAGGTAAGCGGGAGGTGGCCGTGGTCCGGCTGGCGGGCAGTGGTCCGAGGCCACCTGCACACGGCATGTTCCGGTTTGAGGCTTGCCCCTCATTCCCCATTTATCAAGTACCTATAGCAGAGCACTGTGGTAGGGGCTGGGGGTGCAGAGATAAACAAAGGCTTAGCCCTGTCCTCCAGGAGCTTACGTTCTATTCATTTCCAATAAGACAAAGCCTGGCCCTTCAAAGTGACCTGCGGTGCTGTGGAGTCAGAGGTTTGAGGAGAGGCGTTTCATCGTGATTTTTTTTTTACTTTGTTTTTATTGCTTAACTGTATTTGTTTATTCATCTTTTGAAGCATTTTAATTTAAAGTTTTGAGTTCCAAATTCTATCCCTTCTCCCTCCCTGAGATGGTAAGCAATTCGATACAGGTTATACATGAGCAATCATTTAAAACATTTCCATATTAGTCATTTTGTACAAAAGACCTGAGTAAATGAAAAAAATGAAAGAAGGAAAGTGAAAACTAGCCTCCTTCAGTCTGTATTCAATATCAGTTCTTCCTCTGGAGGCAGATTGCATGCTTCATCACAAGTCCTTTGGGATTGTCTCGGATCATTGTATTGCTGAGAAGAGCTGAGTCATTCATAGTTCTTCACTGAATAACACCGTTCTCCTGGTTTTTGCTCACTTCATTTTGCATCAGACCATATCCGTCTTTCCAGGTTTTTCTGAAATCATCCTGCTTGTCATTTCTTATAGCACAATAATATTCCATTACCTTCATATACCACAGCTTATTTAGCCATTCCCCAATTGATGGGCATCCCCTCAATTTCCAACTCTTAGCTACCACAAAAAGAGCTGCTATGAATATTTTTGTACAAATAGGCCCTTTTTCCTTTTTTTTTTTTTAAATCTCTTTGTGATACAGACCTAGCAGTGGTATTGCTGGATCAGAGGGTATGCACAGTTTTATAGCCCTTTGGGTGTAGTTCCAAATTGCTCTCCAGAATGGTTGGATCAGTTTCACAACTCTGCCAGTGATGCATTAGTGTCCCAGTTTTCCCACATCCCCTCCAAGAGATATTTCATTAAACGAAAGAAGGCTTCCCTGTGAATCCAACTTGGAAAGGTTTCTGCAGAAGGAAGGGGAAAGAAGCTTCTTTGCTTATGGAGAGGGCAGGTGCTAAGCCAGGTAGAGGCTCACCAGCACCCCTGTGGGCAGAGCTGGGCGCTGCTGAGAGAAGGGGTGCTGTCCCCACCACACATGGCCTCTGAAGGGAAGGGGCGAATTCCAGCCCACACTGTAGGCCAGTGTGATTTAACATCATTAGGGAGTTTCTGCCTGGTCCTAATAAACGATTCACTTTGGCTCTATGAAAAACAGAATCAAGGAAAGCCTGGGAAGCCCAGTAGCCCGTCGGTGCCCATGAGCTAGCCCAGTCTGGTTAGGGGAGGAAAACTCCCATTCCCTCTGCTTTTCTTCTGCTTCCCCTCCCAGCTGCCCAGTCCCACTTCAGTCACACCGGGTTCTTGGCGTACCTGCAGTTGGCCTGCCCTTTCCCATGCTGGTCATGGAGTGAATAGCACTGATCTCGTAAGGCTGTGGAGAGGATCCTGTGAGGTCCTGTGAAGAGCTCCATGCACTTCTTGGGGTGCTGTGAATTTCAGCTGTCGCCCAACCTTCCATCTCCATCCTGTGCCTAGAGGTCCTTGTTTGTATGCCTCCCGACCTGTTGTTCGGGGGCAGGCCTTTCTTGTTCATCTCTGCTGCCCCTGTGAGCAGCCAGTCCAAGCTGGAAGCTCTGCTCCAGGCCTTGGCATAAGGAGCCCTGGACTGGATGTTGGAAGATGTGGGCGTGAGTCGTCACAGCTCTGGCCCTAGCTGGCTGGGTGACGTTGGCCCGGTCCCTGAAATTCTCTGAAACTGATTTCAGCTTCTCCTCCATAAATACAGGGGTGGTAATAGCTGTCCTGCCTACCTCACAGGGCTCTTGTGGGGCTGCAGGTATGCACACCAAAGTTAACTGGCTGCTAACTGCAAAGTCCTCTGCAAAAAGAAAGGAACAGCTCTCCTACTGAGCGACTTGGGTTGTGAATGGCGATTGAGAAAACCTGCATTCGCTTCACCACGAGCATTCGGCTTTCTGGGCAGTGCAGAGAAGCCTGGGGTGGCCACGTCCCAGCTCTACTGCTGCTCTCCCTTGGGCCCTTGTGCAAGATTGTGGCAGCCCTTCCCAGAGCCTCAGTTTCTTTTTCTGTCACATGATCGAGTCAGACATGATGAGACCTAACGATCCTAACGACCAAGCATGCTAGGTCACATTTACCCACCTTCAGAGGGAGCAGTGAATAAACTGACTTTTAATTAATTGGGGAAGAACATTATTCCAGGGAATGCTTATAACCTCTGAAGGTGCCTTTTGCTCATGCTACTGTGGAATTGAACTGGTGGTTTTATTTTTGCTGGAAATGGACATTTGTTGAGTTCATGCCTGCTGTTCCACTGCCTGCCGTTCTTCCCTCTTCGTGCTTTCTCTAAGCGAGCTGTAAGGGCAGGAGGAGGATGGGTCTGGTAACAATCTGATGTCCCCGACTTCTGGCTGGAGACGCAGGGAAAGGGCTGAGAAGTCCTGGGCTTATCCGGCTGGGATCCATGTTTGTAGCCAACTCATCCCCAAGATCCACTTCTCTTATTAGGAGCCCAAAGTGAGCCTGCACAAGTCTGATTACCCCCTAGTTCTCTTTCCTGAATCTGCATTGAGCACCAGCTGACTGAGAGTAAGGAATAAAGAAGCTGACATAGCTTTCTCCTAGCTTGAGTTCCGTGGATAGAGAAGCTGGAGCAAATGGCTCTGGCGGTTGCAAAGGGTGAGAGCTTGTTGCAGATGGTAGAGAGGGTCGACTTTTGTTGATTTCCTCTTGGTCTTCACAGATCTATCGGGTCAAGTGCCGGCACTGACTCTTTTTTTTCAGATTTTGGAGCGACCGAGTCAGGGATGTTTGGTTTGAAGGAGAGAAGACCTGATAGCTGTCTCCAGATATTCTGAGGACTGTCACTTAGATTAGAGGTACTGCTCGGCCTCCACGGGGAGCAGAGAATGGGGATCAGTGAGTGGACCTATTTGCAGGGCAGAATTAGGCTGATGTCAGAAATGTTTCCTCGTGATAGGAGCTGGCCAGAAGTGGAATGGCCCGCTTTCTGAGGGCGTGCTCTCCATCACTGGCCAGAAGTGGAATGGCCCGCCTTCTGAGGGCATGCTCCCCATCACTGAAGGCATGCAAGATGAGGATCCTTCAAAGATAACCACGTTTCAGGGAGGAGGAAGAAGATTCTGGTTCAGGGGTGGTTTGTGCTGATCGCCTCTGAGGTCCCTTCCACTTCCTGTGGGTCAGTGACCTTCTGGACTTTAAGACAAGTTTTAGAAAGGAATTTGAAATAGGGGAAGGGGTTTGCCTCAGTATGAAGGGATGATATGATGTGCAATAATGGAGGCGAATGAAAAAGGAAAGTGGAGGGGCAGGAAGGGCATATGGACTGCAAGGAAGGAAGGGGGATGTAGGGGGTGGATGGCCCAGAGTCCTAGAACATTTAGAGGTGATTTAACAATCAACATACTGGCTTCACACAAGCAGGGTTCTTGGGCTGACCCCCGAGAATGGCTGACGGCTGAATCTATCTACACAATTTGCACGGCAGTGAAACCTGGCTCTTTTTTCAAGACCATCCCAAGATCCTTAACTGGCTCAGGCATTCTTGGCAGGGTGGGACTGCTCTTTGTTGTTTCATTCCCTGAACGAAATGTGCCCTGAGGTTGAAAAAAATGATCTCTATATAACTTAGACTTCCCTGTCTTTTGGGAAAAAAACCAAACCATTCTATTATTAACCTGGGAAAACATGGCGCTCATAACAAATTCTTCTGTTAAAAATTCTTATGACTTCCTCCTGTCTTTACTAGGCCAACAGGCCCAGCAGGTAGCTGGTGATCTAGTGAGGCCTGAGGAGTAGTTGGAAGACTCAATTTCCTCAAGTGCTTTTAAGCCATGCAGAGCTGAATTCCAAAGGGAAAGGAGGAATCTTTTCAGAGAATCTCGTGTAAATTTAGAAAGACTAGTTGGTGGGTAGCTTTAGGCTCTCTCACAGATACCCTGGCTGTTCAGATGGAAGCAGGAATGAGGCGCCTGCCAGGCGCCTCAGCTTCCCCTCTCCTGGTTGCCCATCCCAACTGTCCCTCATACCACAGGTCGTGTTTTTCAGTTTCATCCTGGTCTCTCTAGCCCTGGCTGTTCCCTCAGGCAGACTCTCTCCCTTTCTGGTTACACGGTCTTCCCAGCAGGGTTTAGACCTTATGGTATGGACACCTCTTGGCATCAGTTCCAAGCCTGGGTCACCTTCGCTCCTCTCCCCCTTCCTGTGCTCCAGGTCTCGGGCTTCCCAACAAGCACTGCAGGAAGATGTCAGGGAAGCACCATGGCCAGGTCCCCATGGCCATGTCCCTCCAGCAGATGACCCTGGGGTGGTCAAGGAGGCCCTTGCTTCCAGGCTGGCCTGCTCACTATGCAGTCCTCCCCACAGGGACTGTCCCAGGTCTCTTTCCCTTCTCAAACTCCCTGACCTTCCTCCCCTACCCCCCTTAAAGTCACCAGCCACATCACCTTCAAAGCCCGAAGCCCGTTCTGCATGTTCGCCTTCCCCCCTTGCCTGCAACACCACCACAGCAAACACAACCCAAGGACCCTGGGACCCCTGGCGGGCTATATCTTGGCTGACTGTGGGCAGGCGCTCTAGCTTCTACTGGCCCCCAGAAATGGGTGGAAGGGCCCTCTTGGCTCTGCTGTTGCTTCTCTTCACACTGCAGCACTGCCCCAGTTCTCCATCCCCTTGGACTTGGGCTGGGGAGGGGCTGACACTAGACTGGATCCCTTACCCAGACCGGAGCTTCAGGCAAGAGGACCCAAGGCCTGGCTCCACAGGTAAGAAATCTTGACTAGACCTGATCCCCACCATGTTGGGATGAAGGAGATTCAGGGGCCAGATGCGAGTTTCAGTCAGGTCCTGGGAGGTCCAGCCATCAGACATTTACTGATCCAGATGCCTCACCAAATCTAGGAGGCCAGTCAGATGGTCCCACAGCCAGCAAAAATCTGCCTCCTCCTTTCCACATCAGGCAGGCTTGCTTGAGGGCCTCTTAAGCTCCTAGCTTGCTGCGCCCCCAGGAAACCACATTCTAGCATCAACAAATTTCCCTTTTAGACTGCTTCTTTTCACATTCCTTCCAATTTCTCACCCTCAAAGAAGCTTGGCTCCTCTAAGACACTGTACTCATGGGCACCTTTTCTCATGTTCCACCAACACCCAGAGGCATTGTGGAAGGAGTCACATAAAAATGCAGCCTGGGGCCTCACCAGGACACAGCCATCCTTTTACTCTTCCCAAACTGATCCTCTATTACACTCTTCCCAATGTGCCAAATCCCCTTCTTAAATGCCCCCAGCATCGCTTACATTTCCAAGAATATAGAGGTCTTTCCCATCATTTGTGATCTTCCTTCTCTTCCCTGAAGCCCCCAATGGTGTGCTCTCCTTCTCTGCTGCAGTCTCTGAGGAAGACCTGGCCCTTGTCCAAAGTCCGCCCCTCTCCTTGCCCACTTTGTCCTACCCTTCCATCACCGCTGAGAGCTTTCTTCTTTGGTCTTCTTCTGTGATCTTCAATCTCTATTTTCTGGCTCCTCCTCTGCTGCCTACAAGCATGCCTAGCTGGGTCTCTCTCATCCTATAAAGGCTTCACTTGACCCAACCATCTGCTCAAGCTACTGTCATCGCCTTCCTTTTATGCCAATCTCCCAGAAAAGGTCAGCTACACATGTGCCCTCTGGTGACTCCTCTCCTAGCGTCTCAGCCCCTGGTGATCTGGTCTCACTGATGTCCTACCTGCTCCCTTGCACAGGCTTCCCTCAGTCCTCCTCATTGGTAACCTTTTGGACACTGTGCACCATTGATTGTGGGTGCATTTTTTCCTTTGCATTTTCGTGATCAGATTCTCTCTGGGTTCTCTCCCTTTCTTGGGTTGTCACATATTTTCTAACCAGCCCAAGGCTGGGGTTCTCTCCTTTTCTCTTTCTACATTGTCTTCTCAGCTCCCATGCTCTCAGTTATCATCTCTGTATTCCCAGGTCGGTCCTCCTCTTTCTCCTCAACTCCAGTTCCAAACCACCAAATGTTTCTTGGGCATTTCCAAGTGAATATCCCGGAAACATCTTAAACTCAGTGGAATTCACCATCTTCCTCTCTAAACCCATCCCTTTTCTGAACTTCCTCATTTCTCCTGAGGGCACCATCATCCATTCAGTCACGCATGCTCATCATTTTCTTTCACCCTTGACTCTTTTCTGTCCTTCATCCTCCATGTCCATTCAGTTGCCTCTTTAGAGGCAATGGCTGCTAGAAAACCCCCAACTCCTCCAGGTGAGCCTTGGGGAGCCCTTCGCAGTCAGACTCCAGCCATCATCGGATCCAAGCATATTGGCCAACATGCTGTTCCTCAGACCCCATGTTCCATCTCTCACCTTTGCTCAGGCTGCCTTTGATGCCCAGCATGCTCCTCCTCCTTCCCTCGGCACCATGGAATCATGGCGGCCAGATTCACCTCCTCTGAGGAGTGTTTCCTGAGCCGCAGCATTGTCTGTACTTTTGTTCTTCCTCTCCTCAAGTAATCCTACATACACGTATGTATATAGGCATGTATGTATATGTATTATATATAAATCTATGTATACCACATACATACATGTGCAACATTTAAGTCGTTAAGTGTTTATGTATACTTATACATTGTAAGTATATATGTATATACACACATACACACACATGCACAGAGCTGTCTGTGGGATGTCTTGCAGTCAGGGACTGATTTTCATTTTGTCTTTGTACTCCCAGAATCTAGTGCAAAGGCCTTGCTTGCATGTAGTAGGTACTTGATAAATGCTTCTTGGGTTGGGTCGGGTCGGGTCAGATTCCCAAGGTAAATGTGTGCTCCCTCCTCTCCAGCAATGACCAGCATCCCGTTATCCCCTCCTGTCTTCTTACAGACTATAGGGGTCACCATCCTCGGAAACTCTGAGCAGCTGTAGGCTGACATGAGGGCATGGTGGACAAGCTCAGGAAGTGTCTCAAAGGGTGGTAGGGAGGGCGTGATGGCAGAGACCCACTCTCTTCAGTGTTATTCAGGGCTAGTCCCATTCAGTGCCTACTTCAGGCAGGACACCCTGCTAGGCACTGAGGGCACAAAGACACAAATGACACGATCTTGTCTTTGAGGTGTTTCCATTCCATTGGGGGAGAAGCCATGCACACAGACAAGAAAGGGCAGAGTTATTTCAGGAGGGACCAGGGAAGGCGTCCTGGAGGAGCGGCCCCTGAGCTGAGCCTTGAAGTCTAGTCTTGGCCGAGCCGGGTGGGCAATGGGGCAGGAAGGCACGAGGCCACGTGTAGGGCAGAGCCTGAGCAAGAGCCTGTCCGGGTGGGTGGCAGGGAGACAGACGGATGGACAGAAGACAATGTCAGTCACTTCACGATTTTACCTAGGGCCAGCCTTGAGCCCGGAGCCCCTCGTTTCTCTCCTGTGCGCTTCAGTTCAGTCATCTGTAAAACAGTCCTCATCTGCCTCTCAAGGTATGAACCCCATCTTTGTCCCTGTAGGTCTCTAAGGGCTGGCAATAAAGAATAGGGCTGATAGAAGGGCAATCCCTGTCCACGATGTCCCCCTGGGACGTGAAGAATTCCAGCTGTGCTTTGGCATCTTTGACAGCTTTGCTGGAATAAGTTGAAAGCTCCCAGGGGGACAACTTGGAAGTGGACGACACTCATTCAGATGTCATTTTCAAAAATTAGTCATCACTTTGCAATTTGTTTCTTTTTAGCGTTTGTAGCTCCTTACCTACTTCTACAAGAATTTAAGGGGGTTTACAGATTTAGTGTCAGGATAAGTAGGATAGTCAACTGTAAATGTGGAACACACCAGTGGGAGAAAGCAGAGGGAGGGCACGCGTTGCTCTGAGTGGGCCACGGTATTTGCTCTGATTCCTGGACATCCCTGCCAAAAAGGGGGGCCCCCTCAGGACACACTGGGTTTTCTGAGAAAAGAAAATATCCTCCTTTCTCTATAGAGACATTTTCCTTGAGCCAAGTGTCTCCTCTAAACCCTAGGGCTGGGGTGGGGAACCTGCAGCCCCGAGGCCACGCATGGCCCTCTAGGTCCTCAAGTGTGGCCCTTTGACTGAATCCAAACTTCACAGAACAAATCTTTTTAGTAAAAGGATTTGTTCTGTAAAACTTAGGCTCAGTCAAATGGCCATACCCAAGGACCTTGAGGCCCACATGTGGCCTCAGGGCCTGCAGGTTCCCCACCCCTGCTTTAGGGTGAAGGAGGATGCCAGGACCCCAAAGTGAACTGTCCTGTACAGCCATGGGCAGCCTGTTGTAGGGGAGGGTGGGAGTGGTAAGTTACTGGCAGGCTAGGGTCCCAGGGGTGTGAATTCCATTGATCCAGCTTAAGCAGAGAATCTAGGGGTGATTATGACTGGTACATGGTGATTAGACTGTTGCTTTCAAATATTAGACCCAACTTTAGCAAATAAGCATTTATTGAGCTGCTATTATTTGCCAAAGTGAAGTGGTCTTTATTCTCAAAGAGCTTACATTTTGTTGGGTCCAGGTGTAAGTACCTGGGATGGGGAGGGAAGAGGGGAGAAGCAGCAAATCAATGCAATTGAAGGAGGCGATATGAGAAAAAAGACTGCCTTAACAACTGGCAGGGGGGACATCAGGGAAGGCTCCCCGGAAGGGGATGGCTGCGGAGCTCAGGGAGGGAAGGACTCTGAGAGGTGACTATGGGAAGTACAGCCTGTGCAAAGGCAGAAAAACAGGCGATAGATGGTTGAATTTGGGGAATAACCACAGGTGGGGTAAGAAAAGGTTGGAAAGAAGCATCGGAGCCAGACTGGGGGAAGCCTGAAATGGCAGACTGAGGACTTTTCCTGGGCTTTTGTTCAGACCTCGTGTGTCCAGTGGACCTCCGGTGGGTTCTCCGAAGGCAGAGCCCACAGGTCTCCAAGGGGCCGCTGGGAGTGTGTCAGATGGAAAAGGGTGGTCTCTGTTTTCACTGACCTCTACCTGAAGTTTAGCATTTACTTTAATGATTTAAAAACGTGGATCTGAGAAGGGGCCACGGCTTCACCAGACAGACAGCTGGCTTAAGGGAAAGGGGAGGAAGACGATGAAGAGACGATATTCTGTGTAGCGGATTAAAATGAGCCTGTGGGCTCCAGGAGGCCAGAGGAGGGGTCAGAGATAATGCTCCTGGACCTTAAAGCAGTGTGTGAATTATTATTGTTGGACAGGAGAGGAGATGCCTGCAGTGCCCACACTCCTGCGAAAGTCTGAGAGTGGGACCTGCATTCTCACCGGATGGACAGCAGGCACCTGCACACCGTATCAGGGCTTCCATAGTAAGCACCTACTATGTACCAGGTACTATGCTAAGCACTAGGCTTACACAGAGCCCTCAAGGATCTCCCAGTCTGAAGGGGGAGGCAACATACCTACAAAGCTCTGGATGGAATAAATAGGAAATAGCGAGCAGAGAGACAGCCCTGGCATTGGGAGGGGCTGGGTAAGAATTCCTGCAGAAGGGGGGATTCTAGGCGGGACTGAAAGGCAGTTCAGTGGTTGGAGCAGAGGAGGGAGTGTGCTGCAAGCACGGAGGATGATCAGAGAGAACACCGGAGCTGAGAGAACAAGGGTCTTGTTGGCGGAACAGCCAGGAGGCTGGTGTCCCTGGACCGAGGGGCACCTCGGGGATTAAGGTATAAGAAGGTGGAAAGGGAAGAAGGGGACAGGTGAGGAAGGGCTCTGAGGACCAAACTGGATTTTGTATTTGATCCTGGAGGGAGCAGGGAGCACTGGAGTTTACTGAGTAGAGGCTCACATGGTCAGACCTGCTCCTTGGGAGAATCCCTTTGGTAGCTGAATGGAGCATGGGCTGGGGCTAGGGAGACTGGAGGATGTGAACACTGGCAGTCCTTGTTCTCAGCCTGCATGTGGTCTGAGTGATGAGGACACCCCTCTTCACAGGACCCCCGTCGTGGTCCAGTTTCTCTGTCTACGCTTTACCACAGTGGGAGGGACGTGTTTTCAAATTCACCAACTATCAGTTTGGGCCAAGTGGCTTCAAATGAGCATTGGAAAGACTCAGGTGCTCACACCACACAGACTAGAACTCTGGCCTCCTTGGGTTTTAATCTCTTTAGAAAGAGGCAAGACTCATGCCCTTACTGATAAATGATCAAAAAATATGAACAGTCAGTTTTCAGATGAAGCAGTCAAATCTATCCATAGCCATCATAGGGCTAGCTGTAAAATCATGCATACCTTGGACCCAGAAATACCACTGCTAGGTCTGTCTCCCAGAAGAGATAAAAATAAAAACGAAAATGACCCGTATGTTCTCAAATGTTTATAGCAGCTCTCTTTGTGACGGCAAAGAACTGGAAATTGCAGGGATGTCTGTCAATTGGGGAATGGCTGAACAAGTTGTGGTATGTGATTGTGGTGGAATACTATTGTGCTATAAGAAATGAGGAGCAGGATGCTCTCAGAAAAACCATGGGAAGACTTATGTGAACTGATACAAAGTGAAATGAGCAAGACCTGGTAACATTGTGCCCAGTAAGGGCAATATCATAAGATGCTCAGCTGTGAATGACTTGGTTCTTCTCAGCAATACAATGATCTAAGACAACTCTGAAGGACTTAGGATGAAAAACGCCATCCATTCTCCGACAGAGGACTGATGGAGTCTGAATACAGAGTGAAGCAGACTTTTTTTGAACTTTATTTTTCTTGCTTTTTTTTTTTTTGGTCTGTGTTTTCTTTTACAACCTGTCTAATATTGAAATATATTTTGCATGACTATGCATGTATAACCTATATAAACTTTCTTGTCTTCTCAATGAGAGGGGGGTGAGGAGGGAGGAAAATAATTTGGAACTCAAAATTTTAAAAATAAATGTTAAAAATTGTTTTTGTATGTAATCAGAGAAAAATAAAATACTAAATAAATAATTTAAACAGAAAAAAAAGAAAGAGGCAAGACTGTAAACAACAACCACCCTAACAAAAAAACCCAACTTGAGAACGTGGAACCAAATGTAGTGATGAAATTTCATAGAGAAAAAAGGAGACTCCTATGCTTGGGTCACAAAGAAAGCAACTTTGTAAGCACAACATAAAGGAGGCGGTGCTTGGAAATACCAGAGGATGACCTGGGGCTCTGAGTGGACCACAGACTCAGTCAATGGAAGATGCCTGAGGTCCTCAGCTGCACTGAGAGGGGCTGCGTGGCTAGGACAGGCAGGCAAGAACCCCCCAGTGAACTCTCTGCAGAAGACAGTCTCAGACTTCCCTTGGACAAGGGAAGACTTAGAGGGGTCACTGGCCACAGACTTAGCAGTCATCTCATCTAGCCCCTTGTTTTACAGATGAAGAAACTGAGGCCTAGAGAGGAGGGTGGCTAACCCAAGGTCACCGGCTATTAAGGGCCAGAGATGCGATTCAAATCCAAGTCCCCATCAAGGACTCTTCCTATGGCTCCACCTAGTCGGTGACAGCCTGATGGAAAGGCTGGCGTGGAAGGGGGATTCCCCAGAGGACTTAGACCCAAGAGCAGTGGAGGGGCGGGGGCTGCAGGGAGGCAGAGTCAAGCTGGACCTGGGGAAAACTCACTGATGGTGAGAGATGGTCACGTGATCTGGGCTGCCTCAGATTCCCTTTCCCAGGACTCCTTCTGGACGATGTCAGATGGGTGTGTGTGTGTGTGTGTGTGTGTGTGTGTGTGTGTGTGTGTGTGTGAGAGAGAGAGAGAGAGAGAGATTGACATTATATACATGTAGTGACGTTGTGTGTGTGACATTGTATGTGACGTGTTTGTGTGTGACATTGTGTGTGTGATATTGTGTTTGTGTGTGACATTGTGAGCTTGTGTGTGTGATTGACATATGCATGTTTGACATTGTGTGTTTGTGTGTGATATTGTGTGTGTGTCTGGGGCAGGAGCGGCAGGAGGGCCTTTCTTTGGGGTGCCCGAGGCTGCCTCTGAGCCCCCTTGCGGCTCCCAACACTGTCCCAGTGCTCCATGGGTGCTCAGGGAGCTGCTCCTTGCCTGCTTGGTGACCCTTTTCTTCTTCCTTCTCTCTCGGCTGCAGAATACGGAAGACTCATCAACGTCCCTGAGGTGTCCACACAGCTCCAGCCATCAGCTCTAGAGGACCTGCTCTACTCCCACATCAACATTTCTAATGAGGAAGACGCCTCTTCCCCCACCTGCAACACTCCCTCCCAGGTGGCTTTTAAGGGGTTTCTCAGCCCTCCAGACATCTACTCCTCAAGAACCACGGAAAAGAAGCTAAGTCAGCTGCTCAGCAACATGCAGGACTCCATGATTGATAAGCCAATGGCCGAGTCCAAGGAGATCCGGCAGAAGAAAGTCTGTTTCTCTGAGAGTGGCCTGCCTGGAGGGGATAAGATGAGAAAAAGCTATTATTTGAATGGTATGGGGACGTTTCAGGGAGAGGGGAGTGGGGGCAGGGGAGGAGGGTGATAAGCAGAGAACACCTCCCTCCCCTTCTGGAAAGCCCATTCTCAGGACAGGGTGAGCTGCCGCTGGGGGTGGGCATTTGGGGGTAAGAGATAAGTAAGCTAAGGCTCCTGCCTTCATGGACTTTATAATCTAAGGATTGAGACTACTGTATGAGAGCCAGCCTTTCTCCCGTCATGTGAGAGGCAGAGGCATGTAGCAGGAAGAGTCAGTAGTGACTCAGGTTCAGATTGGCTCTCTGGTGCTCGCTGTCTGTGTGATCTTGGAAAAAGCCACTTAATGTGCCTCCATTTCCTCGTATGTAAAATGGGGCTAGTTAAAATGAGATGACATATATAAAGCCCTTTGCAGACCTCACAGGGCTCTAGGATGTTGGTTATTACTATGATTTGCACTTAGGGTTCCCTTAGCAAGGCCATTTCTGGGCAGGAGCCCCCCATCTGGCCTTCTTATCCTTGTGTTTTGTTTCCAGTGGAATGGCTTTCCCCCAGAGACCTTTATGGGGTTGGTTGGCAAAGAAGAAAGGTGTGTGGAACATATCTTCTGCACTCAGGTCTCTGGGAAGCCCCAGCCCCACCCTATCTAGCTGTGAACTTCTAGGGACGAGCTTCCTCTAATTATCCCATTGGAAGGTAAGGGCCATGCTGGTCCATTGAACAGATGTCAGATGGGGGCAGGGGGTGCAACTGATAGGCTGGAGCTCCAGTGATCTCAACAGGCTGGAAAGATGAGACAAATAAAATGAGGCATACTAAGGATCAATGCAAAGGTCTAAACTTAGGTTCAAAAAATCAATTTCATCAACACTAACTGGTAAGGCAAGGAGAGGTCAAACTTCTGAAAAAGGTCTGGGAGGTTCAGGAGCCCAGAGAACAGGAGGAAACCACTGTGCCTGGCATCCATAAAAGCCAGTGCTCTCCTCAGCCTCACAGGGTAAGAGAGGCATAGGGAGCTTTCATCAGGACCTTTTGACCACCCTCTTTGCCCATCAGGTTATGTCTGGGCTTTAACTGCCAAGGAGGGATGGGCAGGGTAGAAGCAAAGGGTCCCAGGCCATTGCCTTGCCTGGCACTTTGTCATTAGGCACAGGCTTGGGCAACTATGATCTCCTTTTCACTGTTGGCCCTTTTGTCTAGTTCATATGTTCGGTTCCCTTCACACACTAATGATACTTGTCTAGCACATGTGGAGGGTCTAAGTGGCTTGTGATTTTAGTTGTTTTTTTTTTTTTGTTGAAACCTAGAACCCCTGAATGTCAGAGCTGGAGGGGGACTTTAGAGGTCAACCAATACACTCTCTCCATTTTACAGGGGACTTCCCCAAGGTCAGATGGCCAGTCAGTCTCAGAGGTAGCATTCTTATGATTTCATGGTCTTTCTGTGAGATTGTGGCTGCCTTGGAAACCTCCAGTCCATCTGCCTATGTCTTTAGAAACAGAGAGGGTATCAGAGGCAGTGAGGCGTCATAGAGGAGGGGAGGAGATAAGCATTTATTTGGTGTTGTTGTTGAGCTGTTTCAGTCCTGTCCAGCTCTTTGTGATGCCATGTGGGGTTTTCTTGGCAGAGACATTGGGACGGTTTGTCATTTCCTTCTCCAGCTCATTTGACAGATGAGGAAACTGAGGTAAACAGGGTCACACAGCTAGTGTCTGAGGCAGTATTTGAACTCAAGTCTTCCTAACTGCTGGCCCAGCACTCTATGCACTATGGCGCCACCTAGCTGCCAAGTATTTATCAAATGCCTACCCTGTGCCAAGCACTTTATAAATAACTGTATCATTTGATCCTTACAGCAGCCCTATGTGTAGGTGCTATTGTTATTCTCATTTTTCAGCTGAGGAAACTGAGGCAGGCAGAAGTGAAGTGACTTGCCCAGCATCAATATAAATGCTATCGCTGCTGCTGCTCTGCTGCAGCCGCTGCTTTATTAGGAGGGGATCAGAACTGGAACTACACTTGCCCCGGGGCTCCTGGTGTCGGGGAAGGTGGGCAGAGGCTGCTGCCAGGAGGAACCAGACCTTCCGTGGAGAAGGAGAGGGCTGTGACCATCCTGTCTCCCGGTTCCTGGGGCTTTTCCACCATAAGCACTACACATTGTTGGCCCCTGTAGCGTGCTGGAGAGGCGGTGTAGGAATAGTCTTGGATGCAGAAAGGCTTCACTCGAATCTCGGATCTGAGCCTCTGACTTCTTTTCTAGTGACAGCGCCACACTTTCACTATTGATTTTACCAGGTGGTTGTGAGGAAAGCATTCCAGGGTTAGGCTTTTACTAGTTAAATAATCAAATAGAATTGCTTTTCATCACATCTATTTAATCAGTTTACAAATATCCATTGAGCAGTTTGTATGGGAAAGACAGTGCCGGGTGTCATAATCAGAAACTATCCATCAGACCAAGTGGTTTTTCAGAACCCATTCAATGGGTATCTTGGTCCAGGAGGATATCTGGGGAGAAGAAGAGACACAGGAGAAGAAACAGACTGAGTAGGCAGCAGCATTTTCCTCGGCTCAATCTAACCCTCCAGATGTGAGTCTAAGCACGACAGACAGAGGATAGAGGGACCAGCGGCTCCTTGTTCCTGAAGGCAGCTATAGCACCAAATCTCATCAGCTTCCATGTCCACCAGATCATTTTCCACTAGACACGCCCAACCCCACCCCCCAAGTCTCCTGCTATGATGGAGATTCCAGTCTTCTAGGACTGATGGTTCCCTGTGGTACAGGCTAGATTCAGCTAAGTATGGACAATGTGCTGTGAACCAGACGAGGGCAAGGAGATGCCAGAGGGGCTGACGGAGGCTCTCCCCACTCCAATCCATCCTCCATGACACGGCTGCCAAAGTGACTCCAGGGACTCCCTGTTCCCCGAGGATCAGCCCCGAATGCCTCCCTCTGCTCAGAGGACCTGCCCCAAGCTGCCTTTCCCACTTTATACACTTCCTTCATCTTCGGTCCAGCCACATGGCCCTTCTTGCTCCTCACACATCATCCTCCCTCTCTTGTCTTTGCTCCTTTTTGCTCCTGTCCTCCACCACTGGAGCTTGCTCACTCCCGGCTCCATCCCTCAGAATCCCTCATTTCCTTTAAAGCCACACTGGGCCCTTTCTGATCACCCCGACATCCCCCTGCACTTATTGGGCACGTGATTGGTACGTGCTTCTCTATGGACACACGGCCTTCCCTGGTGGAGTGGAGACACCTTCCCTTTTGTCCTTATATCCCTGGAACCTCGTGCTGTGCCTGGCGAGTGCTGTGAGCTTCCTAACTGCCTGGTGTTTGATTGGAGAGGGGACACTGGCATCACTGTAATATTGCTCACATCCATGTATCAGGGAGGGCACTGGTTTTGATGGGGTGTGGCCCAAGTTGAGGTCTTGGCCCCTTGCCCCAAAGGGAATCTGGCTCCCAGTTTAGGTTCCTTATCCCCTTATCTCCCTTTGAAAGCCTTAGTGCCCCACCTTTTTGATTTCATTATCTATTCCCATTATCTACTCAATCTCTCAGACCTTCCAATCAGAATTCTCATCCACAACCTTTTCCCAGACCCTCCCCAGATTACCCAGAGTCATTTTAGTATATAAGATCTCCCCTGGCCCTCATTGGGGCCACAGAATCTCAAGCCCAAAGGGCTGAGACTTTCTCATGCCTGCCCATCCTTAATGGGCATCACCTGGTCTATGTGTTTTATCACTAATAAACTCTTCTCTGACTGGAAGAAGATTTGAGTTGAATTCTTTCAGCCAGTGCCCGGTACTGTGATCTTGGGGTTCCCAGCACCCCAAAACTTCTAGACCTCTTCAGTTTTGTTTCAGTGTCTTAGGACCTCAGAATTGAGATTTATTCTTTCCTAATATAGCTAGGTTTGAGACTTGAGACTTGCTTGAAACTTTTGGAAATGTTTTTCTCCAATCTCTCTCTCTCTCTGTCTCAGAGCTGGAAGTCCCTCCATCATTTGTCCTTTATCAGATCACTTCTGGGCTGTTGTGATCATAGGCCCTCCAGATCATGTCGGTTGAGGGACAATTGAAGGAAGTGGGGAGGTTTAGCTTGGAGAAGAGAACACCTGAGTTGGCAGGTATAGAGAGCCGCTGTTTTGTGGGAGAGGGCTCAGAGTCGTTTCATTTGGCCCCAGAAGCCAGAACCAAGAATGATGATGTGTAGAGACCCCAAGGGGCTGATGGAGGCTGGACATCAGGAAGAATTTCCAAACAAGGTGGCTGCCCCAAGGTCCAAGGGGCTTCCTAAAAGATGCTGTGGGTTTCCTTCCCCTTCCTGGATGGCTGCTTGCCAGGGGTCTCGTGTTCATGTTAGGAATGGCCCCATTTAGGCCCCTGGTGAGTGAAAGGAGAAGGGGAGAGAAGACATTGAACAACTTCTTTCTGCCCATCTATCTTGCCATCAGTGTGGGGCACTGTGTGGAATTTCCCCCAGGAACACCTCAGTGTCCATTTGTCTACAGAATAGACAGTGAGTGTATGCAGCATTCACATGTGAATATGGAAGCAGGGCTCACTGCATGAAAAAGCTAGCCTCAGAGACATGAAGCCTTGGGTTCCTCTCCTGGCTGTGCGCCCTGAGCAAGGCTGCCTGTGCTCTGGGCAACTCTACGGCAGATGAGAATGTGTAGAAATGGTGCTGACGTATGTGACTGGAGGGAGTTCTTACACCAACGAAATCACAGTCTCTATTAATCAGTGAACAAGATAAACATACATGGCCCGATATTCTTAGTGGTTTGGCCATAGATTTGGACACTTTCTGTTTATAGGACACATTCAAATTTTCAGGCAGTTACTTAAAAAAGCTAACATGAGTCCAAAGAGAGAAGCCAGACTTGTCTTCCCATGCGGGGCCAAAGTGCCCATGGGGATTGCCTGTCTCTTATCTCCCTTTCTGTCTTCTTCCCTCTCTGCTCCCCCACAGAAATACAGAGCTTTACCAGTGCTGAGAAGGATGGGAGGATCGTTGGGGAGATTGCCTTCCAGCTAGACAGACGGATCCTGGCCTATGTCTTCCCAGGAGTGACCAGGCTTTATGGCTTCACTGTGTCCAATATTCCTGAGAAGATCAAACAGGTAGGACCCCTTGCCCCTCCCTCTGACTGTTCTGCCGGCTGCCTACTGGGGAAGGACAGGGAGGCTGGCTAGGACCCAGGGATTCTGTCATGCCAGCCTTGGCTTTGGCCCCATCTCCACCCTGGGGCCCCTGCAGCCTCCCAGAAGGTGAGCTGGTTTTCAGCCTTTGTGAAGGAATTTGGAATTATAAATGACCTGGGCCTTTTTGTGCTCACTGTAGTGGTATTGAGGGTGATTCCCAACAACAAAGTACTCCCAAAGCTTCCCCTTTGGCTCTGGGCCTGATGGTGGACTGAATGTCTGATAACCAACCTGGCTGGGGGTGAAGGAGTGGGAGGGCACGATGATGAGACATGTTTTTGTTCACTCATTTCTGACTCTGTGACCTCATTTTGGGGTTTCTGGGCAAAGACAGAGTAGTTTGCTATTTCCTCTCCAGCTCATTTTACAGATTCGGAAACTGAGGCAAACAGGGTGAAGTGACTTGCCCAGGGTCACTCAGCTAGTAAGTGTCTGAGTCTGGATTTGAACTCGGGTCTTCCTGACTGCAGGTTGGGTGCTCTGTGCACTATGGTGCCACCTAACTGCCCTAACCATAGCTACTGTTAAAGACCATCTACCAAGTCATCTTGGGATTGTCAGCTGGTTGGCCCTAAGCCTCCTGGCACTTTGCTGGTCTCTGGGTTGGCATGGCTTCCTGGACCCAGAGATCTGTGGCTCTCAGACCCACCTTCCCTTTCTCTCACCTCAGCTACCCTTCTCTTTCACCTCTGTTGGTTGTATCTGTGAGCTGCAGGTCCTCAAAGCATAGCCTTCTAGGGTCTATGGATCAGCATAGGCTGAACATCTCTGGCCTTGAAGGAAAGGGTGGAAAGGGGACAATGGGCAGGGCGTGGTGCCCACCAGCCCACGGCGCGTTCTCCCCCCTCTCCTTGTCTTTCCCTTGGCAGACTTCCATCAAATCTTTGGATGGCTCCGTGGATGAGAAGAAGCTTCGAGACCTGACACACCGCTACCTGACGCTCACCACGCGCCTGGAGAAGCTCGGCTACAACCGGGAGGTGCACCCGGTCTTCAGTGAGTTCCTCATCAACACCTACGGGATCCTCAAGCAGAGGCCGGACCTGCGCTCCAACCCCCTGCACAACAACCCCGCAGCTCTGCGTAAGCTGGTCATCGACATCGTGCCCCCCAAGTTCCTTGGAGACTCCTTGCTGCTCCTCAACTGTCTGTGCGAGCTCTCCAAAGAAGACAGCAAGCCTCTCTTTGCCTGGTGATAGGTCAGCGTTGACTCCCATTGCCAATGGAAAACCCAATACTCAGATACTCAATTTTTTTACAATACAAGTGCTTGACTTAAGTGTGTCAGCCCTGGGGTGATCCGGCTCTTTGGTTCTCCTTTTAGTGTGTGTGAGGGGCGCAGCAAGATCTGGTGGGGAAGGGGGAGAGGGAGGGGAAAAGGGAGGGGCGCAGCAAGATCCAGCATGGGGGAGGGGGGCAGCAAGATCCGGCGGGAGGAAAGAGAAGGAGGGGGAAGAGGGAGGGGGACAGCAAGATCTGGCGGGGGGCGGAGGAGGGGGGCATTGAGATTGTCTGGGGGTGGGGAGCCCTGGGCTCTCATGGCAGCGGGGACTTCTGTTCTTCAGCTCACTGTCCTAGGCACCAGCCTCTCCGCACTGGACTGCCTGGAGGTGGTGCCCTGGGGCTGTCCAGACCCCATCCAAGCTGCCAGGCCGTAGAGTTCCCTGGCTGGGCCTTGCCTATCTGCTGTCCTCTATGGAGTGTCTGCCTCAATTAGAGTGTGAGCTCCTTGAGAACAGGGACTGCCACCTTTTCTATTGGCATCCGCAGTGCTTACCATGCAGTGTTCCTTAGACGTTTCATTCATTTGTTCATTCATTCATTCATTCATTCATTCATTCACCATCCTGCATGGACACAGATAAGGAAACCAGAAGTAATTTGAGGCAGGAGAAGCTGCCGGGAGGAGGCTGCTCTTGGCTCACAGTGCTTTCTGTGTGAGGAGGCAGTCATTCCCAGCGCTGCGGCCTGAAGGCTCTATGGACCTGCTCCAGTCCTTCCTCAGTCCCGGCTCAAACCTGGCCCCAGCACCCTCAGCAGTCTGGGGAGGGTGTCCTGACCTCCGGCAATCATGATTGCTCCCTTGGTCAGCAGCGTGAGGATGCTGACCATGACCACACAGCACTTGGGCCAGGCACAGCTGGGTCTCCCCCCCTGCCTAGGAGTGAGGATGATCTGCTTGTGCTAGAGGAGGAAGAGGTGGGCCAGGGTTTGGAAGAGGCGGGCCAGGGTTTGCTTGTGGTCCCTCATGTGGAAAGAGCAAGTCCAGAGTCCAGAAGGGGAGGTCACTACCTGTGTGACCCTGGGGAGTCATTTCACCATTGCTCGGCCTCGAAGAGTGGGTGTAAAGGAGATAAGCTGATAGCTATTATTATTATTATTGTTATTATTAAACATTAGAAGAGACCAGAGATTGAGACCTAAAGTGACTGAGTTAAGGTCACTTTGACTTTTCTTGATTCCAGGCCTGGACACAGACCTCTAGGATCTGTCCCTCCCTGGTAGCCAGGGCTCAGGAGGAAGTGAAGGGAGCTCTTGGCTCTCAGAGAGGAGCCTTGAATTGTGCCCCCCCCAGTCGAGCAATTCCCTTACTTCTCTGGGCCTCAGTTTCCTTCTCTGTGAAATGGGGCCAGTACTTCTGGCATCCTTATATCCGGCTCTTGTGAATAATCAAAGTGTCAGCAAACCTGAACCCCCCAGATGTTTGACCTCTTGCTCTTTCCCTCGTGGTTGGAGCGTGCCCAGGCACACCTGGCTGCCTTGTCCAGCCCACCAAACCAGATCCCTCTGTGGGATCTGGCTCTGGTCCCTGGGTAACTCAGTGGCTCAGACTGGTTCCTCCTGTTTTCCTGAAGCCAGGTCTGGGCTCCTTCGGGTATGTCTGTGTCTGTCCACCCACAGCACAGATGGTCAGGCCCACATGAGTCAGATAGGAGGAAGCTGGGTCTGTCCTACAGCCTCTCTACTCTTCCCTTCCCCCCATGTCTTTTGCTTGTTTGAACAAGGAGAGTCCAGGCTCTCTGACGCCCTGTGATTTCAGGTAGTTAATAAGAAGCCACAGGGACAGGTAGAGTTTAGTGGGTCCTGGGTATAAGGACCCTGGCCACCCTCGGGAGAGCCACTGGTTGGCTGGAGAGCTAAGAAAACAGCTCTCTGTTCATTGTAGGGCCCACGAGGGGCTTCCAGGATGTCTCAGCTGGTGGAGTGCGTCCCCAACTTCTCTGAGGGCAACAACCAAGAGGTAGGGGACTGAGGTTTCTCCTTAGAGCCCTCAGGAGGACTCTGTGGAGGAGAGAGGTGGCCCAGTGAAAGCTGAAAAGTCATTTCCCCAGGTCTTCTGCCCGGCCATGGGGGTCACTGGACTCCAGCGAACGCCCTTCCTTGATCTGCTGACAGTTCAATGATTGACTGGGGCTTTGGGTGGGATCACTGTTGAGAGATCAGAGGGAGGACTCTAACACAGCCCCCTGGGACATGGGCAAACCTCTACTATCTATCTGTGTCCCTCGTTTTCTCTTCCTTCCTTCCTTCCTTCCTTCCTTCCTTCCTTCCTTCCTTCCTTCCTTCCTTCTTCCTTCCTTCCTTCCTTCCTTCCTTTTTCTCTTTCTTTCTTTCTTTCTTTCTTTCTTTCTTTCTTTCTTTTTCTTTCTTTCTTTCTTTCTTTCTTTCATGACTTGCCCAGGGTCACACAGCTAGTATCATGTGTCTGAGGTCACATTTGAACTCAGGTCCTTCTGACTCTAGGCATGCTCTATCCACTGCGCCACCTAGCTGCCCCTGTCTCTCACTTTCTTCTTCTGTTAAGTGAGGGCATTCTTTCCCTTCCAGTTTCAAATAAATGATCCTGTGATCTTGTGCTCAGGGGCACGTCCTTTCCCTCTCTGACCTTAGTTTCCTCCTTTGTAAAATGAACGGATTTTCACTGAATGGCATGTGCCTTCCCTTGCAGTGCGTGGTCGACGATCCCATGACCCTCTGAAAGCTTGGCTTTTGTCCAAAGGGGAATGAGATCTGTCACTGATGGTTCAGAGACTTCCACTCATGAGAGCTGGCTCCAACCCAAGCTGGTGGGAGGCAGCTCCAGATGAAGCTCTGCTCCCGCTGATCTGTTGGGCAGACAGGGCAGTGCTGGGCAGTACAAGAGACCTCGGGTCCAGAGTCAGTAGCATTGGGATCATTTCTGTTTCTGTGCGACCTGGGAAAAGCCCCTGCCCCTCTAAAGACTTCAGCTTCCCTCTTTTGAAAGAGGAGGGAGTCAGACTTGGCCATCTTGGAGGCCTCTCTGGGCTCCACGGCCCATGTGTCAAAGGGGCTGCCACAAAACGTGGCTGTCCGTCAACTATGCAGCTTCAAGGGTCTCATGCCCAGGGAAGTGTGTCTTGGTGTGAGAAATCCACACCGTTTGAAGTTCCTTCAGGAGTCTCCATTGATTCTGGCCCTAAATAGAAATGTGCACAGTCACCCAGGGCTTATGTTGTTTTCTCAGAAATGAGCATGAATTTGATTTAAAAAATCTCTTTATTGATCAAAACAGCAAAACCGTGACCACCCGATAGAAAATTGTAAAATGGTGGTTGGTTTTGTTTTTCCTCAATTGTGAGAACCAGGGAAACCTCTGGGGTGGTTTGGTGGCCAGAGGGGCATGCCATCATCTTCCCTCACATCAGTATTGGAAGGTAGAGTCTCTGGCTGTTGGCAGGGGATCTGGACCCATGAGGCCAGTTAACGTGTCTCTGGCTTCAGACTCCTAGAAATGGCACCCACACCTGCTCTGTGGTAGGGAAATCTCTCTCAGACATGATATTGTTTTAACTGGTCAAGCCTAGCAGCCTCTGGGATAGATATTTGCACTGTAGTGGGGCCCTTTCCCCCATGAGCTGCAGAAGCATGCTGGTATTGAGAAGAAAGAGCCCTGGCCTGGAATGAAGACCAGTTAAGCCTTCACCAGCTCACTATGTGACCCTGGTCCTCTCTGGACCTCAGCTTGCTTATCTACTAAATGTGGGGTGAGTTACTAATCTCTATGGTCAAAGGGTCATAGATAGAAAGGTGTAAGGACCTCTCAACCCCTTCATTCTACTCTTCAATGTTGCAATGAAGACCAAGCTTTTTTTTTTTTTGTGAGGCAGTTGGGATTAAGTGACTTGCCTGAGGTCATACAGCTAGTAAGTGTCAAGTGTCTGAGGCTGGATTTGAACTCAGGTCCTCCTGACTCCGAGGCCAGAGCTCTATTCACTGGTCATCTAGCTGCCTCGGTCTTCTTACAAGAGTCAGCATGGCCCAGTGGGAAACAGAATCAGGAGAGATGTCAGCTCCTCAGACGTCAGCGAGGGGCCAATGGCGAGGCCCCTCACGCCTCTCACCTGGATTTCCCTCATTTGTGAACTGGGCACCACAATCTGTGCAGTGCCTCCTGCACGGGGTAGCTATTTGGGGGCCCTGCTGAAGCCACATGCTTGGCAAACACTATAGGATCATCTGGGGAGGTTGAGGCCCAGGAGGCTCGAGTGACTTTCCTGGGCCTCTGGTCTCTTTGCAGGTCATTGATGCTGTTGCCCAGGCCATCTCCCAGACTGCAGGCTGTGCCTTACTGGACGTAGATGCAGGCCCTTCCACCAACCGGACAGTGTACACCTTTGTGGGCACCCCTGAAGATGTCGTGGAGGGGGCCTTGCAGGCTGCTCGGGTAGCTTTCCAGCTCATCGACATGACCAAACACAAAGGTGAAAGGAGCGTGGACAGGCGGACACCCTGGGCACTCTGGGAGTCAGCCCTGCAGCTTGGCCCTGAGCATGTGGTGCACTTGTTAGAGCTAGGCCTGGAGGCAGGAAGATCTAGGTTTGAATCCCACCAGCAGCATTTGTAGGTCTCAGCGTCTCCTGCTTTTCTTTGTACTCACCTCCCAGGGCTGTCTTGGGCCTCAAATGAGATAGTATTTATATAAGACAATGGCCTAGGGCCCAGTGGCTTCTCCCAGGAGGGGCCCTGGCTCTGTCATCCAACAGACCTGGCTTAGATCTGGGGGAGCCTGACCCCCAAAAGGGGAGGGATCAAGTTTTTTGTCTCCTTCTGCCTCCTCCAATTATTTCAGATGATCCTTCTTAGACAAAGCTTAGATTTAGCTCATGGAAAGAACACTGACTTTGAAGACTGAGGACCAGGCCTCTGCCTCTGCCATGCCTCGGGCAGGACATGTTCCCCGCTCTGGGGGCCTTGGCTTCCTCCTTGGTCCAGTGAGGAGCTTGGGTCGGTTCACCTTTGAGGTCCCTTCCTGCTCTGGAGCTGAGAGCTGGACAGTCCATTCTGCATCTCAGAAATAAGGAGGGTGAAGCCCAGAGAAGACAAGGTCTCCCAGCTCTAGGGCTGTGATCCTTGGGTGTGGTCTGTGAGAAGAGCCTACCTGTGGAATGTGGGCATCTGTGTGGCCAGGCTTACATTGGTGTGTTTCTGGATTTTGTGAGCATGGCGCCCGCTTTGCTACTGACCTTGAGCACCTTTTGTGGCGGCTGTGGAGGCTAGAGGTGTGGTGAAGGTGGGGACTAGAACACCAGTGGCCACCAGCTCCCCTTTGCCAGCTTTCACTGCCAGGCTGAGCAAACAAGGTTTGCTTAATTGGCTGCCTGAGCAGAAGGCCACAGGCAGCAGATGGAGGGGAGAAAGAGTGACTCAACAGATAAAAAGGTTCCAAAGTCCCTGCTTGTTGTCTTTCTGATGCCCTCTGGGTCTTAAGGGAAGCTGGGAATGGAGCAGAATAGAATGGGAAACATCAAAAAATTCCCTAAGAATTCCAGCTCCAAAGCTCACCATTTCCTGTGGCCTGAGGGGCAATGCATCCCTGCAATACAGACCCTGAGATGGCCTGGAAGCCCACCATTATCACAGGCCACAATTGCCTGGCCATAGCGGTGATCCCCAAGATGAGCGAGGGGCCAGGCTCCTTTCCCTCCACTCTGTGTGCATCCCCTCCATGCCTATGAATGTCCACGCTGCCTCCTTTCCATTGAGACACAAGTTTCTGGAGGGCAGGGGCATTTTCTCTGCATTCCCAGTGTTGAATGTGGTGCCTGGAACAGAGCAGGGGATTAATAAACACTTGTGGATTGATCACATTTGTTCAGCTGTGTGATAGTTCGTAGACCATTGAATGAGAAGGTACACACAGCTCCTTGTATTGAGACTGGCCTCCATCTGAGCCCTGATAAAAATAGAATGAGGTTTGTAAAGCCCTCCCCTCACAAGAACTTTGCGAGATGAGTAGTTCAAGGATTATCACCCCATTTTACAGATGATCAACTGATGCTCAGAAGCTCAGATTTAGAGCTGGCAGAGACCCTAGAGGACTTCTTGTCCATTTGATAAATAAGGAAACTGAGGCCCAGAGAAGGAGGTCACACTGAAAACTGCTAAAGCTAAGATTCAAACCCAGATCTCCTGAGTGGGAAGGGTATGGGTCTTGGGGTCTGACAGCCTGGATCCAATCTCAGTTTGGTTTTTCTTCTCTGCACCAGGAGGTGCTGAGACAGACCCCCTCCAGCTCTGCACTTCTGTGGTCCTAGATGTCTCCCCCTTTCCTTTCTGCCTGTGGCCCCCACCATCACCTTTTCATCCTCATCCCGGCTCCTCGTGTAGGTGAACATCCCCGAATGGGTGCCCTCGATGTCTGCCCCTTCATCCCAGTGAAGAATGTGACAATGGATGAGTGTGTTCTGTGTGCCCACACCTTTGGCCAGCGGCTGTCCCAGGAGCTCAGGGTGCCAGGTGAGTCGGGGCAAGAGGGGAGGTCTGCTCCCCATCCTGACTAGTTACCTAGTGGTTGGGGAGTGTTTAAAAATTAAAATGCAAAATTTGCCTTTTGTTTGGACCCTGGGAGTCACTTCCCCTTCATCCCCACCCCCACTCCCTCCCTCAGAACAAACAGTGGCCGAGCTGGCCTCTTTCCACCTCCCCAGCTGGCTCTCTCTTGTGGGAAGAGGACAGTTGGTTTTATCCTCAGGTCTCCTGGACCAAATGTGGCCATTACGAGGAACCCGGTGCTTTGCATGTGGTTTTTATTTATATTTGGCAACGAGCTGTGAAGATTGTCCCGTCTCCTTTCTTCACCTAGCTTTGGCTCGGATCACCTGGCTGAGGGAAGACCATCACAGGGCGTTGAACCTCACCATTTTCATTTTCTACACACGGGCGGATGAACCGAACTCCCTTTAACAAGGGTACCAGTTGCTTGGTACCAATTGCAGTCTTTCTTTTTTCTTCCCCTTAGGCTTGTGTGGGGTCATGGAAAAAGTCCTGTCCTGGGCTCCTGGGGCCCTTGGTTCTGGTCCTGATGTTATTGATAAGGCTGTGGGACCCAGGGCCACATCCCCCCCTCCTCTTAGCCAAGTCTCGCCTCTCTGGGCCTCAGTGTCCCTATCTTAAAATGGACAAGTTGACCTCTCTGATCTCTTCTGTCTCTAATCTCCTGTAGTTTTTAGCAGGTAGCAAAATGAATTGAAATGAGTCCCTGCTTCTTACCAGAGAGAAGGAATCACGAAGTCCAGTGGTGGCCTATCAGGCTGTTCCATGTGAACCTCTATTGGTGTCCGTTAGTCTGACCACTGTCACATGGTCCTCTTATGGCATCCCATTAGGCCGTCCTGGGTGGCCCTCTGGTGGTGTCCTGCTAGTCTGACCACTCTCCTGTGGTCCTGTCTCCACAGTTTATTTGTACGGAGAAGCGGCTCAGCAGGAACAGAGGAGAACATTGCCCGCAATCCGAGCAGGAGAATATGAAGCCCTGTCCGAAAAAGTGAGTCCCCTTGAACCCTGAGCCCTGGGCCGTGTGCACCGCTGTGTGTGGATGGCAGGGGGAGGGGGCCATGGAGCTAAGACCCAGAGACAGTCAGTCAGTCATCAAGCATTTGTTAAGTGTCTACTCTGTGCCGGGCACTAGGCCAAACCCTGGGGATACAAAGAAGGCAAAGGCCAGTGCCTGCCCTCAAGGAGCTTCTAGTCTAACTCAGACAACAAACAAACAACTATGAACAACAAGATGCACAGAGATCAACTGGGACCTTCACCGGGGGGAAGGGAAGGCACTAGTGCTACCGAAGGGGTGGGGGTGGGACATGACTCTTGCAGAAGGTAGGATTTGAACCAAGTCTTGCAGGAGGCCAGGTGCTGACTTGGCAAGGTGGAGAGGGAGAGCACTCCAGACATGGGAGACAGCTGGTGTGAAGGCAGGGAGTCGGAGACCTGAATGTCACATGTGAGGGACAGCCAGGAGCCCAGTGTTCTTAGATCACAGAGTATGGTGGGGGTGGGGGAGGAGGGGGTAAGAAAACTGGAAACATGGGTGGGGGCCAGGTTGTGGAAGGCTTCAAAAGCTAGAGGATTTTATATGGGCTCCTGGTGGTAATTGGGAACCACAGAAGTTTATTGAGGTGTGCACGCATGTGTGTGTTGTATGTATGGGGGTGGGATGAAGTGCTTTAAAGAGATCACTCTGAGAGCTGAGGGGAGGAGGTTTTGGAGTGGAGGGAGATGAGGCAGGCAGATGCCCCAGCAGTTATTATAATAGTCCAGGTGCTGAGGGTGCTCAGGTGCTGAGAGTCGGGACCAGGATGCAGACAGTGCCAGAGGAGAGAGAAGGGAGAGCATTGGAGAGATGCTTCTGAGGTGAAATCAAAGATGTGCAAAAGTGAAATCGACCAGAGATGTTGCAAAAGTGAAATCTATAGAGATGCCACAAAGGTGACATCCACAAGAGATGCTTCTGAGGTGAAATCAAAGATGTGCAAAAGTGAAATCGACCAGAGATGTTGCAAAAGTGAAATATATAGAGATGCCACAAAGGTGACATCCACAAGAGATGCTTCTGAGGTGAAATCAAAGATGTGCAAAGGTGAAATCAACAAGAGGTCTTTCAGAGGTGAAATTGACAGGCCTTGGCACCATATTGGATATGGGGGGTGAGAGAGAGTGAGGGGGCCAGGATGACTCCTAGGTTGGGAGCCTTCAGGACTGGGAGGATGGGTGTGCCCTCTACACTAATAGGGAAGCTAAGAGGTGAGGAAAGTTTAGGGAGGAATATAATGAGTTCTGAGACAGAGAAAGAGGAGTCAGGGAGAGAGAGTCACAGGTGGGTGACAATCACAGAATTACATCATCTGAGGGTTGTGAAGGAACCTCAAAGACCACCTAGTCCACCATGCTCACTGGCTATTAGAGTCATGGACCCCTAATAAGAGCTAAGCCAAAGCCCTGAAGTTGGAACCAGGGGAACTAAACTGGAATCTCACCTATGCTACTCATTGCCTGAGTGACCTTGGGCAAGTTCTCTCTGAGCCTTTTTCCTCATATGTAAAATGAGGGATTTGGACTAGATGAGCTCTAACTCCAGCTCTATTTCCCTGAGTAAATTTCCTACTTGGTCTCCTAAGTCCTATCATTGGAAAGACCAGTTCTTTTCCCATGTGCCTGGAAGAATGCTCAGGTCATGAAAGGTATGTTTAGGAGGGGAACAGGTGGGATGAGCAAGGGTATTTACCCATCTTCTGGTTTACAGAAGCGTTTCCTAAGATTTTATCCCCAGTGGACAAACAGGTACACAGCCACTCCCCAAAGGCAGGCCTCCTACTGACCCTGGGCTCCTCAGCCCCAATGCATTTTGTCCCCACAGCTCAAGAAGGCTGAGTGGGCCCCCGATTTTGGTCCCAGCACCTTTGTGCCCACATGGGGGGCCACAGTCACAGGAGCCCGGAAGTTCCTCATCGCGTTCAACATCAACCTTATTTGTACCAAAGAGCAGGCCCATCGGATTGCCCTGAACATCCGGGAGCAGGGACGGGGGAAGGACCAGGTGAGGACATCCCGGGAGACCTCAGTGGAGCTTCTCCCCAACAGAATCCTGCCTGAAGAGCAGAAAGATGCAGGAGTGAAGAGCCTGTGGTCTCAAGGCCACACGTGGCCCTCTAGGTCCTTGGGTATGGCCCTTTGACTGAATCCAAACTTCACAGAACAAATCCCCTTAATAAAGGGATTTGTTTGGTAAAACTTGGACTTAGTCAAAAGGCCACACCTGAGGACCTAGAAGACCACATGTGGCCTTGAGGCTGCAGGTTCCCCACCCCTGAGCAAGAGCCTGCCATAATGGCATTCGGTCTACAGCAGAGAGAATCCTGGCTGGAGAGGAGGAAGACCCCACCTAGTCTAGGCTCTTTTGGCAGCTAGCTCTGGGACCTTGGAGAGGCCTCAGTTTTGTAAAAATTAAGATGAGAGGGGGCTGGACTAGGTGACCTTTGGGGCCCTTTCCAGCTCTTTGGCTCTATGACTAATATGGAGGACTTGAGCAGACTTAATAGATTTATAAAGTCAGAGGACCGAGGGACACAGAGGAGGGGAGGAATGAGCTGTTCTGCTTCATTTTTGCCCCACCCGACCTTTCTGAGGTGGCTGTGATCCACATTCCTTTAGCCCCTAAGGTCAGGGCAGTGCCGGGACGTGGGCTCTGGCTACCCTGTCATCTTCCTCAACTTCTTTATTATTCCCTTTTTAATATTTAAATCTGTTGAGACCCGGGATTTGGGACAGTCTCTGGCCCGATGCCAAAATCTACATTTTATTTTCCTCCATATTTGGTCCAGTTTGCTCAACAATGTTTAATAAATAACGAAGCCTTTCTCCAGTTTTTTGCCCACAGGAATCTTATGCACCTTTTAATTCTGTTCTGCACACTGACATTCTCCTCCTCTGGTCTGCTCTTTGCTCTGCACATTCCGCGCTGGTCCTGACCATGCCAAGGTGCATCAGCTGCTTTCATAGCAATAGGTCAGGGCCAAGCCATCTGATCTGATTGGTCACTCCAAAAGGGAGAAGGAAGCAGACCCTGTGTTCTTGTCACTGAGAAAGAAAGTGGATTTGATGACAGCCAGACCCCCTTGAGAGCAAGGAAAAGGGAAGGAGAGGGCACGCCCAGAGTTTGTGAAACAGGTTTCCTTTTGTAGCCTGGGCGACTGAGGAAAGTTCAGGGTATAGGCTGGTACCTGAATGAGAAGAACATTGCACAGGTGTCCACCAACCTTCTGGATTTTGAAATCACTGCCCTCCACACGGTGTATGAGGAGACCTGCAGAGATGCCCAGGTGAGCCCCGGGCCTGGCACAGCCCGCCCGCCTGCTGCAGAGAATCCCCACTCAGTGCCAGTGCAGGCCCTCTGAGGCAGCCAGTGCTTCACTGATGTGTCTGCAGGAGCTGAATCTGCCAGTTGTGGGCTCTCAGCTGGTGGGCCTGGTCCCTCTGAAGGCCCTTCTGAATGCAGCAGAGTTTTATTGCCAGAAGGAAAACCTTTTCATCCTGGAGGAGGAGCACAGAATTCGACTGGTAAGCCCCTCCCTGACTTGGCTAAGGGCCAGCCCCGGGGTCCTGGGAGGGAAGGGGCTCTGCCCCCCCCAACCCTCCTTTTACCATAAAGAGGAAGTGGAGGCAGAGGGAGATGAGGGCGGGGATGGCCGCTGGGCTAGAACCCAGGATTCCTCGCTCTAGTCCCAGACTACAGAATCGTGGGGATGGACGTGTCCCTCGAGCACACCTAGGTCAACCCTCAGGCTGCTTGAAGCTCTCCTGAGCCCTCTGGTGAGGGAGAGCCCGTCCCCTGCAGAAGTGGCCCCTTCCATGGCAGCTCCCATGGTTACATCGAACCTAAATGTGCTCCTTTCCCCTTCTTCCCACCGCTCCTGGTTGTGAAGCCTTTACCGCCCACCTTGTCCCCCTCCTCCATTCCCCCTCCTAAGTAGCTCCTGGCTGGGGAGCCTCCGGGTGACAGAGGAGCCGTGGGTCAGTGTTCTCCGGGGTCAGAGCCATCTCAGGCCTTTCCAGCGGTCAGAAGGAGCTGCTGGTCAGTCAGGAGGCTTCTCGTCTTGCTCTTGCCATGTGGTCTCTTGTCATTTCAGGTGGTGAACCGGCTGGGCCTGGACTCCTTGTCTCCCTTTCATCCAAAGGAGCGCATTATTGAGTAGGGAGAACTCCCCCTCCCCTTGTGCTAGAGCTTGGAGGGAAGGGTCCTGAACCCCCTTGGCCTGCACGTCCTGTGACATGGCTGGTGGGCTCTGGGATGAGCCACCCAGAGACAGAGACGGCCACCTTGGCCTCCCCTCTCACGGCGTCTCTCTGGGTGGACCAGCCGGTGAAATGGGACCATGACTCATAGATGGAGGGCTGACGAGCGGGCCCCCCAGCCCTCATTTTACAGAGAAGGAAACTGAGACCCAGGAAAGTGACCTGGGCAGTAGAGGTGGGCTTCCCCAGGACCTGTGCTCTGAAGGAGCCCCTCCTCATCCCTGAGAAGAGGGCCCAGCCTCCCAGAAGCCATTGCCCACATTAGGTAGACCCTAGCCGTCCCTGTGCTCATTGGGAATGCCCCTGGCAGCAACATCGTGGTCCTCTCCAAGGCTGTGGCTTTGGGGTCTGTGTCTGAGGTGAGAGCTGGGCACAGGGGAGAGCCCCCAAAGGTCATCCACCAAAGCTTTCCACCTGAGGCAGGGAAGTGATGGACGGATGGCTCATGCCAGCAAAGATGCCATCACCTCCAGCGATCAAAGGGCAGTGGGTGGTGCTGCCCTGCCCACTTCCATGGAGCTGGCCTGGCACGGGCAGAGAGTGCAGTGCTATTTAGAGTCAGGAAGACCTGGGTTCCTACCTCACCTCTGACACTTTGCTGCAGGGCTTTGGGGAAGCCACTTGACTTAATCTGACCATCAGTGTTCTCATCTGTAAAATGGGGATGAGGATAGGTAGGAGATAGTACTCACCTCACAGGTTGTTCTGAGGCTTGAAGGAGGAGACAGGATAAGGAGCATTGTTGACCCGAAGCAGGATATGAGTGGGAGGAACCCTCCCTCCTTGTCCTTCTGCGTGGTCTTTCCCTTCCAGTGAGTCCCTGTGAGGGCCTCGGGCACCCAAATGTGGAGGTCCAGTCTCAGATCTTCAGCCATCTGGCTGTGTGACCCTGGCCCAGTCACCTGCAACTCTGTGAGGTTCCTCCCAGGCTAGATGTTCTGGGAGCCCAGGCCACCCTTGGTGTTTGAACAGGGTTTTCACTCGTGAAAAGGGGGAGGGAGAGGAGGAGGAAAAGGGGGCAGATCCCACAAGGAGCCCCCAACGGCCTTTACTTCTCTAAGTCTGCTTTCATGGCCGCCAAGCAATCAATGAGCACTGATTAAGCACCTGCTGTGTGCCAGGCACGGTGCCCAACTCTGGGGATACAATACTCCTAAGAAGACCCTGTGCCCTCACCTTCTTTCTCACTTCTTGGCCATAGGTACATGGTTCAGGATGGCGCGATGAGCAGGAGCTTGGTCTCAAAGTCACTTTCTGCTTTTGTCTGTGATGTGGGGGCCCGCGCTGCCACTCCTGGGGGTGGCTCCGTGGCCGCAGCAGTGGCCGCCATGGTAAAGACTTCCCATTGCCCGTGGCGAATGGGTGTGTGCTGGGGCTGCTTTCTGCCTCTCACACACCGATAGCTTCCTGGCGTGGTAATAGCAGTTGCATTAACCTTCTGGTTCAATCCAATTCAGTAGATACTGATTAAGCACCTGCTGTGTGCAGAACCTTGGAGTCGTTCACTGAGAAAATTAAGAAGTTTGGATGAGATCGGGTCCCTGCCTTCATGGGGTGTACAGTCTCCTCTTCCGCAAGGCCTTGCCTGATCCTAGGGAGGCTAATCCATGCCCTTGTGACCCACAATTGGGTCGTCTCCCTCTGGCTAATCTTTGAGTGACATTTGTCTTGGGGCTAGTGGACTGTTGGAAAATCAGCCATTTTCTTCAAGTAAATACAATACAAAAGCAAAGTTTGGGGACCAACCCTAAGATTACATTGGTGTAGGAAACTGCCTGAGAGAGAAAGCTCATCCCAGGATGGGTGGCCTTCCAGGGAGACAGGGCATGGTAGATAGTGAGCAGGCCTCAGAGCAAGAAAGACCTGGGTTCGAGTCCTTCTTCTGCCTCTGCTTCTGGGCAAACCTCTTCTCAGGCTCTAGGACTAAGACTCTAAATAATAACGGGGGTGCTGATCTATACTGGTAGAGGAATTTCCTCACCTGGGAGTTCCTTTGACTGATAAGATAAAAAAAAATTGGGGGGTATTTCTTTGAACAAATTGACTGATTTTCTAGCAGTCAATTAGCTTGAAGCAGAGCAGCCAGAGGAAGCCCTCCTAGTAAGACCCCAAATGAATCTCCTTTCCATGAGGCTTTGTAGGTTGCGCCTTGGCCTTGGCTTCTTTTCTGTGATCCTCTCAAACCTATGGTGGGTGCTTTCTTTAGGACCGAGAGACCCTATCAGAGTGCACTGACCCCAGCCTCCAACCACTATTTGCCCTTCCCCACCTCCACTCTTTAAGCCCAAAAGGGTGCCAGGGTGACCCACTAACTGATAAAAAGAAAGAAAGAAAAAAGAAGCCGCTGGGTAAAGGCCCCATCTCTTTCTAGGGGGCAGCTCTGGGCTCTATGGTAGGGCTGATGACCTATGGAAAGCGGCAGTTTGAGCATCTGGACCCTGTCATGAGGAGGCTCATTCCCCCTTTGCATCAAGCAATGAAAGAGCTGCTAGTGATGGTGGACACGGATGCGGACGCCTTCAGTGGCTACATGGCAAGTGACAGGCCTCCTGGGAAGGTGACAGGCACTGGACTCGAAGATGGGAACCCAGAGGTCCTCGGGGACAACCGGAAAGGGCATAGGGCTGGAAGGTGCAGGGGAAGAGCTGGAAGGGGTGGTGGCGCTCTCCTTTTACTGACCTAGACAGGCAAGATGACTTTCCCTAGCTCATGCAGGTAGTAGCCACTCAGAGGTGAGGCTCTGAGGGCAGAACTAATACTCTGGAACTGAGACCCAGAGTGGTGAAGTGGTCTGCCCGAGGCTACCCAGACCAAGCCAGAACTTGACCCCTGCTTTGGGGGCTCCCCAAGTTCCCCACATTCTTTGTACTCTTCCAGGCTGTTTCATGTGCCTTGGAACATCCAAGCCTTACTGACTATTGCTGGTTGAGCGGCTTGGGGGTGGGGCTGCAGCTCAGTAATGACTAGATGGGCTAGCATCTGGATTTCTTTTCCCAGTCTAACCATCTGGTCCAGTTGTCTTTGCACAAGCCTAATCCAGTGAACTGTCTGGAGTCATTACTTTTCCCATCAGTAAAATGGGTGCCATCCTCTTTAAATTACCAAGGCCAAGGGAAGTGGCAATTCCAAGAGTCCCCTTGGACCAGGGCTGTTGCATAATTCTCCATCAGGGGCTGAGCCCCATCACACAGACAGTTGGCTGGTTGTGTGAGCCTCGGTGGTGTTCCAAAGGTAGCAACAACATCGGGTGTGATTGCTTCTTCTCTGTCCCCCTAGAACCTTCTCCTCTGATAGAGTGCATGCGCACTCTTAGAGGGCAGGTCTCTCCTCTGGTCTCTCTGTTCCTGCACTTAGCAGAGGACTTGGCACACAGTAGGTGTGTTACCAGATGCCAGCTATTAGATGAACTGATCGGCCACTTTCGTTGGGTTTGTCTCTTTTCAGGAAGCGATGAAGATGCCCAAAAACACACCTGAAGAAAAGGAGAGGTATACGTAGCATTTCCGCTCTGGGTAGATGGCTGGATTCAACTTCCCTGCAATGCAATCGTGGTCCACTAGAGGGTGACACTGTCAATAAGGAAAGGGGTTCCTTCAAAGTTGGGTATAAATTCAATTTATGTAAACTGAGCCAGATTTCAAATATACTAGGAGAGCTGGTTATTTAAAATCATCTTATTTTAAAGGTGAAGAACCCTTTCTAAAGCAGGCAAAGTCCCCTACTTCATCTGTTTTCTGTTTGTGGAGTTTTGTGAGACCAGGTTCTGGGTGACCAGACATCTCCCCATGTTCTCTCAGGCAGGGACTGAGAGCCAGGTGGCTTCTTCTTTCTCTCCAGGTGCACGGCTGCCATGCAGGAAGGGCTGAAAAAGGCCATCGGGGTCCCCTTTGGCCTGGCACAGAAAGTGAATACGCTGTGGCCAACTTTGAAGGAGATGGCACTTTATGGGAATCTCACATGCAAATCGGACCTGCAGGTACTGGTCCCAGAAGCAGTGTTTGCTCCTCCCGTCCAGTGAAGTGGCAAGGGGAAGGGCAAGGGTAAGGGTAAGGGTAAGGGCAAGGTTAAGGGTAAGGGTAAAGGTAAGGGCAAGGGTAAGGGTAAGGGTAAGGGTAAGGGCAAGGGTAAGGGCAAGGGGAAGGGCAAGGGGAAGGGCAAGGGGAAGGGCAAGACCCTGCTCTAGCCTAGTGGTCCCCGCACAGCTTCCTGGGCCATGGCCCTGTCCTTCAGCCCTGTTCTCCCAGCCTTTTTTGAATGGCTTCCCCACAAACCCACGTATGGATGATTGGAAGTCAGTGTCTTCAGGGGTTTGTGGTTGAAGGAATGAATGAAAACAGAATGACTTCCCTTGGCATGGTGCCTTATGGGTCACAGTATTATAGATCTAGAGTTGGACAGGACCTGGGGAATCATGCATCCCCTTTGTTGTGCAGATGAAGATGATAAGGCCTGTGTTGGGCGGCCCTGCCTCCTCCCGTCAGGTCATAGCCCACTGCTAAAGTCTGTAGCTATGGCTGTCTACAGTGGCCACGCTCGGCCAATGGAAATCAGAACCCAGAATTTTCATCCTGAAAATGTGACCTGAATCTTGGACCAAAAGCCCTCCTTGGACACCTCCTCATGTCCTGGAGATAACCCTGGGTCCTCAGAGCTTGGGCCGACCAAAAGCTCCCGGAAGAAAATCATTCCTTAAAAATTAGGATTGGGCAAGCGGAAGCTAATGACTCTACGAGACATCCAAGAGTCAACCAAACAAAATCAAAAGAGTGAAAAAATAGAAAAAAATGTAAATCACCTCATTAGAAAACAGCTGACCTGGAGCATAGATCCAAGAGAGAAAACCGAAAGCTTTTTGACTGCCTGAAAGCCAGGATCAAAGAAAGAGTCTGGACAGCATCTTTCAAGAAAATGTGTGTGTGTGTGTGTGTGTGTGTGTGTGTGTGTGTGTGTGTGTGTGAGAGAGAGAGAGAGAGAGAGAGAGAGAGAGAGAGAGAGACAGAGAGACAGAGAGACAGAGAGACAGAGAGAGAAAGAGAGATAGAGAAAGACACAGAGAGAGACAGAGACACAGAGAAAGACAGAGACACACACAGAGAGGAGAGAGACAGAGACAGAGACAGACAGACACACACACACAACACACACACACACACACACAGAGAATGCTTTCATGTGCTCTGGAGGTTTGTGGATGACATTCTTCTGATTGTACCAATGCTTAGAATATTGCAGACCCTTAAATGAAATATAAAATCAAACAAGAATTCAGTCTGATTATCCATACAGGAGAAATCAAGTAGAAGAATGACTATTGTGCAGACTACAGATTATGACAAATTCCACCAGGGGACATAGGACAGTTAGGCTTCAGTGGTTCAAGGTTCCATTACCCAGTGCTGTGCACACTCCATCCAGTGAAGCACTGCCCCCACCCCCAATCAATCACTCAGGAGACAGTCTTTAGGAGTCATGCTGAAAGCAGCTGGTGCTGAGCTCCTCTGAACTCAGCTTGGGCCTCAATAGCAGACACACGGCCCATCACTGGTCCATACCTACTTGAAGGCCTTCTAGCTTGGCAGGATCTGCCAGAGCTGACAGTTTGGCCGTGGCATGTCCCTGAGACCCCAGGCCTGTCTCCACAGCAGGAAGCATCAGAGGAGACTCTCTGGGGCCGCTGCCATGTGGGGAAATCTGTGAATCCTGCTCTCTCCTGGTGCCTAAGACTTCAGAATGGACAAGAGGCCAGGTCCTCTTAAGGGTAGCCACAGAGCACACAGGAAGCACTCAGCCTCTGACACCTTCAGGGATTGTACCAGAAAGCAAAACTCAATCCAGGAAGTTTCCACAAAAGTTAGTGGAGAGGTTTCCAGGGTAGCAGAAGTCAGTATTAGCCAGACTTCCTGTATGCTCTGGTGTGTGTGTGTTTTATTCAGTGTGATCAGAGCCTCACACTTATCCAGACCACAGATGGCTGAGGACCAGGGGTCAGGAGTCCTGAGGCCTGGGTCTGGGGTCTGATGTCTTTAGAGATCTGGGTAAAAAAGATAAGAAGGGGGCCCTGAGTCCCTGAGCCTTTAGGGCGTGAGTGAAGAGGCAGGTGAGGCCTCCCTGGGATGACAGTCAGCAAAGGGCTGCCTGTGGAGGCAGGGGGCTGGGCTGAGGTGTGCAGCCACACCTCAGGGACAAGCATCCTTGGGAGAAGCAGGTATGTGCCCTAATGCCGGGACCCTGCTGGAGGGGAGCGCAGAGGTCATCTGGTCCAACCCCCTGGATTTACAGAGGAGGAAACTGAGGCCCAGAGAGAAGAGATTGGCCCAGTCATGCAGCCAGCCTGTGAGGAGCAGGGTCAGAACTGGAGGTCAGGTCTGAACAGAGAAGGCCGGGGAGCCAGCTCCTGTCTGAGGAGGATGTGTGACAGACTGCTTGCTTTGGGCTTATTACAGGTGGCCGCCAAAGCTTTAGAAACAGGCGTCTTTGGGGCCTATTTCAATGTTCTCATCAATCTAAGGGACATAAGTGATGAACGCTTTCGGAGACAGGTAAGAAGTGGGTAAGAAGGGGGTGGGGTGCCCAGGGAAGCCACAGTCTTATTGTGGTAGACCCCATGGGTCCTCCACCTAAGTTGATTAGGCTAAGTCCTGCAAAGAAGGGGAATCTGGAAATGGAGGCGGGGCAGAAGCATGAGGAGAAATGTGATGCTCCTTACTCTCCAGATGGGGAAACTGAGGGCAATCCTTGTGTCCAAGGATTTCCGGGGTCCAAAGCCACTCTGAGGGCGTCTTTCCCTCTCCTGGCTCATAGCCCCCAGCCAGCACACTCAGGGTAATGCAGGCTACTCCTGGGACGCTGTGACTCACTCCTCACTCCATGGATCTCTGAGCTGGAAGAGGGCGCACACACCCCTCCCATGGAGAGGATGCTTGGCTTTGGTCTGGGACTCCCCGCTGCCTCGAGTGGAGGAAGCACTTAATGAGTGAGCCCTTGTTGGCTGATTGATGACTGCTCCCGCCATACCCCCGCCAAGAGTCCTTATCGTGCTGTTGGTAACAAGGGGTCAGCCGGCCTTTGGTGGAAGACCCCCAGCTAGAGGGAGCCTGCTTCCTTCCCCTGCAGCAGCCCGTTCCATGGATGGAGTGCTGCTGTGATAGGAATCTGTGTCAGGTAGCTGCAGCCCCCCTACATACCCTGGGGCCAAGCAGAATGAGGGGATCCCTCCTCCCAACACGGCGCTCATGGGCTGTTCCCTGCAAGCTCCCCAGTTTTCTCTTCTCCCTACTCTCACTGGACTCATCTCATCAGCCTCAACATCCCAGTCTGGAGACGAGTAGTCACCATAGCACAGAAGGTTTCACCAAAAGGAGCCGTTGGGCCCCAGAGTCCCGACAGCCAGGAGCTTGAGGCTCTCCCCTGCCCCAGGGCAGTGCCTGCTGTCCTCTGGTCCCCACCCGCCTCCCCAGCTTGTGTCCCGCGCCAGCTAGCCCGGCGCTCTCTGCTCCAACCAAACCGGCCATCTTCCCAGAATTCTCCTCTCCTTCTCCTGCCCTGATGCCTTAGCCTAGGCTGGCCCCTGTGCCTGGAAGACCTTCTGCCCTCACCCCTGTGTCAGAGGGGACTTGATTTGGAAATGTTGGGGCTCCCTTACTTGATAGGGAAACCGAGGTCCAAAAGGTGGTGTGATTTGTCTAATGTCACACCGGTGGGGAACAGCAGAGGTGGGAGAGGTGGGGTTTGAACTTCGTTTCCTGACTCCAAATCCAACACTCCCCCTCCCCTCCCCCCATACAAAGCTCAGTTTGAGTGTAACCTCTTCCAGGAAGCCATCCCGATTCTGCCTCTTTCCCTCTTCAAATGAACTTTGCATTTATTGACCCTGATTCAACCCTCACCCCCAAGGAGCCCCTTCCTCAGCTGGCCCAGAAGGGCTTCCGTTTGAGGGGTGCCCAGGACAGCTCCGCTCCCCTGGGGCTCCGCTTGGCTCCTCCACTGCTTCCACCCGTGGCTTCACGCCTTTTAACCCCTTTAATGTGTGGCCTTCCCCATCAGAATGGAAGCTCCCTGAGGCACCGACTGTCGTTTCTTTAGCTTGTTTTTGGTCCTGTCCTGGGCCTTCTCTCTACTTCTCCAAATGCAACCCTCTTTCAAGGCCCTGCTTAAATTTCTACCTCTTTGGTAAAGTCTTCCCTGCCCATCCCAATCAGCCGCAAATTTTTTGTCCCGGAAACTCATTTATTTTCAATTAATTCAATATATTTCCTGAGTGCCAGCATTGTCAAATAGTCAAATAGTCAATCAAAAAGTGCCTATTCAGCACTTCCATTGTGCCCAACTCTGGAGCAGGCTGGCCACTGACAGGGGTCAGCGAGGCCTCTTAGGGGAAGCCCCTGACCTCTCCCAGCAGAGAAGAGCAGAGAGGGAGCCGGCAATCCCAGCCTGAGTAAGCCTTCGGGAAGTTCTTCCTGGCTTGCCACAGACCTCTTTCCCTTGTGGTCTCACTTGCGGTTTGCTCTGTCGATGCCCGCGCTGAGCAGTGGAGCCCGCCATAACTTGCGACGGAGCCGCCGACAATGTCCCAGCTCTGGATGGGACCAAAAAAAAGCCATCCCAATAACGAGGTCTGACTTTTTCTCTAACACCTTTGTTTGCAAAATGCTTTACAAGCACAAGCCTCCTTGAGCCTCCAACCGTCCAGTGAGTCAGGTTCCTTATGGATTATTGTCACTGTTTTAACAGATGAAGAAACTTGAGACTCAGAAAGGTCCAATGGTTTTCCCATGGTTTCAGAACCACTCAGTGGTGGGATTGAAACCTTGGTCTTTCTGGCTTCAAATCCAGCATTCAATGCCTGCTATGAGGCCCCTTCCAAGAAGAATCCCATCCATCCACCCACCAACCCATCCATCCATCCATCCATCTATCCATCCATCCAAGAAGGCTTACCTATAAAACCAGGGGTGGACTAGGTGGCCTCTAAGATTGTGGGATCCTCTAGGGGTGGATGGGACCTCGTAGTCCCCTCAGGAAGCTGATGTGCAGGGAAAGGAAACTACTTTTCTCCTGGTCTTAGACTAAAGAGCCAGAAGAGACAAGATTCAAACCCAAAGCCTCCCCCTGCAAATGCTTCCCCCCAAACTGGAGGATGAGAGGTTTAGAGTTGGAAGGACTTTAGAGGTCATCAAGTGCCCCTCCTTCCTTTAGAGATGAGGTAACTGAGGCCCAGAGAAGTTAGGCCCAAGGTCACATAGGCTGTAAATGGCGGAGCTGGATCCAATGGCCTGCCCTGATGCCTCTCTTCTTTTCCTTATGTTCTGTGGGTGCTGAGGTTTCTTTCTTATTTTTGTTTAGATTTCTTTTTAAAGGAAATGTTTTTAGCTTGTTTCTGAAAATGATACATTCCTTAATTTATCCTATCCAGATGCATGAAAAAATTTCTCACCTCCTGGAGGAAGCTCAGAGCAATGCTGCCTCTGTGCTGGAGTCCCTGGCAGCCCGAACAGAGTGAAGAGCCTGGCAGAATCTGGGGGGAGAGCACACCAGCCTGGCCCATTGCTTCATCCACCCACCTATCCACCCATCCATCCATCCACCTGTTGCAGGCTGAGAGGTTGAGAGGTTGTGACCCCTCAAAGACTGGAGTACAGGACGGGTCATCTGGAATGAATTCACAGACTCAAGCATTCTTTAATTCAAGGTGGCAAAGATTTATTGTTACGCTTTTCAGCGGGCAAGGATTCTTAAAGGATCCTGCAACCTTAGAGAGGTACAGTTAAAGTTTATATAGGATAAAATACAATAAAACATGTGCCAAATATGTTAACTAGGGGATTCAGGGTGGGATTAGGGAGTGGTTAAGGAGTGGTCAGTTCTCAATTGAAACTCAAGATAAGAAAAGTCCCATTATTCAAGAGAGTATCTGGTCCCAGACATCCTGGGCCCAGTGATAACAAACAGGAAGAATACTGATCAGCTCTATCTGGTCCTGGAATTTGCTGACACAGGAAGGAGTGTTTTTAGTTTACTCAGAGAGAAAAAGATTAATTTAGGTTTTTGGCCCTTATTGGGGCTCAGTTGATCTTAAATGATTATCAAGGGACAGTGTTTCTGAGGCTAGGGAGAAATTGGGGCCCAAGTACAAGCACCCAAACGTAAGCACCCAAGCACCCCAACACACCCACCCATCCATGTCTCCTTGCTCAAAGACAAGCCCTTCAGCCTTGTGCTTCCTTCCCAGGGATGAGAACAGAAGAACAGTGCAGGGGGAGGGGCAGGGTTTAATAATAAAGTTGTGATTGACCTGTTAAGTGACAAAGGTTGTTTATGTAGCATGACACTGCCCTGTCCTGAAATGCTGTTCTTCATAAAGAATTTGTTAGAGTCCCGCACGCCCAAACGAGATCACTTTTTTCTCTCCTTTCTCCCTGTTCTCTTCTCCTTCCCCTCCTCCCCTTCTCTCTCCTCCTCTTCTTCCCCTCCCTGCCTCCTTTTCTTCTTTCTCCTCTTTCCCCCCTCCCCTCACTCTCCTCTGTGCCATCTTCTCTGACTCCTCCCTTTCACTCTTCTTCTACATCTTCCTCCTCCATTTCTACTTTCCCCTCCTCCTCTCACCCACTTCTTCCTTTATCTTCTCCTCCCCTCCCCACATCATCCCCTGCCCTCCTCTTTCTCCTTTCTGTCTCTCCCCACCTCCTCTTCCTCTTCTCTCCTTCTCTCCCACTTCCTCCTTCTCCTTCCTCCTCCTCTTCCTTCTCCTTTCCCCCTTCTCCTCCACCTTATTGGTCTCCTTTCTCCACTTAATGTGACCTGGGGCAGGTCCCTTCGCCTTCCTGAGCCTCAGTTTCCCCTTGTGTAAAACATGGCAGTCGGACTCAGTGGCCTCCAAGGTCCTTCCCCTCTGGATCCTTGGAATCTCAGAATCTAAGACTCAGACCCTTCCCCAGCACCCAGCCCCCAGCTCCCCACATAGCAGGCATTTAACCCATTTTCGTGGAATTGAACCAAGTGGTAGGATTCTCAAAGTCGTGGGCAGTGCCAACATGCTGGTTGGCTCAGAAGAATCACCTCAGGCTTCGTGAGTTACACTTCCCACAATCTGATTTTATTAGCATGCAGTTATCCCAGCAGGGCCTTATTGCTGTTTTCCAGGTGAGGGCACTGACCTCTGATGGAGGCCCGCCCTAAGGAGTGGCAGGGTGGGTCTGTCTCATCCCGGACAATTGGTGGACCTGTGATCCACACCAGGGGTGGGGGGCCGAGAGGGGGAGGGGGAGGCCAGAGCTGCTTGGCTGATGGGGACCCCATGCAGCAGCCTTAAGGCGTGTGGGGGAGGGGCGTTACATTTGGGGTGTTCTATCTCCCCCACCCCCATACCCAGAATGCTTCTATGCTCAACCCTTAGAACCCCTGGCTGGCTCCCTTCAAGGTGCAGCTCAAAGACCCCCTGCCTTTAAGAGGCCTTTTCTGAACCTCCCAGTTGTCTTTATTTTGGGTACCCCAGGGGTAAAAAAGAAAGGGCAGTGGTTGTGGAGACAAGAGAGCTGGGTTCAAATCTCCTTTCTGATACTTACCACCCATGTCACCTTGGGCAAGTCACTTAACATTTTGGGGCTCAGTTTCCTCATTTGGGCAGCAAAGGGGCCTGAGGTCCCTCCTAACCCACGAATGTGTTGCATCACCTTAGCAGAATGTAAGCTTCTGGAGGGCAGGTTTTGTTTTCCTTCTGTCAAAGTATGGTGCTTGGATTATAGTGGGTGCTTCATGAACCATGTCCATCATCAGTTTTCTGAAGGGGAGATGCATCTGTGGCCACCGGACTCTATCCTAGGAACATTCAGAGACGGATCTGGAGGAGATTCTAGAGGTCATGGGGTCACCCCCTCATTTTACAGAAGAGGAAACTGAAGCCCTGGTGTTGAGGTCTAGAGGTTTAGGGGTGCTAGGATGCCAAAATCGTGACACATGGGTCCTGCCTGAATGAATTTGACCCAATCCTTTTGCCAAAGACAAAGTTTATCAAAGATCTGCCATATTGGCCATATTCTTAAGGGATCTGAACATTGTGAGCTATTGGCTAGGTTCTTAAGGAATCTGAGCACCTTAAAGGAGACAAGATGGACCTTGTATGCAGAAAGACTATGGGAGGGATCTAGGAGTGGCCAAGTAGTGGCTGGGGTGTAGGGGGGGACTGGAAGGGACTGTGAGATAATAGAACACCAGGGACCTGGACCACTTGGCCAAGGGAGAATGAAGCCTAGATAAGAGGAAGGGTGGGAAGTGGCCTGGGGCCACAGGGAAGTGAGACAATGGAGGGCTAGGCTAGGTTAAGGTAACAGGGAACTAGGAGATTGGGTGTAGTCAAATAATGAAAGGCCCATCGATGGGATTATGGCCTCAGGTGAAATCCAGAGATTTGGCCAGGTGGGTAAGTCTTGGGTTTTTCCTTTCTCGGGTCCAGATCCCAACCCCAACATTGGGATTCCCAAGGACTTGCCCAGTGTCACCATCTGCTAAGTGTCTGAGGCAGGATTGGAATTGGGGTCTTCTGGATGCTGAGTCCAAAAAAGAAAGCCCTTGGAGTGTTCCTGGGTTCTTCGGTGGGGGGCCTTCATTTACCATGGCCATCCTGGTGAACTTTGCAGCTCCAGACAGCCCTGATCACTGCCCCCAGGAGTCAGCCAAAAGGCCCCTCTGGGTCATACTGAAGTAGCCAGGGGGCACCTTTGGATGTGGCAAAGAACTCCAGGTACAGGGGGCATGACTGGACAAATCATGGTCAAAGACCATGGGGTAATGGGGTGTCAGATGAAGAAGCCTGGAAAGACTTGTTCAGACTGATTCAGAGTGAAGCGAGGCTGGCTGACGACAAGCCAGGAGCGCTGCTCTATTTCGCAACTGGGCCCCCCCTTAATAGACTTCATTGGAAGGGGACTTTTGCCTGTGTTTCCCCCTTTCAGATGGGACAAGGAGATTGTAAGGTCCGGAATCCCTCTGACTGGGGGACCCTGTAACTCCCCCATAACCTTGGGGTGTTCTTTTTCATACCAAAGGAAGAGGCCAAGAATCTCCATATGGATTATAAGTAGTAGTTCAATCAGGAATTATGAATACTCACAAACGGGCAATTTGGGGTGGTGGTGGCCAGACCAATCAGAGAATCCCCCTAAGAACCCCAAATCCCCGCGGTAGTTATAGAAAACAAAGGCAGGAGGATTTAGAGTGTGCATCACCCCTGATTGGCAGAGAGTTTTGGTTTATGAGCTTGGGCATCAAGTCAATGTTGTACCCAAACGTAAGTTTATGTATCGATCATGTCCTGGTCACATATGGGTCCTAGTATTCTTGGGTTGGCTTTCATTGGTTGTAGTATGTTAAGCTTTGACTCAGGGTCTAAGTTATGATTTAGTAGCTAAGTCACGATGTGTAAACAGGACACCTTGTCTGGGCGTCCCCCTTTCACAGAATTTAAGTATTTATGGCTTTTCACCTATTACTGTGTTTTATGGCTTTTCCCCAGTTTGAACCCTACAGAGGTCTCTGTGCAAAGGTCCTCCCCAGGCCTGGCTGCTCTACTCCACAGCTGGGTCTCTCTTCTGGACCCTCTGTTTGTGGACGTCCCAAGAGTGCACCTTCCCTCCTCGGGTGGTATAGCTGCCCCCTCCTGCCGTGCCGTGTTGTGGGCCACTCCAGGGCCCATTGGGGGCCTGCCCAGGGAGTGAGTCACTTCTTATCGGAGGCCTGTGTGTCGGGTGGGTGTGGGTATCGACATTCCTGGCACACGCCTCTCCTGGCGTCAGAGGAGAAATAATTCAGGGTCTGGGCGTCTTCCCTCCTTCACCTTTTCTAAGGGTATATGGCCTGGGCGTCCACCTTCTGTAAACAGATCACATCTGGGCCCTCTTTCTGAGTCTTCTGATTGGCTGGGGTAAGCTGACTCTGGAGGCTAGCCCTGGCATTTAAGGGGAGGCTGACTTGAGAGCAGGAAGCTTCCCGGCCCTGCCTCTGCCTCTGCTCTCATCGCTTTGTGGAAGGGACGTAGGTATATGTGGATTTAATTTGTATTATTGAGTGCAAGTCATGGGGAGTGGGGGCTGCTGTCTGTGGGAGTGGAGGACCTAGAGGATGCAGGGCCTTTGAAGCATTGACACGCTGTTGGTGTAGAAGGGGGAGTTTCAACGGAAAGCAACCTGAGTTAGGAGCCTAGGGTTTCCACCCTGGTGCAGCTACTCATCACTGTTATTGCTTCCTGGGCCTCAGTCTCCCTTCTCCAAACTGCAGGGATTGGGCTGAGTGATTTCTAAGCCCCTGAGCTTGGCTCAGTCCGAGGCCAACGTTGCTGCTGTCCTGCCCAGGGCTGTCATGCACCTGGCACTGAGGGCTCAGCCGAGGACACACAAGTTGGGTCTCGGCGGTTTGTCTGTCTCTGGCAGGTTTCTGCACTGGTGGGGGCGGGGGCAGGAGAGGGGAGCAGCCCTATCAGCTGTTACATTGGCTCTCTGTGACTGCAGCACCATCTGAAAAGAAAACTTGGCTGGGCTAGTGGTTAACTCCCACTCAAAGAATCCCAGGACAGGGGCAGCTAGGTGTCACAGTAGATAGAGGTCCAGCCTTGGAGTCAGGAGGACCTGAGTTCAAATCTGGCCTCGGACACTTGACACTCACTAGCTGTGTGACCCTGGGCAAGTCATTTAACCCCATTGCCTAGCCAAAAAGCAAAAAAAAAACCAACCAAAAACCCAAAGAATCCCAGGCTGGGCTGGGCACTGGAGACCATAGCATGGGAGGATCAGGGAAGGGCACTGGGGGTGTTTACTTAGAGAACAGAAGGTTGCCTTCCAGGGTGTGAAGGGCTTGCCACATGGAAGAGGGATTAGCCCCCAGAGGCTGCAACCAGGGGTAGTGGTGTGACATTTCACAGAGGCCAGGTAGGAACAGCCTCTTAACAAAGAGAGTGGTCCGAAAGGGCAATGGGCTTCCTCAGGAGGTAATGAGCTCCCCATCCCTGGATGTATTCAAGCAGAGATGGGATGACCCCTTGTCTAGGATGTCAGGGAGGACGCTGATGTATGAATTGTGTCAGATGGCCTGTGAGGTCTCTTGCCATGTGAAATTCTCTTAATCGGGGTTATGTAGAGGTCTTGTCTTTTTTCCTGGGGAGGTTCTGTGAACTCTGAGAAAGGCTATTTTCTGTGAAAGTGGAGCCCTTCCATTCTGACTCAGTTTGTCAGGGAAGGGACTCTGGATCCTCCAAGCATGGGCCAGGGGTGCCCAGCTCTGACAGGTCCCACCAAGGTAAGAATGTTCAGAGCCAGGCCCAAGGCTTAGCTCAGGACCAGTCTCACTGAGACTCAGGGGACTTGTGGCCGGAGGGCCGGCTCCCTAGAGAGCCATTAATGCTGGAAGTCCCTGAGTCTGGACTGGTTTGGAGGCCCCAGCACCACGGGCAGCTTCACATCCTTCAGTTCCTCTCAACTCTAAGCTGGAGAACAGCTGTGGCAAGGGGCTGGCCCCTCAGCCCTCCCTTCTCTCTGCCTGTGGGCTGTGGGGGAATGGCATTCTGCTCCCACCACCTGGCTCTTCCTCATGTCCCCTCCCACTACAGAAGGCCCCAACCTGGCTGTCGGCTTGCCTGTCATGAAGCTGCAGGGTCCAGGGTAAAGTGGTCCAGGCCCAGAGCTGGAAGGCCCATGTTAAAGTTCCACACTCTGACGCTTACTATTTGTGGGCGTGAGTAATCCATTCCCCTCTTTGAGCCTCAGTTTTCCTTATCTGCAAAATGGGAATAACAGTAGAGATACATAACATTTATGTAGTGCTCTGTAGTTTTCAAACTGATTTACGTATATTATCTCATTTGGTTAAATGAGATAATAATTGAGGTGATCATGATACCACCAACATTACAGGATCTGGTCCTTTAATCCATAGTTAATTAGAACGCAGAACCAGTCATTCTGAATTGGCTTGACTGAATAGTCTCCTAGGCCCCTTGTTGCCTGGTCTACAAGAAAAGCAGGAGAGACTCAATCAAATGCTTCACTAAAATTAAGGTCAAGTCTGTGTCCAGTATTTCACCAACCTCTCAGGAACCTGGTTGAAAAAGGAAACCAGGTCCTCTTGGCAGGACCTATTTGTGATGAAGCCACCCAGGTCTTGGGATTGCTGCTTCCTTTTCTGCAGGTCACTGGACATCCCTTTAAGAATGTGTTCTGGGATTCTGCTACTCTAGAGTGTCTCTTCCCATTGTGGACCCTCTGAATACTCACCCTTCTCCAGGGCTGCAGTCCGTCAGGCCTCAACAGCCCCCCCTGCCGGCTCCTGCAGGATGGGAGGCTGTGGCTTACCTGGGCCAGGTGTGCCCAGGCGCTTATCTTGGTTCCAAGTCCTTGTTCTGTCCATTCCAGTCCAAAGTTCATCTTCCTTGGCAGAGAAAGCACAGCTTAAATGCTGCTGCCTTACTGTTGCTGCATCATGAGCCGGGAGGGGTTGTAGGCTCTGGTTTGCCTGGTTGGTCCCATGGTATGAACCACCTCCCAGAACAGAGGAGGCCAGGTCTAGGAGCGGACTTGAAGGTGAGTGGAGGAGATATTCAGAGAGGTTGCCCCCAAGGGCCTGGCCCGGGCCACAAGGTGGAATTCCCAGGAGTTTCCAGAGGTGATTTGCCCGTGTAGGGCCAGGGCCAGCTTGGGTTCCATCTTTGCTTTGGTCAGCAGGGGTGCTCCCCCCACCAACGTGGATCTCAGTCCTCCTGCACCTGCACTGATGCTCCTCTCCCTCTCCTAATCCCCTTCCCTGTACTTATTGTCTCTCCGTCTTTGCCTTTGTATCCCCAGGGCCTAGCACAGGGCTTGACACATGGTAGGCCTGTCGTTTGCTATGGCCAAAATGATGCTGGTACACAGCCTTTCTGAACTCTGGTGGCCTGGTCCCCAGATGGACAGACCACCGCTGGCCAGAACCTGGAGCTTTTCCAGCGTGGTCTGCGCCACATGGGTGTGGTCTTCAAACATAAATCAGAAAGTAAGCATTTATGAAGTGCCTACTATGCACCACGCCCTGGGCTAGGTGGCGGAGATACAGATGAGAAACAGCTTTTGCCCTCATGGGACACATCCTGTCAGAGGGAACAGCACGACCACACAGCAGTAAGCACATCCCGGAGGAGGGCAGAGATATGTTCCAAAGTCCACAACAGGGGTGGCAGCGGTGGCTCACATCGGGTCAGGCCTTCCACAGAGGGCGAGCTCAGCTTCATCTTCCTTGCCCCTGACCTGTGGCCGGTGCTGCTCTTCGGCACGTGTCTGGAGACCTGATCTAGTGCTTACGAACATTTCCTCACAGTCTAGGAGCCTCTTCTCTGACCCATGTCCTCCGCATGGCCATTCGCGCTCCCTCCGGCACTCAAGACTCCACCTTTCCATCTCCAACCCTTTTGTAATTTTCGTGCTATTTCTATCCTTTTCTGCTTCTCAAGCCACGGTTGAGGTCTCAGATTGAGCTTCCTTGGACACCAGTCCATGAGCCAAGCTGCAGCAGAGACCATTGATCTCTGAAGACTGCTGACCTGACTCAGTTGAGGTAGACCAGCAGGCCCCATAGCAGGGGCTTATCCTACTATCTGCAGATAAGAAAAGGATACTGACATAAGCCATGATTGAACTCTGGACCCTGGGGATGATTCATGAAGCACACTTGAAAGAAAGGCAGCAGACCCCTCAGAGATACAAGAGTGGGGCTTATGGTCCTACCAGACAGGAGCGCTACCGGCACTGTCTGGGTTAGCACTCTGAGTGTCTCAGGGAGCGGAGACAATGAGTTACACCGAGGTGACAGAAGCATTTGGTGGGAGCCACCTGCTGACTCCTGACCTGGGGTGAATAGGCAAGCGCATCTGAGGTGGAGCCACCCTGGACAGAGTTCTGCCTCTTGGGGCCCTTATTACCAACTGCTGCTGCTTCTATAACTTTCCAGGGAATTGGAAGAGATGGAGGATCTGCAGTGAACCTGTTGAATTGGGTGTGTTTTCAACAGTACTACCTGTATGGAGGCCTCAGTTCTTCCTCTGCAATATGGGAATAATAATTTACCCAGTGATGGAGTTGCCGACAATGGAAAGTGTCAACTATGTTCTTTCCTTCTCTACTGGGACACTCGTTACTCTCTTTTATTCCAGTGGTCCACCACGGTCATGGAAGACTTGTCCTGAACATTTCCGAGTGATCAAGATTAGAAGGCACTGGTTACAGGTTATACGTCCCTCAAGAGGCTATTGAGAGGGGGCCTTGGAGAGACAAGCTTTATTCCTAATGTGCATAAGACACTATTCGACTGGGGTCCAGTCAGAAGGAGACAATGGGACTTTCACATCCTAATAACCGTGGTGTCCTTCTGTATTTTAGGTGGCAAAAGGAGGAGCAGAAATGTGGAATCCCAATCCAGGTATGGCTTCAAACACCCACCCCCTCTTCTCTGGGTAAGGGCCACATGGTTCTTATAGGGATGTAGCACGTGACTGAAAGTTGGCAAAATTCGGGGAGATCAGGTAGCTCTATGACCAGTGGTTTTGGGGTACCATAAGGAAGACACTCCATGAGCTGGTAAGGAATTGCTTTTTATAATTTCCACCAAATAACAGACAGATCATGATGTGCTCTAGTGTAGAATAGTGGTTAGACAATGGCCTTGGACTCCAGAAGAACCAAGTTCAAGTCAACATCTCTGACACTTTTTGGTTGTATGACCTTGGGAAAGTCCTTTGATCTCCCATTTCCCCAGGCAACTCTCTAAGGCAGAAGCTTTTGTATATGTCCTAGACCCACCTGGGCAGTCTGGGGAAGCCTGTGGACCCTTCTTAGAATTGTTTCTTTTAAACAATTGAAGAAAAAGCTAGATCTCAGAGGTTAGTGAAAACAAGGGCAGAGTTGTTTTGCCACCCAAGTTCACAGGCCCCTTCCACTGACCCTCAGGTGAAGAACACCTACTCTCTTGCTCCTAGCTGTAAAATAAGCAGATCTGTTGGGAGAGGGGGTTTCCTCACTGGGGGTCCTGTACCCCACTGCAAGGCCACGCCCAGTTCCAAACAAATGGATGTTGGACAAATTTTGGATGACTCTTCAACATTTAGAAAGTAACTTTTGGAGCAGCTAGGTGGTGCAGTGGATAGAGTACCAGCCCTGGAATCAGGATGACCTGAGTTCAAATCCAGCCTCCGATACATGATACTTCCTAGCTGTGTGACTCCGGGCAAGTCACTTAATCCCAAGTGCCTCACTAAAAAAAAAAAGAAAAAGAAAGTAACTTTCTACTGATGATATAGGATCTGGCTTTTCAAAGGTAGTGCCACCATGTTGTCATACTTGCAGGACTTATGACTTCCTAGGGGTGGGGGAGGAGGGAGTCTTCCCTCTCTCCACCCATGAAGATCCCAGCCCCTCCCTTCCCCAGGCTTATGAGCTCCAGAGCCAGGAGGGGTCTCAGAGGTCGCTTTTACAGATGAGGAAAGGGAGGCCCAAGAGGCTCAGTGGTTTGCCCAGGGTCACACAGGTGGGAAGTGGCAGGGCTGGTCAGACAATAAACATTTAATAAGGGCCTACTGTGTGCAGGCACTGCTAAGTGCTGGGGTACAAAAAAGCTAGAAGATGGCCTCTGCCCTCAGGGAGCTTACTGTCTAAGGGGAGACAAAAGGCAAACAGCTATGTGGGATAAATTGGCAGTATTCCATAGAAGGAAAGCCTCAGCATTTAGGGGATCAGGAAAGGCTTCTTGCAGAAGGTGGGATCGTAGCTTTGGAACCAGGGTCTTTTCTGAATCCTGTTGTGGCAAGCTGCCTTTCACCGATAGTCTTCCATGGTGGCCATGCTGGTGGGTACCCTCTTTACCCTTGGCCGGTCCATCCTTGGGCTAGCAGCTGGAGTCCTTCCAGCCAGAGAGAGCCTTCCGGAGCCGGGCTCCAGGGCCATCACCCCTGAGGACACAGTGTCCCCTGCCCTGCACCAGGAGGTAGCAAGGGTGTGAATGGATAGGCATGGATTGTCCATCGAGGAAGCAGATGTCCTCATGAAGCCTAAGGATGTTGGGTGTGAAGGCCAAATGTTCCTCTCTGCCATCTGTGGCACGTGGTTTGTTTGGTCTCCAACCCTTTGGTGCAGGAAGATTGGATGATCCAGCCTCACTTAGAGGTCTACAAGGTCCTGCGGGTCCCCTTTTACCAACAAGGAAATGGACAACATGACTTACCTTCTACCACTGAACCAGTAAGTGGTGGTCAGGACTTGAACCCAGATCTTCTGACTCCATAACCATGGCTCTTTACATTGTTCTATGTCACTTCTACAGGAAACAGAATTCTTTTCTGAAGGCCTTTATGGATGAGTGAATGGACTCATTCCTCAAACCTCATCTATTATTTTATTTTTAAAACCATCATTTATTAAGGGAGCAGCTTGGTACATCTGTAGAGTCAGAGGACCTGGCTTCACATCCTCCTTCTGACAACTTTGTACCTGTGTGGCCTTGGGAAAGTCCCTTCCCCTGCCTGGGCCTCAGTTTCCTCATCTGTAAAATTAGGAGGTTGCATGCACTAGGTGGCCCCCTAGGTTGCTTCCAGCTCTTACTCTAGGGTCTTAGTGTCTTCTGGGTACATCATCCTATTGTGGTCAGGAAGAACAAGACATAAGTCAGGCCTAGACGGGGAGGCTGACCATGCTGAGGAAGGATTCTCCAGAGGCTTCCAAAAGCTGCCCTCGGTGCCCTGAGGCCCAGCAGCCTCCTGTGGCTTAGTGGGCCGTGGGTGGCAGGGAACCTCGTGGCTGGGTGTGGCAGGAGGCAAATTTCAGCTTTGTCACTGACCCCCCCCCCCCCCCCCCCCCATGACCTTGGGGTAGCTGGGTGGGTCACCTAGCCCTGGGAAGCCTGGATTTCCTCTGGGATACGCCCTTCTTTTCTCATGGGGACATTGTGAAGGACAACAAAGTCATGTGTATAAAGGGATTGAAGCTTGTAGGATCTGAGGATGGAGGGAGCCTTAGAGAAGGGACCTGCCAGGCCAGTCCTATAAGTTTGCAGATAAGAATACTGAGGCCTATGAGGGGGAACTGAGTTGATCTGGGCTGTGAAGCCAGGGCCTTTGTGAATTTATTTAGGTGGGAAGAGAAAGAAATTGCAAACTGTCTTACTAGTCTTCTTCTTTTTAAAAATAGGAATGCCACCCCCAAATGCCCAGGTCTGTCCACCTCCGGGGCCAGGTGTGCACCCTTCTCCTGGCCCCCCACCTCCTGGCCACCACCCTCATGGCCCTCCCCCACCTGGCCCAGGAATAATGCCAGGAGGACCCGGCTGCCCGCCCCCACCACCTGGTGTCCATCTTCCTCCTCCTCCTCCTCCATGGGGTCTTCACAAGCACCATCACAAACATGGTCCTGGACACCACTGCCATAAGGTGAGCCTCCAGGGTGAGTCAGAAGCAGTTCTGAAGGAGCTGATGTGCTCAGAAGGAGGCAGGCAATAGAAATAGTGGTGCCTGATTTACTGGGAGACTTCATTCCTATTCAACACATATCTATTAAGCACCTCCTGAGTGATAGGTATGGCAAGGATCATTCTGTCCACATTACAGAAATGGAGGCTTGGAGAGAGGTTCAATAAGGGTCATGTGACCTAAGGGTCCAAGAGCTGTAAATGTCAGCAATGGGATTAGAACCCACAACTTCTGGATGCCAGGTCCAAGCTCCCAGCAGGTTCCTCACTCCCCAGTGTCAGGTGAGGATGGTGAAAGGCTTCAAGATCATGGCTTGGAGAATGGGGAGAGGAGCTGGGGTGGGGGTGGAGGACATGATGGCCACAGGATCTGAAGGGCTGTAGGAATATAGAATGTGCCCCTTCTCCTAAAGCACACAGCTTCCCCTGGCTCAAACTCTCTCTGTGTCTCTGTCTGTCTCTCTCTCTCTGTCTGTCTGTCTGTCTCTCCCCCGGTCTGTCTCTCTGTCTCTGTCTCTCTCTCTTTCTCTCCCTCCCTCCCTCTGTCTCTCTGTCTATCTCTCTGGGCCCTCTCTGTTCCCAAGTCCTCAGGCTTTTTTGGTGGTACCCATCCTCTGTGACCCTTCTCCTACAATGGACACTACTGACCACGCCTTCCTTCTGAATCGCCTCCTTTGCTTCCTGTGACCCGGCTGCTGCTGTCTCTCTTCCAGAGAGCTTGGCTGCAGCTTCCTGTCCACTAGCTGTGGGGATCTCCCAGATTCTGTCCCCTTTATAAACCCCTTTGGAGATCTTGCGCATTACCAGGGAGGCAATGATCTCTCACCTCTCTGAAGAAGACTCCCAAACTCATGCGCCTAGAGCTCAGGCCTCCATCTCAGCCTCTCTTCAGCTGACCTCTTCCTGGATGTCCTGCTGGCATTTCACATTAAGCCTCTCTTCCTAACTCTTCCTCTTTCTTGGTTTTCATCAGTAGCCAGGTTCTTCACGTTGTAATCATCTTTGATTTTTCTTTCTTCCCTCTTGCCATCTCCATCCATCCCTAAGCTCTGTCCCTTTGACCTCCACAACTGGTCTGGCATCCATCCTTTTCTCATACCTTCTGGCTGCCATGCTGGTCTGCTGGATGACTGCAATGGCCTCCCAATCACTCCCCAGGCTCTCCTCTTTTGGATCTCTCTCTCTAATCTAATCTTCCTCATGCATAGATCTGACCATGTCACTGTGCTTCTCAGAAACCTTCTGGCATCTCCCCATTGCCTCTAGGGAAAGGGAAGGAGTCAGAGAAGTTGTTGATATGGGGAGCTCCTGGATGAGGTAACTCCCCTACTAATGCCAACAGGCCCCTTCCTTGAAGTTTGGAGTTAGCCTTGAGCATGTCAGCAGAGTAAGGATCTGGGCCAGGGAACATGGCCCCAGGTCTTCCTGGCCCTCTCCTGGAAGCTTTTGCTACCTCTCCCTACCTCTCAGAGCACCTCCCATGCCCTCTGCTGTCTTGCCAAAGGGCCTTCCCAGCCTTATTCCTGTTTCCCTTTCTCACACTCTGCTTCTATCTTGCCCCTTGCCCCCATCTCAGTGTGCCTGTGCACCTCATGCGTCTTCTCCTCGTAGACCCATCCCCCTGAAACTCATTCCTTACTTCCCGTCCAGCTCAGGGGCCACAAAGCCCTCTTGGTCCCACCCGGGAGCTCGGACTGCTTCCTGCTTCCACTCTACTGAGAATACTTTGTCTGGGCCGCTCCTTTGCCCATCTACGCCCCGCTTCTTACCTGTTCCTGTGCATACAGAATCTTTCCTGTTCAATGGTGAGCTTCTTAAGACTGGGCAGCACCTTGTTTCCTCATTTCACCAGCCTCGTATGCACTTTAATACCTTGAGAATCAATCAGTACTCCCTTCAATGGCCAGAGTATAACCCAGCAATAACTGGATGTATAGGTTATTGAGAGGCCCCATGACCAAAGGGCTCATTGCCCTGTAGATAACCTGGTGATGAGTCTCAGACACCTGGTCCATTGTCCCTCACTGGTCTAGAATCTGAGCCTTTCCAGTTTGGAAGGACCACCCAGGGCTTGTGGTCCACCAGCAAAGCCACTAAGACCCCTTCATGTCATGAGAAAGCAGCGCACAGATCGAGTCCTCAGTAAACATTTGTCTTGAATTGACTTGAATTGGTCTGAGGAATGTTAGAATTCAGAGATTTGGTTCATGAGGCAACCTAACAAACTAAAGAGGGCCTGGGATCTTGAGGAAGTGACCTCCCCACTCCAGGCCTCAGTTTCCCCATCTGTAAGATCTGGGGGTTGGACTAGCTGAAGTCTCTCCCAGCCCTAACGCCTATGCCCTCAAGGGGTCCAGTTCAGTCTTTTTCAGACTCTTTCTGAAGCAGTCAGGTACAGGGGAACATTCCCTGCCCCCCCCCAACCCCTGCCCCTTTGGCTCCAGATTCCGGGTACCCAGGGGCCTCCGGGGATGCAAGCCCACAGAGTGATTCTGTCCTTCTTGGGCCAAGGCACAGGCCGGGCTTCTTCCAGACGGCTCCTAAGAATACCTCTCTCTTTCAGCATCATCACTGCTGCTCTGATTCTGACTGAGGTGTGACAGCCAGCCAGAGGGGCCAATGGAGGGGCTGGCAATGGGAGCAGCCGCCCCCTGCCCTGCAGCTCTTCCCGTGATTGGGTCTGCTCCTGCTCTTCCTGCTCTCCCACAGTGATTTAATCTGTCTGTACTGAAATTAAAACGCGGCCATGTCTGTGGGCTTCTCTGGGAGCTCTGATTAGATTTCACTGGTGGCTTTTTTCTTCTGATGTAACCTTGAATCAGAGACCATTGTGTGGGATGAAGAGCCCAGGCACATTCTGAGGGGCTGGGTCATCCTCTCGGCCAGCTACACCCCCCCCCCAGAAGCCTAGGACCATTCAAGGATCATCCCCCAGGATGCTTTGACTCGCCCCTAGAGTGCAAGATCCCAATGGCAGGAGGTAGTTCTCTCACAAGATGGGAAAGCAAGACCAAACTCGTAGAAGGAGAGAGTCTTAGCTAGTGCCTTGCAGCGGTCCTGAGTGTAGGGGCTGCCCTGAGGAGGCTGTTCCCCATAAACCTGGGCTGGCTCATTGCTCCTTAGGCTGTGTCCTGTAGACCAAGGCAGGACCACAGAACAAGGGGCATCCTCTGTTCCACCCCTCTCCTCCTGACCTCAGAGGCAATCCAGTCCACCTGCCTCTTCTCCTTCTTCTCATTCTCTTCTGTCCTTTTCCCTTTCTCCTTCTCTCTTCCTTTATGCTCCCTTCTTTTTTCTTCTTTACCCTTTCTTCTTCCTTTTCTTCCTTCCTCTTGGCTTCACCTTTTCGGTGTTGCCTCCCCTGTCCATGATAGGGGCAGATTGTGCCCCTTCTTCCCTGATTGCCCCTGCTTTTTCCCTGTGGGTCCAACTCTCGTGATTTCTTCAGTCTCCCCCAGTTACCAGCCAGACCCATCATCATGCCTAGTTCTTGAGACACACAATCCTTATTTTTCCCAGTCATGCAAATGAACAGAAAAGGGAGATGGCAGGCAAATATCCCAGGACAGGCTGCTCTTAAAATAAGGGGAGAAAACAAATCAATACAAACCAAAGGTCAACCAATACTGTGAATGGGAGGGGGGTTTCTAATATTTGGAGAACCTAAGTAAGCCATGAACCTAGACTCTGGGGCTCTGTATTCAAGTCACACATGGTAACAGACTTTCCGGGAGAGCCGATCCTCTCAATTAACTGCTTGGCTTTCCGTTCTTGTCTATGAAGTGGAGATGATGCTTCAGTCACTCTAGAAGAGCAAAGAAGACTGAGCAAAAACACTACAGTAAAAAGCGGTGTGGTGTAATTGATAGAGAGCTGACATCAAAGTCAAGGAGACCTGGATTCAAGTCCTGCCCCTGACATATAAGGGCTGTGTGACCTTGGATAAGTCTCTTCCCCTCCCAGTGCCAAAGAAAATTGCCACCCTACAACCCAACCAAACCTCAGTGCTCCAGTGAATCCCCATTGTTGAATACAAGTAAACCTTCATCACAGTCACTCTTCCCCCCTCTGGAAAACCACACTGCACTTAGAGGCTGTGACAGTGACAAAGGGCCCTTCCTATTACTGACATTCCATTATATTTCATGTTACAGGGATTACATATTTCATGGCATTGAGGTCATTTATTCAGCAAACAGCACGTGACTGGTGTGCTCAGCTGAGTTCCAGTACCTCTCTACCTTCGTCAGATGCATTCAGATAAGAAGAACTGGGTTTGAATTCTGCCTCTGGCACCTGGAAAAGTCACTTCACCCATGTCTGCCTCACTTTCCTGATCTGTCAAATGAGGATGACAAAAGCCCTTACTTCATAGCATTGCTGTGAGGAGGAAATGAGCTAATAAATAAGAAGTACTATGTGAATGCACGCTCTTATTATGGCCAGGTGTACCAGGGTTACTCTTGGGAAAGTTGTTTCTTATAACACTGGTAAAGTCCTGTTGGTGCCCACCCAGAAGCATCTGTCTGCTCACATAGGAGTTTGGTGTATTTCTAGCTTTCCCTTAGGAATATTCATTCCACCCACTAGCAACTGAGACTTGATGTTCATCTGAAGATAGATTATACTTGTTACGTTGCATTGAAGGAACAGAAATGGGATTTACCTATTTCTAAGTCAAATTATCAAGCAACAAAACTCACCCCACCAATAGGGGAAGTCTCAGTAGTGTGAGTGGAGTTGGGAAGGCAGCATCTAGGCACCTCCTTTTGTGGCCTTCTTTTCCAGGGGTCTGGGTACCATGTTAGTGGGCACATGATAAATGCTTAGGGATTGAATGACTGCTCACTTGCACTCATGTCCGCATGCCTGCTTATCTCTAGTCCTGCACACCCCACTCTGTAGCTCCTGGCGTGACTTAGGAACCCTTGGCACTGGCCCCAGAGCTGCTACATATGACATGTCCATGGCTACCACATCATCACCATAGCCTGGATGTCCTGCCATTTCTGCCCATGGCTTCCCTTCTTTCCCCAAACAATGTGTTCTCTTCCACTCAGCATCTGCCTCTAATGATCATGGCATTGTGGGAAAGGGTGTCCTTTTCTATCAGTACCTATGTGAGACAAGCATTTAATCTGTATGTGGGGGAAGATCCAAAGTTTGGATAAGACACATTATCTGAGCTCCCAGTATGGAGTTCCCAGGCTAGGAGATGCTGTTAGGGAATGGGATTTGTATTTCTAAACCAGAGTTTTTAAACACAGGAATGGTAAGCCCCTTGACAAAAATAAGAACAGTTAATGGCAAAATGGAATCTTGGAAATCTAATTAAAATCTCCAAAGGACTTTAACTGAAAAAGAAAGGAATATAGAAAACTGCACTCACTCACTCACTCACACACACACACACACACACACACACACACACACACACACACAGCGCGCACACACACACGCACCCAATATTACATGCAATAAGCAATAGCTACACTGTAGGAAGAAAAATGCCATAGAAATTCACAGAAAATAAAATCCAGGAAAGAAACCAGAGGCAAAACTCAAGGCTACAAATAAATGCACTAAGTATGGATGACAAACAAGATAAACTAGAGATTCTAACTCAAGGTGGAAAAACTGACCTTGTAAATGTCCCTGATACTTAGTGAGAAGAAACCCACAACTATAATTCAAGAGGAACACTCTAGGTAAAAAATAAAAACAACAAGAATACGTAGATTTGTGTATTAAGAAGATGTGGGGATATCTGGGAATCAGAGGGAAGAATCTATCCGTGCTTTTGAAACATCATCCCTCCCCTCTCTCAAGTTCACATTTAGGGGTAGGAAGCATTTCTCCATCCTTTTGCAGACGGAAGCGTGATCATTCCAATGATGGGGTCAGTTTTATTTTGTTTTTCTTTCCATTCACATTCTAATTCACAAGTAATCATCTATATGGTCTTCTTGATTCTGCTACTTCATGTCAATTCAGTTAGGTCTTTCTATGTTGCTCTGAATTCTCCATGTTTCTCATTTCATAAAGCACAGTAATATTCCATTATATCCGTGTATCACAATTTGTTTAGACACTTCCCTATTGATGGGTAGTTACTTTGTTTCCAGTTCTTTGCTATCAGAGAAAATGTTCCTATGAATGTTCTGGCATATATGGGCTTTTTTTTTCCATCTCTGCCCTCCTTGGCATATGCATCCATTGGTGAGTCAAAAGGTACAAACATTTTAGTTACTTTTTTTTAAAGCGTTATTCCAAACTGCTGTCCAAAATGACTGGACCAATTCATAGTTCCATCAACAATGTATTCATTTTCCATATCCCCTCTAACTTTGACTAATTCCATCTTTTGTTCTCTTTGTCAGTTTGCTAAGTATTGTATGAGGTGCAAAGTCAGAGTTGTTTCGATGTTCATTTCCGTTTTTATTAGTGATTTGGAGCAATCTTTCATGTGGTTGATGATTGTGATTCTTCTTTGAGAATCCTTTGTTCATGTTCTCTGACCATGTACCCATTGGGGAATGATTCTTGGTCTTACACATTTGCATTAATTCCTCATGCATCTTGACTATCTGAGCCTTATCAGGATCTTACCCCATCTCTCTTTTTTTGGGGGGGATGCTCTGCAGTGTTGTTGCTGCTAATAATGATAACAATAGCTAGCATTTATGTAGCACCTTTAGGTTTGCCAAATGCTTGACAAGTATTATCTTATACGATCCTCACAACAACCCAGGGAAGTAGTATCCCCATTTTACAGATGAGGAAATGGCGGCAGACAGAAGTTAAGTGACTTACTTAGGATCACACAGTTAGAAAATGTGATGCCCAGGACCAAACCCAATCCTCCAGATGTTCTCTGAGCAGGGCAGAGGGCAGTGAGCCTATCACCTCCTATGTTCTGAGCATTAAACAGTAATATTATACATAGTATGGTCTAGGCTGTTAGCTCCATTACTGGGCATATCATACCACTGACTCATTTTGAGCTTGTAGTCCACACCAACTCTCAGGTCTTTTCATAGAAAACATTTTCTAGCTAGGCTTCCCCCATTCTACAGTGGTGAAATTTATTTTTTGAACCCAAGTGCTGAACTTCACATTTATCTCTCTTGAATTTCATCTTAGTAGACTCAAACTATATTCCTACCTGGTAAGGCCTTTTTAGATCCTACCTGTCTTTTGATGGGTTAGCTCTCCTTCCCAGTTCCATGTCACCTGCCAATTTGATAAGCATGCCTGCCATCTCTGCCTTCTTCCACATCATTGGTAAAAAAAAAAAATGTTGACTAGCACAGACTGATGGGGCACTACACTGAAGACCCCTACCCAAGGTGATCCACCTCTGCTGTTAATGACTCCTTTGGGGTCCAGTCATTCTGTTGATTCTGAGTTTGCCTAACTGTGTTGCATTTAACACACAAGATAATAACAATGAGAATGGGGATGTCATCTATGGATAATGGGGGTGGAAGATGGAATTTCTGGGTTATTTAGCCAGGGCACCCAGATTCACTGTGGGGAGAACACAGATATCTAGGTCACCAATAGGAAAATGAACTAGGAAAGATCACCAGGGTCTCAGGCATGCCCATTTCACCCTCTAGAGCCAATCAAAACACTGTAAGCCACTTTGTATTGGGAGGTAAAAGAAAAGTTTATTGGTCAAATGTCACAAAGTTTGTTTCCAGAGGAAATGTGTTGGATTTTAATTCTGTGGCTGAGCCTGATGCCCAGTGGCATATGTAACTATGAGGAGGCAGGTATGGGATCCCACAGCTTCTTAGGACAGCCAAGAGGTGAGAAGGAGGTCTGCAGAAAGAGTGGGATTTGTAGGAAGGCAGTGGGCCCGCTGTGTGTGTGTGGGGGGCTAACTATAGCAAACAGTGTCAGGAGTTACATTCCCAGGACCGGGTCAGCAGCAGCATGAGGTCAACAGCCTGGCTCACCTGCCTTTTCTGAGGGAGGCCTGAGCTCACTCCTGAGGGGGCACATGGTGGCGATGAGAGGGAAGGCAGACCCAAGTGCAGGGAGGGAGCAGGGGACCAGCAGAGGCGCACAGCTCTGGGAAGAACAAGGCTCTCTGCAGCTTGAGGTGGAGCTAGGAGGTGAGCTAATGAGCACTTATGCAGCACCGAGTGTGTGCAGCACTCCTCCACCATCTGAGAAGTGTGGCACCTTCTCTCTGCTCTTGGAATCGAGGAAGGGCAGATGAAGCATCAGCGGAGGAAGGGCACCGAACAGCTCTCTCAGCAAGCAGGGACCCTGCAGGGAAGGCCGCAGAGGAGCACTAAGAAGGCACGGAACCATCTGATGAGAAACGGGCACATGGGGCGGGATTCCAAAGGGGTGATGGGGCAAGGGCAGAACAGCATATGCCAGGCAAGGAAGCAGAAAGCTCAAGTCCCCTCATCGCGGACCTTGGCGAGGACGTTGGCGAGAGGCTGCTGGGAAGGAGGGGGCAGGGATGGAGGGCCCTGGGCAGAGGGGTTTGCAGGCGGCAGTCTGTCTCACTGCTGGGTGGCCTTGGATGGTCGGCCAAGATGCTCATGGTGGATGCAAGAAGCATGAGTGAGGCTTTGCAGGTCCTGGTGTGGGGAGGTAGAGAGATGACCGTGTTGCTCCTGGAAAAGCATTCTGCCGGGTGTGGGATGGACCAGAGTAGGGACAGGCTCCCCACCGGCACTGGTCAGCGCTGCTCTGATTACGTGTCTGTTCACTTGTTCACGCTCCTGGAAACTCTGCATCCATCTCTACCCGGGGGGCCCAGGGAACATGAAAATCTATCCCGGGGATGGGACTAGGAGGTCGATCATCTGGACTTCTTCAGGACTAGTGTGGGGGCGAGAAGGGGGAAGCCCTCTGGGAGCACCGTGATACGCCAGTTACGCCTCACCTAAGGGCGATGCCGAGGTCTCCCCTCTAAAAGCGCCTCTGATATGGATCTCTCTTCGTACCCTACATGCACTCTCTCTCTCACACACACACGCGCAGAGTGGGGAACTACTTGGTACTTGCAGAAGCATCGGAAAGGTTCGGCTGCGGCTCTGAGTCTTTCTGCGTTCTTGTTCTCTGTTAGCACCATTAAGAGTTAAGATTATTCCTGTTTGTGGTTCAACATGAAGAATCCAGACTTCCACTTCCTTGCTTGGCCTGCAGGGGAGCCCCAGTTTTATGGGACCCCGCCAGGCCGAGGCGTGGAGTTACCCAGAGGAGAGGAGCAGGGCCGCATCGCAGGTGTCTGTGTACATCTGTGTTCGGGGGTCAGGGCGGGGTGGGGGCGAGATGGAGCGCTTGGGACACGTGCCTTCGGAAACCTTGGGGGAGCTAGCAGATCCATCTAATGAACCTGTCGAAGAAGCTGGGCTGGGCCAGGCTGTCGTAGTCCTTCTCTTGGAAGATGGCGGACCGATCACCCAAGCTGATCTTCAGGAGGAGGTCCATGTCCACGTCGTTCCCCAGGGCCAGCACGGTGGGCACGACGTCCTGCTTGCGCATGGAGTGCAGGGACTCGTTCAGACTCATCTCCCCGGTGATGCCGTCCGTGATGAAGACGAAGGAGAGCTCGGCGTTGCGGCGGGCCCCCGCCTGCTGGTCCATGACGATGTTGTTGATGGCGTGGATGATGCCGGTGCCGATGTGGGAGAAGGAGTTGAGGTATCGGATGTTGCTGAGGGCGTCGTGGATCACCGTCAGGTTGGAGGTGAGCGGGAAGACGACTTCCTGCTCCCGCTCGTTGCCGTACTGGAGGAGGGCCACGCGGGCATTCATGGGGTCGTTGTGTCGCCGCGCCAGGGTCAGCCGCCGGGCCACCTCCTCCACAAAGCGGTGGGCCTTGTGAAAGTTGCGCTCCCCGATCCTCTCTGAGCCATCCAGCAGGAAGACAATATCGACAGGCCGTTGGGTGCACTGGGCTACGTACAGTTCTGGGAAGGAAAGGAAAGATTCAGTGTCGGGCAGGAAGGAAGGGCAGCTCCAAGCAGGGGGGAGAGGACAGAATGCCGGCTGTCAAGTCTAGAGTCCTGCCTGGCTGAGAGCTGAGATGTCTGTTGAGGGATGGTTGGGGACACGTGAGGATCTTGGAGAAGGTGGCATAGGGCTCTGGAATGCATTGTTTCTGGTCAGATTATGAGCCAGGCCCAGAAATGTCTGCCAGAAGAACCCACCCCCCTTTCCTCACTGCCTGCATCCAGATAAGAAGTTCTGGGGCCTCAACCAACAGCTCTGTGTGAATACCCATCACTTAGTCCCATGGAAGACAAGTGAGGCAGAGATCTGGGGCTAGAGCATGACCCATTTCTGAATCAGCAGGTGTCACCTGGTATCACACATTATCTCATTTCCCTGAAAACGTAATGAATATTTTAGGGGACCCATCATGTGGAGGGAACATGCTATGGTGGAGAGAGTAAGGAAGACTTGGGTTCAGATCCTGCCCTTGACACATACTAGCTGTGTGGCTATGGGAAGGTTACTTAACCCTTCAGTGCCCTAGTCAGCTCCCTAAGACGACACTTTTCTGATAAATTGCCAGTCTGCATCAGCAAAAGGAGTGTCCACATCAGGAATAAATCACAGGTCCAGTCTAAAACGTACCCATCCCATCCCAAATGGTATTTCCCCCACCTGACTTGTTTAGTGCCCTTTCCTCCCTCCCCCTCACCAACCAATCAAACCCCAAATGTGCCAGTGGCCAATGGTCTACAAGAGGCCCTTTAGGCCCTTCTTAGTACGTCAGCCCAATTTCGAGGTGCCCGTCTCTGTTCCTCCTACATACAGCCTTCTAATAGTAAGTGTCAAGCGTTTGGTCTGAGGCCGAATTGGAACTCGGGTCCTCCTGACTTCAGGACCGGCGCTCTATCCACTGCGCCACCTAGCTGCCCCAACCTTCTAATAGATTTAAGTCAACCCAGGAAGTATTTACCAAGCCCCTATTATGTGCAAAGCAAAGGCCTCCTCTTAGTTCCTGTGATAAAACTGAAGGTAGCATACACTTCGGAGCTCACAAAACAATAGCAGGAATGCTAGAATGCTCCAGCTGTTACAGGACATGACTGGGGAGATGTCCTCAAGCTCTGGGGCCCCCATTGCCTTGCTGAAATTGGGCTGTTGGGCAATGGCCTGGGAAGAAATCAGATACTGAAAAAAAAATCATCTCATGCCCCAGCTGCCCACTTTATCAACCAGAAAGTCAGTCTCCCAATTTTGTCCATCCCCAGTCTCCCCTCTGGTTACCTTTCCTTCTCCAGGCTGCCTCTAGTCTTCATTTTAACCTGATAGTAAAGACAGCTAAGTGTGGCTTCTGCGTCCTTTCTGATATAATAGAAATATGCCAAGGTAGACATGAGAGCCAATACATTTCAACGGAACTCATTCATGTTCATGGATGAGAACATTTCATTCTTTTCCCCTTTGATTTTTTTCTTGCCTTTTAGTTAATTATTTCCCAGAAGTGGGGTGAATCTCTCTTTTAAAAATTATACCTAGAATTTCATGGATAGAAATAGAAGGAGCTCGTAGTGAGAAACTTCCTCTGCCCATGCAGGGTGATACCTCTGTACCTGACAACGTCTTAATGGGCAGACTGAGGCAATGGGAGGATGAGTGACCCCCCATCCCCACTGGGTCACATAACCAGTAAGTGTCAGAGGCAGGATTTGAACCCAGACTTTCCTCCCTCTGAGGCCAACACTTTATCCACTAGAGCAAGCTGCCTCTGATGATTCTTTTTCAAATCCACCTCTGCAGAATATGGCCTCCCTGAAAGTGAAGGAGGGTAGAGAAGGCCTTTCCACACTGGGAAATGGCTGTGTTTGCTTCATCTGCCTGTTGGCATTGTTCAGGCCACAGAGAAGATAGAGCACTTGGTTCAGAAGAGGGAAACCCACGTTTGTATTCCAGCTCAGCCACCAGCTGACCTGCAGAAGCTTAAGTGAGTCCCTTCACTTAGCCATGCGTCTGTTTACTCCTCTGTGACAAGAGGCAGTTAGATGAGATGATCTCAAAAGCCAATGACTCTCAGGAACTGTAATTAGACGGAATTAAGGGGACCACAGTCAGATGCACCCATTGTTGGCCTTTCTGTTGGCCCTGTAGAAAGAATCCCAAGCTCTCGGACATTTGGTATAGTGGAAAGAGCAAGGGGCTCGGAGTCAGAAGACCTGGGTCCATCAGGTCCTGGTTCTGCTTGTAAAGAGCTGTGTGCCTGCAGACAAGTCATCTGCCTCTCTGAACCAAATTTCTCCTCTGTAAATGGGGTTAATTACACCTCTTCTGCCTCCCTCGTTGAGGTCCCATGAGGTTCAGACGACATCCTACATATAGAGCCTTTGTAACCAACCTCCTCCCCTCACTAGTCACTGTCTTGATGGGAATCCTTTGAACGGGAGCAGCTTGGCCAAGGCTCAGGCACCACTGCATGGCCAATGCTGCAGGGTTTCGAGTTTTCTCTCCTTTTGCTGAATCTAACTGGGCTCAGCTCAGCATCCTTGGAAGTTGACAGGAGGAAGCTGCTGCTGTTGGACCACTTCCAGCCTGCCCTCTGCATTCCTACTGGCTCAGACACCCTAATCATTAACGAGCTTATGAAAGATTGAAGTTTCTGCCTAAGAGTCAGCCCTGGATGGAGAAGCTGGCTTCAGATGTCCTCATCCTTTGACCCTCCCTGATGCAGCCTTGAGACTTCCCTTCCCCTAGGGAAATGGCACGCAAGCATCCTCCCATTCATCATTTTCTTTCAAGTGGCCCACAACACACGTGGCCAAGACATGGCTCACCACAAGAGAGACACGCAGTAACCAGACAACCAGAGCTTCAGCTGCATTTTCTGTCAACATATTAATGTACATGCAACATACAAAAGACAAAGAGATTCACATACAAAGTGACGTACAGGCAAAGAAAGACACGAGGACGAGTCCCTGGGCTGTCCTCCCTCGAGGGAGGACAACTCTTCAGATGCCCCTGGTTTCATGCCTGCTGTAAGACTTCTTTTAACCCCTCATTAGTTATAACAATTGACAAACCAGGAAACTTCCAGAGGGGACCAACCCAGATTGTGTAGTCTTGAGAACATAGCCTGTGAAGGAACTGAGGATGTTGGGCTTGGAGAAGAGAAGGCTTACGCAGATGTGACAGCAGATTTCAACTACCTGAAAGGCTGTCAATGTGGACAGTGTGGGTGATGTTCTGCTTGGCCCCAGAGGGCAGAGAGAACTAAGCTGGGGATGGAAGCTGCCAAGGGGCAGATTGAGGCTGGCCGTCAAGAAGAGCTTCCCATCAGTGAATGCCATCCAGAGATAGAGCGAGCGCCCCACGAGGCTGGATGTCCACTTGCTGGGGTCATTACAGAAAGGTCCTGGTCAGGCATAGCTTGGATTGGAGGTCCCTTCCACCTCAGAGGTTCTATGATTCACCATTAAGCCCTTCTCTGAAGCCTCATCCCAGCTTCGGAGATGATCCTGGGTTCTTGAAGGCTATCTCAGTGGAGGCCAAGCTCTGACAAGTCCACCCCAACTGGAAAGGCCTGGAGTATGGGGCCATCAATGACCCCCGTGGAGCCACAGTGGGGGCTGTGTGTCCTTTGTCTGAGGACCAGTCTAGCTGAAGTGAGAAAAGCTCATGACCAGGGGCTTGCCCCCAGGTGGCACATCTTGGGGAGCCCCAGCAGGTCATGAAGACTGACCACCAAGGTGTCAAGACTGTGCTCTGAATCATCATAGGGGGAACTCCCACCAATAATGACAGATATGGGTATGGGTCAGAGGTCTCTGCAGTGGCTCTGTTCAGGGACCCTCCCCTTGGGGGAGGCATGTTGCTCAATATTCAAGGGTAGCACCAAAGAAGTAAAACAGCAAATAGAACACAACACAGAAAAAATCACAGACAGTCACAATGGAAACCAGGTGGAGAAGGTATACAAAAACACACATGGCCAAACCGGAACCATAGTGAACGCCTACTTTCTTCTCTGACCTGGCAGGAAAATCCACAAAGAGCAGCATTTGCAAAAATGGGCCAATGAGGCTCCAGGAAGGAATGCTTAGCACTGGAAAGTGAGTTACCATCCTCACTGCTGTCACTATTCTGAGCACCAAGAAGTGTTTTGCACCATGTGCCCCCAAAATTACAGCCAAACCAGAGAATCACGGCATTTCCTGGACACAGTTGCCACACTGGACTGGGGGAATGGTCAGGGGGCTCTCCTCACCTACATTCCAGGCTATGCCCACAGTATGTCAGATATGTTGATTGACATCAGGGTGAAGGGTGAGAAATGCCAACTACTGCTGGGCTCTTTTCAAATGACCAGATGTCTGCTGGGTCGTCCAGCCAGATGGGGACCTCATTCCTTAGCTGTTCAAATGGTCTGGCAGTGGTGGATGACCAGGCATCCTAGATTTGGGAAAAGGAGCCCTGAGGTTTCAGGGACTTCTCCAAAGCTGAATTCTGAATTTTGTGGCACAATTTTGTTGCCCTGATTTATTTCAATAAATATTATACCACATAAATTTGCATATCACATCCATGTGGAGCTAGGCTTTTATCCAGTCCCTCATTTGCAGTGTAAATGTTAGCTTATTTCATGATGTCATTGGGGAATTTTTTCCATGTCATTTAAAGATGATTCCTATATAAATCTATTTATATAACACCTTTGTCTATGTCTAATATATATTTAAAAGTATATATTATCAATATGCAATGTCCAGTCTAGACTTGTTATCTCACCCATCCTTCAGGCTCACTCAGAATCACGGGGAGAGCCGATTTCCCAAGGCATTTTCCAATATAGAACTCCGTCCCCTGGCTGACTTGATTTACCACTCCCATGTCTAGCTGCAATCCTTGCTGCCACATTGTTGAGAGGGATGGTGGAGTGAGATAACTAGATCTGGCTGTACATGACATAGCCTGACTATGGACC